AATTAGTGAGATACTGTCACGAACCTACCAGAATGGTTACAATTTTAAAAGACAGATAATAACAGGGATTGATAGGGATGTAAGGAATGAGAACATCAGTGGTGTGAATGGAGAATGGTTAATCATTTGGAAAAGACCCGGGCAGTTATACTAAAACATTAAATATAAATTTACCATACAACCCAGCAATTCTACTCCTAGGAATCTACCCAAAAGAAATGAAAACATTTGTTCACAAAAACACATACATGCAAGTGTTCACAGCAGCTGGATTCGCCCTAACCCCGCCCTGGAAACAGTCTAAGTGGACATCGGGTGGTGAATGGATCAATGAAATAGGGTCTATCCGTGCCACGGGGTGTCGCTCAGCAACAAAACGGGATGAGATGCAGTGTTATTGTATCCTAAAACATGAAAACAAGCTAAGAGAAAGAAGCCAGGAGCAGCGGACTACATCATATGATTCAGTTTATGTGAAATGTCGAGAAAAGGCAGACAGACAGCAACAGAAAGCAGGACAGGGGCCACCTAGTGGTGGGAGTGGGAGCAGGGAGTAACGGAAACGGGCGCGAGGTGACGTTCTGGGGCGATGGGCGTGTTCTAAAACTGCGTGGCGGTGACTGCTACACAACGCTGTAAATTACTAAACCACGGAGTCGGATCGTGACACGGGTGGATATGCGTACAGTATATAAACGGCACCACTGTGAAGCTGCTTTAAAAGCTTAAACTCTTCTATTAAAACCGTATTTGTGGCCCTGGCCAGGGAGCTCAGTTTGTTAGAGTGTTGTCTTAAAACACCAAGGTTGTCAGCTCAATCACTGGTTAGGACACATTCAAGAATCAAACAATGAATGCACAGAAAAAGCTGGAACAACAAATCCATGTTTCTCTCTCTCCTCTTAAAATATGGCAAAAAATCCCCGAAACCATATATACAAAATATATATTTATATATCTATATATAAATACATATTTACATAACATAAAATACACACACATAGTTACACATATATATTTATACATTATACAATATATAGATACATAATCTTTTTTCTCTAGCCACTGAGTCACTACAGGAATAATACAATCTTTATGTGGCATGACAAAAATTTAAATTTTAAAAGTAACCCAAGGAAAAAAGTTCTAAAGAAACCCTTTGGTTTCTCCCTTAGTTTTTGACGCTCCTGGGTCTGGCAGGGCCCTGTCTCCTGCACACTGCAGTGACCTCTGAGCCACCCATCACATCGAGAGGTCCCAGGTGTGTTTTTAGGGTGACGACTTCAGTTCCAGGAAGGGAAGACCAGTCGCTGTGATCCGGATCATTGTCAGGCTTGATATTTTTGTGAGGGAGTAAATTACCCTGCCTTCCAGGATCACGGTGTCAAACAACGTGGTGGGGACAATACCCATGTCCGAGCTAGGTGTAAGGCTCGGGGCTTCAGTTATTCACAGTACCAAGAAGGACAGTGGCCACCAGCTGTTATAATTGGGGGCCTCTCCAGGTACATGGAGCGCCGCAATGCAAATGCAAGTCTGACATAGCTTTCCACATGCACTGGTTCCTAACAAGTTACGGTTACCACGTGGGCCATTAAAGGACACTGTAAACAAATTTATTAAAAAATAGCCTTGGCTGGTGTGGCTCAGGGGATTGAGTGCTGGTCTACAAACCAAAGGGTCGCTGGTTGGATGCCCAGTCAGGGCACATGCCTGGGTTATAGACCAGGTCCCCAGTAGGGGGCAAGCGAGAGGCAACCACACATTGATGTTTCTCTCCCTCTGTTACTCCCTCTCTTCCCCTCTCTCTAAAAAATAAATAATAAAATCTTTTAAAAAGTGTATTTTTATCGACATACAACAGATGCAGAAAAGTGAGCAAATCCTAAGTGCTTGATGAAGTTTAACAGCTAACATTCTGTTGTACAGCCCAAAGCCCCTCCCACGCCCCTCCCAGCTATCACGCTTGATCTCTTGCCCGAGGATAACTGCTATTTTGACTTCTAATATCGTAGATGCTTCTCGCCCAAGTTTGAACTTCATATAAATGGACTCTGTATACAGAGGGTGTCCATTTGTGTCTGGTTTCTTTTCTTCAACACTGCGTATGTAAGAGTCACGGACGGTTCTATGGTATTCCATTGTAGGAACACACTCCTGTTTATTTTTCCACTTACGGCTGATGGGCATTTGGACTGCTTCTGGTTTCCCGGCTGTTATGAAGAGCGCTGCTCCGAACGGTTCGGAATACACCTTTGTGCGCATGCGTGCACACTGCCCTTGGGGCGGTAACTCGGAGGGTGGCTGGGCCCCAGGGTCTGCGTGTGGTCAGCTTTGGCATCGCTCGTTTTATTTTGCGGAAACCTAGAAAGCTGCTTGCAGTGAGTGAACAGCAAACATACCTAAATGCGGAAACTTCCCAAATCCAAGCACATGTGCATTCTTCTTCAGAGCTGACCTGTGCAATGCGGTCACAGGCAGGACGACTGAGTGTCGGTCACCGAGCTGCTGGCGTGTGATGTCTCACCAACTAACTTCTGCAGACACGTCTCCTGGTCTCCTGGGGGTTTCGATGGGGACTTCCTGGCGTTCACCCCAGCCAGCTGCTGGGGCCAAGTCTGGATGAGCACGGCTTGCTTAGACCCAAAAGAAAGCTTTCAGTTTGTCCCATTTCCCCATGGTCTGGGTATTTCCCCCGTGGCTTGGACTTCCAAAAAAAGCACTTCCCCAGGGAAGCTTTACTGTCCCTCCTCTCTCCCACTGCCCCCCCCCCCTGCCCCCAGCCTGACATCGGTGGGAGGACTGGGAGGATCTGGAACCAGAGAGGGATGCAGGGAACAGCTTCTCCCTCACAGGCAGGGCCAGCGCCTACTGCACAGAGAAGGGGACCAGGAGTGCAGTCCCTCGGAAAGCTGGCCTCTTCCCACCGGGTGCTTCCAGTGGCAGGCTCTGCAGGTAGAGCGGCAGCCAGGGGTTGGGCTGGTGTCTTGTTGCCTCCGGCGGCTCTGGGATGGAGACGCTGGGCCTTCCTTCACCTGGCTGTGTTGGGTGGCGTGGATTCCACTTTGCACGGTGGCAGGAGTGGGCAGCCTCGTCACACCAGGAGTGATTGAACGTAAGTGTTTGGCCGCCCAGGGACATCAGGGTAGGATAAAATGACTCACTCATCAATTAAAACTGGCACAGATGTAAATGTCACACATTGCCGACACTGGTGGCTAAGTTTGCATGGGTGTGATGACGGTGACGTGGTGTGGCCAGCGTGGCGTGGCCAGCTTGCCCGGCACCTGCCTGGGATGGAGCCGAGGCCCCTGGAGGCTGAGCCTGGAAGGGCCTGGGAAGTGCAGACCGAGGGAGCCAGAGAAAACCTTTCCTTTGCTCTCGCAGGCCAGTCCCCCTGAGTCCCTCTCCCTCTGCTTGGGGGGTGCAGCCACTCCCCCTCTTGGAAGCTCCTCCCGTTTCTGGTCCTGAGGGGGTGGGAGGGTCGCTCCACTCCATACCCAGAACTGGGGAGGAAGAAGTCCAGTCCCTCTCCCTAGCTCCCCACTGCTTTCTTTCTGGGACCAACTGCTGTAGGTGGAAGTATGTGAAGTGGCTGTTATTTGACCTTTGGACCCCAAATGGCACTTTCACTAGGTCAACCTAAATATAGGCCTTTTATATTTTAAACACCTTACAGCTAACTGTGATAGGACACTCCCCAGAGACTGTGACACTCCCCAGAGACTGCAGGGATAGGCTTCCCGGCCAGCTCTGCCTCCCCCAGGCCCTCAGCTCACGATGAGTACGAGGGCCTCTCCCAGGACCGGGCCTGACTCGGCTGAAGGCCCGACCAGACAGCTCTGCTCAGGGCCAGGCCCTGCCTTGTGGACTCACCATCCTGCCTCCTCCCACCGCTGCTGGCCCTCCTCTCTCCCCTTCCTACTGTATTTTCATTCTGCAGGTGCTTCTCAGTCCTGCCCTGGCCCCTGCCCCCGTGAGGAAGAGTCCTCCCTGCACAGCCTTCTTGTCTGACCCCGCTGTCACCTCCTTCTCCCGTTCTGGAGGCCCCTGGCTCCAGCCCCTCCCTCTGCCCATTCCTCTCTGTCCTGTGTGTTTTGCCCACAACACTTCTCCTGGCCAGGACGATGAGCCCAGGAAAGGTCAGTTCCCTTATCTGCACTGTGGTTTATATCCGAGCTTGCTCTCTCTTGAAGTCAAGTGTTCCTAAACAGCAGGGGCCCACTTTTGGAAGCCCACCAGGCTCGGCCCAGCTGCTCCCAGTACCCCCTCTACCCTGCGCCCCCACCCCCAGCCCTTCCGATCCTGCCTCTGCTTCAGGCCCGAGTCCCACCCCCTCTCTGAGTCCCACTCCCTCTGCCTCCAGGTTGAGGTACCAGGTTTAGGCAGAGGCCTGACGACCCCGGCCAATCCCACCTAAACCTGACTCCCCACAGTCTCTCCCTGTCCTCCCTCAGGTAGCTCCCCACCCCGACCCAGGTCATGTCAGCAAACCTCAATAAATTCCCAGCCCGGGTCCTCATGGGAATCTGGTCAGAGGCTAGAGGGGCCACCTGTGAGAGTGAGTGCAGGCCGGCTGAACAGCGCCCCTGCAGGATAAACCAGCTACTGCACCGCAGGGGCCCTGCTCTGGCCTCTCCTGACCTCCATGGGCCTGGCCAGTCACCCCTGCGCCCGTGGTCCCCACAATGTTGCAGACTTCACCCACCGTCCAGCCACTTGGCCAACAGTGACCAACCGAGTCAAAGCGCCCTGCAAACACCCCTTTGCCACACAATCAGCCTTTACTAGTGGCTGGTTGTTCATTCAGCCGCTGACATTCTTCAGTAAAAACGTATGTAACACCTACTACCTTCCAGGTACCATTCTAGGCTCCAGGGACATGTGGTGAAGGCAGATGAGGTCCTTCCCCGCAGGGAGCTGCCAGGCTAGTGGGGACAAACCCATGACGGCCACAGTGGGGTCTGTGTGTCACCAGGATGAGCTGAGGGAGCACAGAAGTTGAGAGAAGTGTTTCTAAATTTCTATAGCAATTTGACAGACTGTACTGACTTGAGTAAAAAAAAGAAAATCACATTTCTGTTGTCTTTCTTTCCATCTGTTTTTTTTTTTTGACAGAGAAAGAAAAAGAGAAAAATGTTGACCAGTTATTTCACTCATTTCTGCATTCATTGGTTGATTCCAGTATGTGCCCTAACTGGGGATTGAACCCGAAACCTTGGTACACTGGGACATGCTCTAACCAGATGAGCTGCTGGGCTGGGGCTCCATCTCATTTTTCTAATAATTCTTATTGATGATATTTTACAAAAGTATTGAGCTGCAATGGACTGGAAATTAAGAAAAACCCACCCAAACCAGAGAAACGTTGAGAAGCATGGTTCTGCACTACAAATTGCAATTTGTGCCATGAAAAACATGACGGAGAATAATGAGGACAGACCTGGTCTAACGGGGGTGGTGTCTGATGCGACCTGAAGGCTCAGGAGGAACCAGCCTGCAAAGAGCTGGGAAAGGAGCTTCTCGGACAAGGGAGCAGCTGTGTGCCAAGGCCCCGAGGTGAGCGAGAAGATGGGGGGCTGACAGAAAGGAAGCCGATGGAGGGGGAGCGGAAGGAGCCAGGGGCATGCTGGGAGGGTGGGAGGGCAGGCAGGGCTTGATCCTGCGGGGGGGGGGGGGCATCTTGAGAGCAGGGGAAGACTCCCGAGTGCCCTACGGGGACACGTGTGGCATCAGCACTTCTCGCCTACTCCTCTCTGGTAACACATGCCAAGGGCAACCTCATCCTGGACTCCCCGGGCGGGGCTCTTTGGCAGATGCAGAAGGACACTGTGACAGCTTAAGTCCAATCCTGAGACAGGGGTTTTCAGATCAGCTTTCTTGTGAAGGACCAGCATGCAAACCCTTTTCAAGAAACCTCTGTGCCCTGGCCGGGTGACTCGATTGCAATGTCGTCTCGAACACCGAAACTTGCTGATTTAACCGTCAGGTGGGGTGTGTATGAGGCAACAGATGGATGTTCCTCACGTCAATGCTTCTCTCTCACATCAACATTTCTCTCTCTTTCAAATCAATAACATATCCTCAGGGGAGGATTTAAAAAAAGAGAGAAACCCTTGTGGCTCTGGGGCTTACTGATTGAGACAAGATGTCACCAAGATGGAATTTGGCTGAAAGTAAAATTTGCTCAAAGATAATGTATTTTGTAACTATGGAAAAACACTGAAGGCTGGAAGAGAGATTTCATAGTTTTTCTGAGAAGAGTAGGGACTGGGCAATAAAGCTGGTTGAGCTGGCCTTTTATCAACTGACGTCCGTTTCAAAACTGAGCAAATGGGCGTCCTTGAAAATGCTGCAGAGGCTCAGGAGTCTCCGAGGTGCCGTGCGAACCCTCCAAAGGAGTTTACGCATCATTTTACAAGTGTGTTTCCTGTGTTCTCTTTTCAACAATGTGCTGAGTGGTAACTGAGACCTATTCAACAGGCGGTCTGTCCGTCTCCAATAACTCGCCCATAATCAGGTCACTATACATCTCTTTGCACCCTGCTGCTTTTGGCGAAAGAGTTCACTGCCCATGTTCATCGAGGCTGGAAGTCTTCAGGCATTAGAGAAAGTTGCTGCAAATTGTTTACTAAAGGTGCCTTCCGAAGGTTTGATTTTTGAACCAGCCCTGTAATTATTTTTATTCTTACAACATTATTCTGCAGGCCTGGCTGTGTAGCTCAGTTGGTTAGAGCATTGTCTTGGTATCCCGAGGTTGTAGGTTGGATCCTGGGTCAGGGCACGTGCAAGGGGCAACCTGTGAACGCATTAAGTAAGTGGAAGAACAAACTCATGTTCCTCTGTCTCTCTCTCTCCCTTTCCTTTTCTTCCTCTGTCTCCAAAACCAATGAAAAAACTTTTCCAAATGAATCTGAGAGTTTAAGTCATTCCGTACCAATCAGTGATTTTTGCCTCCTGGGGCTGCCAGCAAGGTTGCATATTAAATAAGCCTCTGGAAATTCCTGTCAGCTATTTAAACCACACTTTTTAACTTCTTCCAGCTTATTTTACTACTCTGAAAATGTCCATGATCCCCTGGCTGGTGTAGCTCAGTGGATTGAGCGTGGGCCTGCGAACCAGATGATCATGGTTCAACTCCCAGTCAGGGCACATTCGTGGGTTGCAGGCCAGTTCCCAGCAGGGGCCAGTTCCCAGCAGGGGCCAGTTCCCAGCAGGGGGCGCACCAGAAGCAACCATACATTGATATTTCTCTCCCTCTCTCCTTCCCTTCCCCTCTAAAGATAAATAAATAAAATCTTTTAAAAAATGACCATGGAAGACCCATTATCACTGTATGGAAATATTAAAGCTTAATATGCATATTAGGTAAGGAGGTTGTCAATATATGATGTTGATGAGCGAACAGTCATGCTTTCCTGGTGAAAGTGCAAAATTGAGTCTGCCTTCCCAGGCAATATGGCAACAGGTAACAGGCGCTTTTAGAAATATTAGGGTCCCTGGACCTTCTGGAAATATTTCCTGATGGTACATTAGGAAATAATCAGAGATAAGAACAGATATTTTTATACAAGGATAAAAGGATTATTTGCTATATCATATTTATAAAAATGAAAACTTAGAATCATTCTACAATCCAACAACAGTAAACTTGTGAAATAAATTATGATGCATCTCTATAATAATATTATACTGCTGCATGTTCACAATATAATGTTATCTGAAAAATAAGGCAAAATTATATTTGTTGTTTTTTGTTGTTAAATATTCACACATCCTGAGAAGAGCTCATACAAAACCATTATCTTTTTTTTTGTTTTTTATAAATCAAGTTTATTTATTGATTTTATTTATTTATTTTTAGAGAGAGAGGAAGGGAGGGAGAAAGAGAGGGAAAGAAACATCAGTGTGTGGTTGCCTCTCACGTGGCCCCTACTGGGGACCTGGCCTGCAACCCAGGCATGTGCCCTGACTGGGAATCGAACTGGCGACTCTTTGGTTTGCAGCCTGTGCTCAATCTACTGAGCTATACCAACCAGGGCAAGATTATCTCTGAGTGATGGATTATAAGTAATTTTTCCTACAGACTGTTTTCTACAGTCTTAAAATTTCCTACAATGCATGTGTATTACTTTCAAAAGTAGTATTTATTAAAACAACGAAAATATTTAAAACATCAGTCATTAGCTACCATTTCATATTCATTACTAGTGTAGATTTAATTTTCTATAATCATGAAATAAGCTTAGCCACCATTTTACAGACTTGCAATCAAAGGCACCTTTCGTTGCTGCACAGGATGTGTGGCTGGCGGATTCATCAATACCCTTCCATCACATGGTATTTGGCTCGTAGCGTCTTCGTGATCAATCCAAAGGGAAAAGCCGGACGTAGCCCACAGCTCGGGCCTCCCTGACAAGCAGCCCCCGGTCAGGATGGATGGGAGAGGTGAAAACGGGGGCAAGCTGGGCATCTACCTTCACTGGACTGTTTTCTCTGAGTCTTGGTTACCTGATCTGATTTCATTTACGTCAGAATTTGACCAGATCGCTACACAGGTATGTTGGGAGGGAAGGGGTTAAGTCTAGATTTTGGATTTGTTGTGAAATCACTTATCTCTTGGGTTGCTGACAGCAATGATATTTGTTAAATACCTCCAGGAATGAGAGTAGATTTTCTTCCAGTAAGAATGTGGCAAATGAAACCTGGTTATTTCTTTACCTTCAGTCAGATGAATGTTTGAGTTAAAAAAAAAAATCCCAAACAAAACAAAACAGATCAAAGTCACCTTTTAAATCTGTCATATGTCTGGTGTGTGGCCCTGACTTCCAACATGACCTAAGATATTTATTTTGTAAAATAAAGTTCAAAAAGGCAAAGATAATCATTGACTTACACCAAACACCCAATAACTCCTGCAAATGGATGGTCAACAGGCATTGACATACATTCCTTATTTTGACCAGGAAGGGGTAGAGTTATTCTCAAGGTTAAGTAAAGGTCATCACTCTCTGCCAACTGCCACTCAGTGGTGATGGAAAAGCAAAGGCTGAGGTTGGGTGCCTGGAGATTTCACTTAAGAAACAACTGGCCCCAGTCTGTCTGTTCACTGAGGTCATTTCTCTTAGTTTTCCCATAATTGTACTAGATCAGCAGTCAGGTGAAATGCAGATTCATCACTGATAGAATCTCTGTCCTGGGCTGAGAGTTCTTTCATTTGTGTGCCTTTGTGGCCAGGGCCATTATTTCTAAGTGCCTTCTGATCCTGCAGCTGGTCATCTGTCTTTCACGACATTAAATTTAACCTTCACGTTAGATGCTGATGGGGAATTTGGTCTGTAGAAGCTATTGGACTAGTTTCACAAATTTTAGTAACTTCAGGGAAAACATCTTAAGACTCATCAAAATTTGAAAGTAGAAAGCAAACACTGATGGCTTCCTAGTAATTTAAGGTTCTTAAAAGATCTCCAGTGATAATTCTGATTATTTAGGTCCTTCAACGATTTGACTCCTTAAAATATGGAAAAAAAGTTTACACCTCTCTCAGTCCATCTTCAAAACAATTTAACTGTAACTGTTCTGTTGATTTAAGACAGGAGCCTCTGGGCTTTTCTCCATTCACCAACTATACGAGGGTACTTAGCTCCTCTGTGCTGGGAACAGGGTCCTCCAGGGAGACACCACCAACAGGTCGTGTCTGAGGAGGCTGAGAAGTGCCACAACCCGTCACCTGTGAGCTGGAGACCCAGGCATGCGTGCTGAGTCCAGAGGTTTGAGAGCGGAGCTTTGATGTCCACGGGACCAGCTCAGGAAGAGTGGCTTTGCCCTTCCTCTGCCTTTTGTTCTATTTGGGCCTCACAGGATCCGGTGAGGCCCACCCACCTGGGAGGGCAGACCTTGCCTACTCACGCACTGATCCAAATGCCAACACGCTCACAGACACGCGCAGAAATCACGTGTTACCAGCCACCTAGGTGTCCCTTATCCCAGGCAGGTCGGCACATAAAATTAGCTACCACACCAGTACAGGCATAGTACTCAATGTTAGTGAGTTATAGGGCGTGTGTAAATTGATACAACCTTTTTAGAGATCAGTCTGGAATCATATATTAAGTGTCTTAAAAATGTTCAAGTCCCCTGTTGCTGTAATAATTTCAATGTAAGGAACCTAGCCCAGGGACACCATTTCACAAGATGATTTTATCCACAAAGATATTCGTTCTACTCATCATTTAAAATGGGGAAAGGTAGACAGTGTAAGGGAACCACCGTCTTTCTCCACGTGTTTCTGCCTCGTGACCGAAACCTTCTGCCTTCCTGGGGAGGGAGCGGGAGACACGTCGAACATTCTTCCCCCTACTCTTTACACTCAGGGGAGTCGTGGGGCCTCTCAGATGGGTGGAAACGGTAAAGGCGACTCACTGCACTGTCTGCGCTTTGCCTGGACCTCCCAGGTCCCAGCTGCCACATGCTCTTCTGTGGGCAGCTGGCCGGGCCAAGTCTCTGGACCGTAAGCCTAGCCTTCTCACATCAGATTTAGGGAAGAGGGACTGGTTTTGGCTTGCGGAACACGCCAACCCACGGTGCATTAACTGAGAACAAGGAGGTGGTGCTAGAAACCAGTGTCAGAGGGCTGGGCCTCCTGAGGTAGCCTCAGCAGCTGACGCTTGCCGACTCAGGGCTGCTTCTGACATCTGAGAGCCAAGTAAACATGCTTTATAACTCTCAAGTGGGCCACCCTGGCTGACTACGGTGTGAGCAGTGTGACATTTGAGTCACTGTGTCATAGACATGAATCTGAGGGCAAGGACACACCCATCAGATGTACCCCTTCCCAATTCTGAGTCTGGGTTCTGGGCCTTGAAGAACAAACAGCAGGAAAGACATGACTGCTCTCTGAAAGTGACAACTCCGAGGACTCTCTCGAGGGACTTTCTACTTCTACTCACGCTTACTTTTCAAAACGTCTGCTATAATATATGTGGTAATGCGGTATTTTATTTACTTTGTCCATTCATGACTAACCTTTGAGAACATGAACAATGTTAATAGAATTTAACCTAGGAGAAGTTCAACTTCACATTTTTCAAAATATTTCAATACCGGGTGTTAATAAGAGAAAGAATTATGGTTGAAATTATTTTATAAAAACTTATAATAAGTGTTTGAAGGTAGTCTCTAATACATACAATCAGCTTTGGGTGTGAAGTTCTCTGGTTCTAAGAAAGAACATTTGGTTCACTTCACTAATAGGGATGTCCCTTAGCGCCGGGATGGCCTCCTCCTGGTGCTCCTTCTGCTGCTGGTTTTTGGCGTAGTTATCTGCAAGGAGAGGGCAAGGCGCTGACTGCCCAACGCTTTCCCTGAGTCTCTGCGGTTTGCGGAGACCTACGACACAGTCTACTAGCTCATGTTTGGGTAACGGCAGAGACCACGTGTAAGTGTAATTGAAAGATTACTTAAATTCTCTCTTGAGAAGAAATGTCCCAATTAGAATAGAAATTAGCAAGCCCTGTTTTGCTTGGAGAGAAGTTGCTATTTCACTCCTCGGTATAAGGACGACTGAAGTCCCATCTGCACATGCCCCACAGGAGCACAGTTCCAATCCAGCTTAGGAAATATATTTAAGTCAACACCCGAAAACTGTCACGTCATTTGGTGCGATCATCCATACAAACCTAGCACGTTCCCCTCTCTGCACAAATTGTCTATTTGCCACAATTCCAGTCAAGAATGCTGGGAATACAGTAGGTCATCAGAAAGAAAATATAAAAATACTATAACTGATTTTCAAAATGCATTGTATAGGCTCACCCCCCAAAAAAAGACTTTGAAAAGTTAAAAAATCATACCTGGGAACTTCAAAAATACTTCACTTCCTACAATCTAAACAAGCTTAGGAATCTGCCTAATTTATTTTAGTCTTTAGACTTCAAAATGAGAACTTTAAATAAATAAAACTGCAAAAACAAGCTGTGGCTCATCGGCCCCCTCTCTGGGGTCGGGCACACACAGTGACCCTGAGGGTACACACCCCAAACCCCTCCTCCTAGACAAGTCCTGCGAGGCCATCCCTCCACCAATGCCGCCTGTTTAGGGCAGAAGTTGTTTCTGCCAGGCAGAGCTGCTGAGGAACATACCATCTACTCGTGGTTTTTAAGTGCACATACACCTGTTAACCAGTGCAGTGAACAGCACGTTCGCTAGAACCTGTTTCCCGTGGAACATTCCTGTGGTGTACCTGTGCAGTATTTCTCCCCAGTTCTTCCCACTGCGCCGCTGTGTGGGGTACTGCAGCCTGTTCTGGGTTGTTCTTCTTGATAGAAGCGCTGTGGGCCCACTCCTGCATCCCCCGCCCCTCCCATCGGCACAGTTACCTGTGACTGTATGAATGGAGCTGAGTGGTGAGGTGTCCATCATGTTTACTCCAAACAGGAGTACGTACCCGATGACTATGGTAATGAGGAGGTAGACGGGCAGCGCAACTGCCCAGTACCTGCAGAAGAGAAGACGAGGTAGGTAGCAGACTTCCTCCAAAGTTACAATTCTTACAAGTCCGTCACTAGGCTAACATTACTTTAAAAATTTGATTTCATTAAAGTAATACGTGTACATAAAGGACAGTCAAACATTTCTACAAGGCCTGTAATTCGAAGTCGTAACCTGTATCCCACCCGTCCCCACTCTGGAGTCTCACCCCCCAAAAGGTACTTGAGCACCCGAGCGGTTTTTCCCAGTGCTGGCCTCGTACTCATGCTGTAAAGGTTTCCTCAACTGCAGATGTTTGCTCCGCACTTCCCAGGGTGGGGATGGGGAACCAACTCTTCTACGCTGTCTCACCTGCCTCCCGCCCTCTCCCTGCACTTACATCACGCTTTCTGGGCATACCCAGTGTTTAAAAACTACTGTGACTATAAACAATGCTTGCAACTGAGAACCTCGGTATTATTATAGGCTTTCTTATACATTTTTTTCCTTTTTCTGGAATTAGCAACACCACCTCTTTGTGTGTGTGCTTCTTTTCCATGTACCCATCAGCTCTCAACCCCAGAGTCTCCGACGGGACTCCAATGTGCCTCAAGGCAGCGGAGCGGCTGTGGGTCTGGTTTTTTAGTCCTTTCCTCCCTGCCGCGCTCTCTCTCTCTGGGCCTGCTAAGGGTTAAGAGTTTTTCACCCTGTTATTCTTTCTTCATCTTTTCTCTAGTTTCCATTTTTCTGTCTTCTACTTTCTGGCGATTACCTTTGGTTTATCTTTTAACCCAACAATTAAAATTTCAATTGTAGCTATATTTATAATTTTCAAAAATGGCAATAATTCCTTAAAGGTTTCACTTTTTTATAGCATCCTGTTTTTCCTTATTTTATTTTACTGATTTATGCTACTATAGTTGTCCTATTTTTTTCTCTCCTTTATTCCCCTCTGCCCTGTCTATGGGTCACACATATACGTTTCTTGGCTTCTCCATTTCCCATACTATTCTTATACTCCTCTGTTTTGTACCTACCATTTGTGCTTCTTATTCCCTGTAACTTTTTCCCATTCACCATCCTCCCCCTCCCTGCCGATAACCCTCCATGTGACCTCTATTTCTGTGATTCTGTTCCTGTTTTAGTTGTTTGCTTAGTTTTTTGGGTTTTTTTTTTAGGTTCCGTTGTTGGTAGCTATGAGTTTGTTGTCATTTTACCATTCCTATTTTTGCTCTTCTTTTCTTAGAAAGTCTCTAATATTGCATATAATTAGGGCTTGGTGATAATGAACTTCTTTAACTTGACCTTACCTGGAAGCACTTTATCTGACCTTTCATTCTAAATGAAAGCTTTGTTGGATAGAGCAATCTTGGATGTAGGTCATTGCCTTTCATGACTTAGAATACTTCTTTCAAGCCCCTTCTTGCCTGCAAGGTTTCTTTTGAGAAATCAGCTGAAAGTCTGATGGGAACTCCTTTGTAGGCAACTGTCTCCTTTCTCTTACTGCTTTTAAGATTCTCTCCTTATCTTTAATCTTAGGTAATATAATTATATGCTTTGGTGTGTGTTTCCTTGGTCCAACTTTTTTGGGACTGTCTCAGCTTCCTGAAAGTCTATTTCCTTTGCCAGATTGGGGAAGTTCTCCTTCATTATGTTTTCAATTTCTTGCTCTTCGTTTTTTCCTTCTAGCACCCCTATGAGATTCAGATGTTGGAATGTTTAAAGTTGTCCTGGAGGTTCCTAAACCTCTCCTCATTTTTTTGAGTTCTCGTTTCTTCATTCTGTTCTGGTTGAATGTTTATTTCTGCCTTCTTGTCCAAACTGTTGATCTGAGTCCTGGTTTCCTCCCCTTCACTGTTGGTTCCCTGCACATTTTCCTTTATTTCACTTTTCTTAGCCTTCACTCTTTCCTTTATTTTGAGAGCATACTCAACCATTTCTGTGAGCATCCTAATTACCAGTGTTTTAAACTCTGCAACTTGTAAGTTGGGCTATTTCTTCATCACTTAGTTGTATTTTTTCTGGAGCTTTGATCTGTTCTTTCATTTGGGCCGTATTTTTTTTAGTCTTGGCGTACTTGTCCCATTGTAAGAGGCAAAGCCTTAGGTATTCACCAGGGCTGGGCAACCCACGCCACTGCATTGTGGCTCTGTCTATGGGGGAGGGGTCCAAGAGGAAACAATGCTGGTTAATTGGCTCTTGGCTAGCTTTCAGTCACTTCCGCCACTACCCACAAGCAAACTGGACCCTTCTGGTGCTGATTCCCAGGTGGGTGGCTTTGTGTACATTCTAGCACCCTGTGGGGCTCTTCAAAGAACTCTTCTGTAAGTCTGGGAGTTTTTGCTGCCACCTTAACCCTCACAGATTTTTACAGCCAGAGGTTTTGAGGCTTTGTTTCCTCACACTGGGACCCTGGGTTGAGTGGTCTGTCTCGCTCTCCAGTTGTTCCTCCCGGTTTACCTGCACAGGAATGTGGGACCACTGGGTCCCCTAGCTGCCGCCTTCTTCCAGGTCTTCGCTATCCCAGGTGCCAGTTTCTGCCCCTCCCACTGGTCTGGATGGATGTTTCTTCTTAACTCCTTGGTTCTTAGAGTTCCATACAGTTTGATTTCCTGGCAGTTCTGGTAATTTTTTGTTTTTAAATTTGTTGTCCTTCTTTAGGTTCTGCGAGGAGACAAAGTATATCTACCTATGCCTCCATCTTGGCTGGAAGTTACAGCATCCTGTTCTTGTTTCATAGTTATTTTCTTCTGTTCCTTCTCTTGGCTCCTTTTCCTAATTACCATGTTAAAGAGGCACCTGGTGTGTCCAATTTCTGAGCCTTTCTCTAGTTCTGGGGCACACATATTCTTGCTGGCTTCTCTACTTCAGCAGTGTGAAAAAGTAGAAATTAAATCAGTTACCTCTTACCTTTCAACAACCCCAAAATTGGACTGGTACTTTTTACCTGCTATCCCATTATTTGTTCCTATGGGTTTACACCTTAACAAATTTTTTTTTCCTACACAGTTACTTTAACAAAATATTGGGAAGAAATGGAGACAAATGTACATATTGAATACATCATTTTTCATTGCGGTGTATCAATAATGGCCTTTAAAAAGCTTTAAATTTCTATATGGCTATTTATGGATCTTAAGGAATAAATTTCCAAGATTTGAGTATTCTTAAGAAAATATCTGATCCTTCAAAACAGCATTAATATACTTTTATTTTCTTTAAGCAATACATTCAACTTACTTTTGAGGCCAATAGGTTAAGCTTAATGCGTTTAGCCAAGATTCAGGAACAAAAGCCCACACGAGATACAGAACTGTAAAGAGAGGGAAGAGCGGTCAGTGAGGCGGACGTCTCACATGCTGAGGTTCAAAGCAAAGAGCTCCGGGAAGCTTCCCTGGTGCACTCAAAAATGCCTGTCCCTCTTTCCAGTTCTTCCGGCTCCTTCTTTGTACCCTTATCACCATTACTTTCTATGTTTTTACTGTGGTAAAAAAAATAACAGAAAACGGATGAAATTCAACCCTTTTTAAGTGCACAGTCAGCAGTGTTCGGGTACAAGCACCTCACTGTGAAGGAGATTTCCAGAGCGTTTTCAGCTCAGACAAGCCCATTGCACAACAACTCCCCTTTTCTCCATTAGTCAAATCGTTAACATGTCATTAACACCCACACCCTAGTTTAAGCAGTTTAGGTCAGCAATTTTTGTGTTTCTTATAGCACCTAGTGGCGTGCCCTTTACGCACAGTAGGTGTTCGACACTTCGTCCCCACAGGGTTGAAATAATCAGAGACATTTAGTTGCTTACGAGTGAGTCACTCTAGTCGTGCTCTGACCTCTGCACAATGGGCTTCTGCCTTGTCCCCCAGAATGCACTCTTACTCCCTTCCCTCCAAGTCTCTGCGGCAACATTTACTGCTGTCCTGTGCCATGACAACGGACCTGTGGCTATCACTATGGGGTAGGCACACCTCTAAGCACTTACTTGCATTATTTATTCAATCCTCAGGACAATCCTAGAAAGTATTATGCCATTTTTACAGATGAGGAAATGGAATTTCAGAACTGTGACATCATCTGCCCAAGGTAAATAGCAAAAACAAATTTTAAGCACTATATCAATGATGATGAAGGAATGACATTTTCCTCAACAAATATGTAATATACACTTTTATATGTCAGGAATGTGAGATACAAAAGTGAATCCAAAAGAGGCCTCTGTCCTCCCTGAGCTTCAAATCTAGTGGGAAAGGAGACAATTAAATGGGTATTTTTAATGTACCAATTAAAATGATAAGTACTAATGAGTAAGTAATACAAAATGATGTAGGGATACCTAAGAAGGAGGACCTCAGCCCTGGGTAGTTCGGTTGGTTAGAGTATTATCCTTATACTCCAAGGTTGCAGGTTCAGTCCCTGGTCAGGGAACACACAACAATCAACCAACGAATGTATATACATAACTGGAACAAGAAGTCAGTGTTTCTCTCTCTCTCAAATCAATTTAAAAAATAAAAGGAGAAAGAAGGATCTCAGCCCACACTGGTGGTGAGGAAGGTAATGTTAATGGTCAGGAAAGATTTCCTGGAGGAAGTGACTAAATTGGGGCCTCAGCGATGAACAGGGGGTTAGCTGGATTAAAAATGTTGATGGTTGGGCTTGTAGATGAAAGGCAGGGAGGACATAAGAGAAAATGGCATTCTCTGCCTTGATCTACAGAGATAGCAACAGAGGCCTGGTGTGGCTAGACGGCAGAGGGAAAGGGGGGCAAGAGGCCGGCTTGAAGTTTGAGATAGTTTCCATTTCCCCTTATTTCCTTCAAAGCTATTACCATTTTCTGTAATTACTGTGACCGACGGAATGTTTGCCTCCCTCTCATATTCATATAATGAAGCTCTAATCCCCAACGTGGTGGTATTTGAAGGGAGGGAAGGCAGGGAGGGAGGAGACACCTTCATGAGGTTGGGGCCCCCATGATAGGATTGGGGTCCTTTTAAGAAAAAAGAGAGACCAGAGATTTGCTTTCCTGTTCTCTCTCTCCCCAATACCACCCCCTCCCATCTTGCACTTCCCAGCTTCCAGAACTGTGAGAAAAAAAGTCTATAGTTCAAGCCACCTAGTCCATGGTATTTTGTTATAGCTGCCTGAGCAGGCTAAGAAAATTACTTTGTTTTTAAATCAGAGAATATCTCAACAGAGAGAATGATATAATCCTCCTGCCTCCCCCTACCCCTAGTTTTCTCATAACTGCTGGGTACTGACCTCTGACCTCCTGTATCTCCTTTCTGCCTCAATGTCTCAGGTTTTAATCTTACTGACCTCCATTTGTCCCCTAAACCCATAGGCACGCTTCCTCCCGAGGGCCTCTACACTGGTCATTCTCTGCCTGGGAGGCACTTTCCCTAGACAGCCACCTGGCTGAGCCGCACTTTTCTTTTTATTAAAAAATACTTTATTTATTTATTTTTAGAGAGGGGGGAGGGAGGGAGAAAGAGAAGGAGAGAAACATCAATCAGTTGCCTCTCACTTGCCCCCAACCCAAGACTTGGTCTGCAACCCAGGCATGTGCCCTGACTGGGAATTGAACCAGCAACTTTTTGGTTCACAGGTGAGCGTTCAATCCGCTGAGCCACACCAGTCAGGGCCACATTTTTATGTCTGTGCTTAAACCTCATGGCTAAGCAAGGCACTTCCAGACTGTTGTATTTAAAACAGCAACCTCTTCCCACTTCTATATCCTCCTTTCCTGCTTAATTTTTCTCCATAGTACTTTATCATCTGACATTTTGTATGTTTAATTTACTTATTTTGTCCACTGGCTTTCTTGCTCCACTAGAATGAAAACTTTGTGGAAATTCTGGCTGTTTGCTCCTCCTCTGCCTATAGCAGTGCTCTCAAAAAATTGTTGAATTAACTTTTGTTGGGTGTTATTATTGAATTTAAGTCTTAAAGTCCTTGATTTTATTTATATGTATAGTTTCTAATCCTTCAAATACACTATAGAACATGAATTTACAAAAAATATGTTGATGGTGATTATAACAACAGCAGTTAATATTAGTTCTTAGTGTTCCTATCCATTGTTCTAAATGCTTTGCATAAATTATGGCAATTACTCCTCACAACAGCCATCAAAGTCGCCAAGTGAAGACAGCCCAGTGTCTGGGCTCCAATTCTAGCTGTCATTTGCTGGCTGCAAGACCTTGGGCATGTTGTTTAAACCTCACCTGCCTCAGTATTCTCATCAGTTAAATGAGGACATTGATAATAACATCTACCTTACAGGACAGTCCTGTGACTGATGAACACGGAATAAACATTATCACCAGCTTTTTGCACATGAAGAAACTGAAGACTCAGAGAAGTTATTTAAATGGCCCCAGGTCACACAGCTCAGCCGTGGAAGAACCAACCTTTGATCTCAAGTTATAACTTCATTCCAAAGCCTCCCCTATCCAACAGCTTGGCTGGCTATACCGCTGGAGTGAAGGCTCATACCCCCACCATCCTAGTTTCTACCAAACTCCAAAAAGTTGGATTGTGGGTACCCAATTTTCTCCCTCTTGACCCCTCACAACACTCAAATCCTTTTGGGGAGGGATGCGGGGCCTGCTGTGTGACTCTGGCCATTCGTGTCTTGGTAAGCATCAGTTTATCTGTAAAGTGGGACCTTACAGGGACTGAGACCCAGGATGCAAAGCGCACTGACTTCTCTAGCTTAATTCCCTTCATTCACTAGCTCTCACGTGCAGTGGTGGAGCCTCTTCCGGAGCCTTTGCTCGGGGCCTTCCCATTTCTCCCTCCTTATGGTGGGAAAGGAAGCTAAACTGATTTGACGTCTCTCCCCTGGGCTCCCATGGCGCTGATCACACTGAGTGGTAACTAGAGATTTACTCCTGTGTCTTGCCCATAAAACCATGACTACAGGCACCAGGTTAGTCACTTTGCAATCCTGTCTGGTGCAGTATAAATACTTGTTAAGACGGCATCTTTTTAGGCCAGTACCTGGCATATAGAACGCTCTGAACATCAGTCCCCTTCAGGCTTTCTTTAGACGTAGGTACAAAGAATAACAATTCATGTGTGCACATCCTAGTAACAAACGCAGTAACTTCATTGCCCTTGAACATCAGAAAAAGGCCACACGGCCATCCATCAGGGAAAGTACTTACTGAAGCCAAATTGGGAGCTTAAGAAAAGAACAAAGCCATAAATCGCTCTTTCTGGCAATGGCGAAGGTGAATTTTCCACCATCTTCCCTGTGGCTTTTAGACAACCTGTGGGAAAGAAGCACAGTCGCTATCAGTGATGTATTCCCTTGATTGGTCTGGTATAACCTCATAGTTTTGCTATGGGCACAGCCTCCGCACCTCTGCAGAGGTGCAGAAACAGCAGAGGTGCAGAAACACCTCTGCAGTGTCAGCCTACCCCAGTGCAAACGGTCATCCTGCACACACACCTCCAACACACGCACGCTTACACTCGCGCACATCAGCACCCACGCCTAACCTGCACGCGCACTTCAGCCGCCGAACCTCGTGAGCACTGGCGCACCCTACAATCAAGGGGAGGGGACACCCCTTCCTATCAGCAGGTTTCGCCTTCCTGCGGGAAGGGAAGGGGTGGGCAGTGCTGGAACGAGACTCACGCGGGCGGCTAGGACCCAGCCCAGCCCTTTGAGGGAAGGCGAAGGGTTGGGGTAAGGGGGGAGAAGGGCTTCCGTTTCTCATTCGAGGTCAAGATGGCCCTCAACCTTAAGTCCGTCAAGCACTCACTTGGGCCCCTCCCAACAGTTCGGCCACCTCGGCGAGGAATCCCCGCCCGCCCCCAGCAAGCACCGACCACGGGACGGGACGCTGCACTGAGGAGAGAAAACAATCTGAGGAGCCCGCCCCAGGGCGAGGGCGCCCCGCAGCAGGGCGCAGGCGCGCTGCGACCCTCCTCCAGCTGGAGTTCGAGAGGGCTCCAAGCTGGCCGCGGCGCAGGAGAGGGCGGGGCAACGCGGCCGCGCAAGTGCGCTACGGCCCACGTGACGCTCCGCCTCCCGCGTCACGGCTCGCTCCAGCCCGGAGCAGGCTGACGTGGAGAGCCTCAGGCGGCGGCTGCGGCCGTCCGAGTCCGAGGCTCGCGAGCTGCGGGCCCGGGTGAGTGCGCACCTGGTGCGCGGCAGGGCTCCTGGATGTGTCACCTTGTCGCACTGCATCCAAGATGATCCGGGAGAGGGGCCCTCCACACCCCTTCCGTGGGCTTGTGGTGAGTGTGGTTGTGTGCCCGCATGGGATGGGTTGCTGGTGCCCTGGGGGTGTGTGGCCGCTTTTGTCCTGCGGAGTGGGTGTGTCCCTTCTGTCCTGTGTCCTCCTTCGGCGAGCCTCTGCCCACCCTGGTGTCTGCGAGAGTGAGAGAAGTCCGTTTGTGTACGCATCCCCTTGCCGCCCGCGCACCCTAGTCTTGAGGGTGATACTGCTGCTCCGGGAGGGGTCCTCAGGACCCGGCGCGCTGGCACGCGCCCGTGTGTCGCCTTTCCGCCCATTTGTGTCTGTGCGGGCTCTCCCCAGTGACGGCGTTGGCGCCCCCGGCCGGTGTGGGTGGTCTCTCCCTTCTGTGTCACTGCCCCTCTCCCGGGCGTGCGCATCCCCCGCGCGTGTGTTCGCACCTCCTGCAGTCGTGACCCCTGCCTGCAGCATCGCCTGCCCGGGTGTGCGTTCTTGCGTGTCCCCTTGCCTGTGCCCGGCCTGGGTCCTGTTGAGTGCGTGATCCGTGTGTTTGTGAAAGTTCGTGCACGTCGTGTCCTCTGTGTTTTGTGTTTCCTGAGTCTGCGCCACCTGTTTTTGTGAGAAGCAGTGTTTTGACCGGCGCCTCCCATACCCAAGCAGGGGAAACGGGAGCGGAAATCAGCCCAGTGTTCCCCGCTCCACGACGCCTCTGCGGATCATCCTCCATCCCCAACCCCCCACTCCCTAAGCTAATGGCCGGGGAAGGGGGGGAGAACAGCAGCGGGTCTAGGCAGCTGCTGCGTAAAACAACCGGTGTGGCCTGTCCAGCCAGCCTGTTCCTAAGAGGGGCCAGGAAGCAAAACATGAGCCAAGGCGTAGGTGAATTTGGGCTGGTGTCAGTGCGTGCCTCTTCCAGAGGCGCCCTAAACCCCCAAAGACCCTCAATTGCAGACTCCTTCCAAAATTTGCACAATCAATACATTCTGGTCGACCCTGGCGTTCTTGGTAATAATTAGTGAGTGATTCATACAGTGTTTTATGGCGTTCACAAAAATTCTCCCTTTTGATTCTGCCCAACGTCCTGGCCAGAGGTTTCACAGATTATGCTCCTCCCCTGGGAGCAGTTTCCTCATAGTTACAGCTCTGGTTACTCTAGCTAGGATATTTATTATTTAAATTTGCATTTTATCCTAAGGGAAATGGGATTTATTTTAAGGATACACGAGGAAGGAAACTTCAAACCCTTAGGCACCCAACTGCTCCTCCTGTGCAAAGGTTCATGCACTGCGCTGGAGGACTGCGTTTTGGTGTGTTCTCTCTCTGTTCATTTGCTCAATTTTCTTATTCTTGCCTAATTTTCTTTTTAATTTCTGGCTTATTAAATGTACAGGGGGGGGGTCTGACCAACCCATGACTCAGATTTACAGATGTAGTAATTCCGCCACATTTACTTCAGATCCTTTTTTTTTTTTTTAAGAACTTGTAGGCGTTGGAGATGCTCTCAGACCCTCCCCCTCCTTCCCTAGAGATAGCCTCCGTGTTTAGGTTTGTGTGTATCATTCCTTTGCATCCATAAACAGTAATGCAGTGTTCTGTTTTTAAACTTTAATGATATGAAGAAAATATGTCTTTTTGCAACTTGCTTTTCTTCCCCATCCTTAACATTTTGATATTTATAAACAAATAAATTGGAAAATTGTGTTGTTTTTGATTCATTCATTTTAATTGCTGGTATAGAATACCATTGTATGAATATGCCATTATTTACTTACCCATTTATCTGTTGACAGATTCAGGTTGTTTCTGGGTTTTGAGTCCAAAAACCAACCTGCAATAAACACTTTGTATTTGTTTGTTTGTACACACGTTTGGAAGTTTCTCTAGGAAATACACCTAGTAGTAGATTTGCTGGATGGTATGATATGTGCATCTTCAACTTGACCACATATCACAGAAGCTCTCAAAATGGCTGTACTGATTTTTGACTCACTGTATTGAGTGAGGACACATTTTCTCACATCCTTGCTAACAGTTTATGTTATCAGACTTGAACCTTTTGCCTTCTCTTTACTGACTAGCTTCTTTATAACTTTAGCTTGTGGCTAAATGTGGCTTCTGCTTTAGCCAGGTGTCAGTCTGTGGGTTTATCTCTCACGTTTAACTGGCTCAGTACCTCATTTGGTCCTCATGAGGTTAATCCCATAAATTTGTACCTAATGTATGTCAGTTCCTATGGTTGACGTAAAGTACAGGTAGTAATTTCCACGTTATAAATACCTGTCTAGTGGTAGGTGGTGTGATTTAATTTTTTCATATGATGAATTGTTTTTAAAAATATTTTTCTCTTTATTTGATGTAATACACGATACATTCAAAATATATGTAACCTATTTAAGTCATGAAGTGAAACAATAAAAGGAACACCTATCAATCCACCACTCATTCCAAGAAACAAAATGACCAGTATTGAATGTGCTAACCCCCAGAGTGACTACTTTCCTGAATTGTGTGTCATTCATTTCTTTTTTGAAAATTTTATCAGATATGTACACATCCCTCAAAAGTGTATGGCTTCTGCTATCTTTGAATTTTGTTTTTTTTAAAGTAATACTGCACACGGTTTTCTGGGAAGTGCTTATTTCACTCAATGTTATGTGTCTAAGGGTCATTCATACTAAGAATAGATTTGTCATTAATTTTCTTTGCTGTGTGATATTCCACAGGTGAATATAACACAGTGTATGCATTCTTCTGTTGATTGGCCTTTTTTTCTTTTTTTAACAGTTTTGCTCTTTATGAAGATCTTGTACACATCTTTTGGTACATATTTGCAAGAGTTTCTCTAATTTTCACACTGGGTGTATGACCCCCAGGGCAATGGTGATTATTTTTCTAGGGCGTACTTAGGCACACGTGACATTAATGAATCAATTTATAGATAAGGTTCCTGCGTACTCTACTGAAATTGGTATTGCCTGAGACCTATCATAGAGGTCTCCCTCCCGCTGGTCCCAGTTCCCCACGTCCGCATTGACCGCAGCATTCTACCTTAGATAAGGCGCCCCGCTCACCCACGGGACTCTTCCCACGGCGTTGCCCCAAGTGGGAAGACTCCACAGAAAACAAAGGGATAAGTCAAAATACAGTGATTAGGGCTAGGGAAAGCCTTTCACAGCCCAGACGTTTTCCATCTCAAGAGTGCATTCCAAAAAAAATAACGTTTTATGTTTAATCGACAGTATGTATAGCTATTTTATCACTTATAATAACTATAACATAATTTAAACCAATAGTATGTCACTTTTATTTTAAAATGTCACTGGGATACTCCAGAAATCCTGCAATTATTGAAATGTAGGCTAAGATTTTTAAATATCATCTTAAAGTGTGAAGAGTATGTAATTTTTTAAAAGCATTTTTGTGGTTTGTAATAGCATTGTGGTGATCTGTTTGCTAGAAATGGAATTGCTGAGTTATGGGTTATGAATGTTCAACTTTACAAAATCATACCAAATCATTTTCTGAAGTGGTTATACCATCTTATATACTTTGACCAGCAGTTTTGACAAATTATATACTTCGACTAGCAGTGTTAGGAGTTCTAGTTGATGTACGTCTTCCCCAGCACTGGTTATTGCCAGACTTCTTGCTATTTGCCAGTCAGGTGGTAGGACGTGCTAGATCACAGGTGGTTTTAATTTGCATTTTGATTGTCAGTGAGTTTGCGTGTTTTTCATATGTTTACGAACCTTGTTTTCCCTTTGTGAAACACTTGGCAAATCTTTTACCCACTTTACCATTGGGTTGACCTTTAAAACTAAAACTGTAACACCGATCCTTTGTTGATTATATGCACTGTAAGTACTTCTGTGGCCCATTATGTCACTGTGACGTATTCAGGTGAACAGAAGTTCTTAACTTTAATGTAACCTGATTGGAAACTTTCTCTAGCCCTGGGATTGCTTTCTTTTTAGAAGTTTGAAAATGATGCCTTTCATGTTTAAGTTCATAGTCCATCTGGTACTGATTTTTGTGTGTGGTTATAAGGCAGTGGTGCACGTTCATTTCCCCCCCCCCCCAAGTGGCTACAGTTGTCCTCATGTCATCTGCCAAAATGGCCCTCTGTTCATCAGTGATCTGCTCACCCACCTCTTTGACATGTTCAGTCTCTCTACGCATGGGTTTGTCTCTGGCTCTCCTTTCTGTGCCTCTTGTCCGCTTGTCTGTCCCTGCTGACACCACTGCCGTAATTATCATTGCTGCAGCTTTACATCCTGCTATGGGGGGAGAGTGGAGGGTGGATTTGAGTCTCAGCTGTTCTCGGATCTTTGTTCTTGTTTTAAGAATCAGCTTGTCACGTGACATGAAAAACTCTGGGAATGAATTGGAATTGATTGAATCAATCTGGGGAGAATTGAAATCTTTAAGATTTTGAACCTTCCTGTTTGAGAACGTGGTATGTATTTATTTCTTATTTAGGTATGTACTTATTTAGGTTTTTAATGTCTTTATTTAATAGAGTGTTGTAATTTTCTCCATATACGCCTAACACTTTAAATGTGCATACTAATGTTTCTAGTAGTTTTGTTGCTATTATAAATGGTGTTTTTTTAAGATTCTGTTTTCTGACTATCGTTAGTAACTAGAAATTTAATGGATTTTTATTTTTATTTATTTTATTTTTTAAGATTTTATTTATTTTTAGAGGGGAAGGGGAGAAGGAGAGAAACATCAATGTATGGTTGCCTTTCATGCGTCCCCTGCTGGGAACTGGCCTACAGGGAACCAGCCTGCAACCCAGGCCTGTGCCCTGACTGGGAATCGAACCACGATCGTGTGGTTCGCAGGCCCACACTCGATCCATTGAGCTACACCAGCCAGGGCTTAATGGATTTTTAAATATTGATCTTTAACCATTCATTTGAGAAAGACTTATTATTTCTAATAGATTTTCTGTAATTCATTTGGGTTTCTATGTATATAATTATTTACAAATAGTGACACCTTTGGTTCTTTAAATTTTCCCTTTTTTTCCCTTGTCTTAATATTCTGGCACACTTTTAAACCTATGTTCAGTTGAAGTGATTATGGTTGTTCATTAGAGGTGATTATAGTGGACATACATGTCTTGTGCCTAATTTTAAAGGGAATGCTTCTCCATTAGAACAAATATTTGTTACAAGTTTTTGTACATACTCTATTAAGTTAGGGAGGTCTTTTGTGATTTTGTTATATGGTTTCTTGCATCTGTTAAGAATATCTTGAGTTTTTTTCTCCTTTAATATGTTAAGTGTGATGGAAATCAATGAACACATTTTAAAATTCTTAATTCTTACATTCTTTCCTGGGATATACACACATTGAACTTGCTGAATTGTCTTTTTGTGAACTGCTGGATCGAGGTTGCTAATATTTTACCTAGGATTTCTGTATCTGTTTATGAATGAAATCACCTGTCAGTTTTCTTTGGACTATCTTGTCTGGTGTTGGCATTAAGGGTGCACGTGCCTTACACCAGTTAGAGAGCAGGGCCTCCTTTCCTGTTTCCTGGGCCAGTTTGAATGAGAGTGGTTGGTTTCCTGAAAGTCTGGTGGAATTTACCTGTAAGTGCTGACATTTTCTTTGTGGAAGGATTGTAAATTGTTAACAATTTATTAGGAATTAGCAGTTGAATAGTAATAAGACTTGTGATTTTCTGCTTTTTTAAATCAATTTGGCAAGTTTTAGAAATTTGTCTTTTTAACAGAAATTTCAAGTTTATTGGCATCAAGTTCATGTTATCTTAATTCCCTTTAAGTCTGTTTTATTTGTCATATGTTCCCTTCTCTTGTTTTGACTATTATTTCTGTGGGACTTCTCTTCTTCCTTTATTAGTCTTACCAAAAGTTTCTCTGTTTTATTAATTTTGCAAAGGATTAATTTTTGGCCTTTGTATTATATTTTGGGTTTTTTTTTTAGTCAATTGATATCTTAAATTTTATTTTTATCCTTTTTCTTGGGTTTATTCTTATATCATTTTTCTAACTTAAATTGCACGCTTATTAATTTTCAGCCATTCCATTTCCCAGTATAAGCATGTAAAGCTATGAACTTCTTCAAAGTTTATTTTTGCTTTATCTCATGGTTTAATTTAGTGTTTTCATTAACTTTCAAATCCAAGTATTTTTAAAATTTTCATTTTGATTTCTTCTTTGACTTAGGTTTCTTAATGTTTTAAAATTTCAAATTTACCTATATTAGCTTTTTTACTCGTTTCTTAATTGTTGTAAGAGAATGTAATGTGTATTTTGTCTGTAAAAAATTTTTTTCTGAGGACTTCCAGCAAGATGGAGGTGTAGGTGGAAACATTGTGCCTTCTCACACAACCAAGTTTAAAAAACAACAAAGTTTTAGCAACAAAAAACGCAACCAAACCACAGAAAATTGAACTATACAAAAGTCCCACAACAACGAACCATTCGGCCAGACTGGTAAGAGGGGCGGAGCCAGCAGTGGAGCAGGTCGTGCAAAAAAGATCCCCGGACCCAGGCGAACAGGCCGAGGTCGGGTCTCAGGTGTGGGGTTGAGAGGGGCAGACCCAGTGAGGGCACAAGGTGGCAGGCTGACTGTGGTCACACATTCACACGCAGATAAACTAGTGAAGGAGTGAGCAGTGAGACAGACCGCACAGGCCCCAGCAATGGGAAGCAGTAGAGGAAACTGCCATTACCCCTCTTTGACCCCGCCCCCACATACAGCCTCACAACCCAGTGACCTGGGTGGCCCCGCCCTGGTGAACATCTAGGGCTCCCCTCCTCATAGGCAATAGGCTCAAACAGACCAAAACATGGCTCAAGAAGAACTCAAACCCCCTGGAGCTGATAACTCTAAGCGACCAAGAAATTGCCAATCTATCAGATGCACAGTTCAAAACACTGGTGATCAGGATGCTCACAGAACTGGTTGATTTTAGTCACAAATTAGAGGAACAAATGAAGGAAGGCTAAACTAATTGAAATGAAGGGAAATGCACAGGAAACCAATAGTGATGGAACCAATAGTGATGGAAAGGAAACTGGGACTCAAATCAAGGGAGCAGACCAGAAGGAAGAAAAAAATGACCAAACAGAAAAGAATGAAGAAACAAGAATTCAAAAAAATGAGAGGCTTATTTTTAACGGACATAACACTCCAACATCCGAATTATAGGGGTACCAGAAGGGGAAGAGAAAGAGCAAGTGGAAAACTTAGTTGAACAAATAATAAAAGAGAACTTTCCCAATATGGCAAAGGAAATAGACTTCCAGGAAATCCAGGAAGCTCAGAGAGTCCCAAAGAAGTTGGACCCAAGAAGGAACACACCAAGGCACATCATAATTACATTAGCCAAGATTAAAATCAAGGAGAGAATCCTAGAAGCAGCAAGAGATAAGGGACAATCACCTACAAAGGAGTTCCCACCAGACTGTCAGCTAATTTCTCAAAAGAGACCTTACAGGCAAGAAGGGGCTGGAAAGAGATATTCCAAGTCATGAAATCCAAAGACCTACAACCAAGATTGCTCTATTCAGCAAAGCTTACATTTAGAATGGAAGGGCAGATAAAGTGCTTCTCAGGTAAGATCAAATGCAAGGAGTTCATCATCACCAAGCCCTTATTATATGAAATGTTAAAGGGACTTGTCTAAGAAAAAGAAGATAAAAAAAAAGATGAACAGTGAAAGGACAGCAGACTTACAGTTATTAACAACCACATCTAAAACAAAAGCAAACCAAAAGGACAGCTAGATCAGGAGCAGAACCATAGAAATGGAGATCACATGGAGGGTTAACAACAGGGGAGTGGGAGGAGAAGGGGGGAGAAGGTACAGAAAATAAGTAGCATAGCCGGTAGGTAGAAAATAGATAAGGGGGTGGGCAAGAATAGTATGGGAAATATAGGATCTAAAGAACTTGAGACATGTGGTCATAAACTAAAGGGGGGGAATGGTGGGGGAGGGGGTGTGCAGGGTGGAGGGGACTGAAGGGGGGAAATAGAACAACTGTAATGGCATGATCAATAAAATTTATTTTAAAAAATGAAAAAAAATAATTTTAATTGTTTTTCCAAGTACAGTTTTCTGCCTTTTATGTAAAAATTTGTTTGCCTAGCTCCATGGTCTTGTGCATAGTGAATGTAACTGTTTTGTGTGGGCTTTTGAAGAGAGGTGGTCTCGAATTGTGCCATGTCCGGCAGGTCAAGCTTGTACATTGTGTAGTTCGGGCTGTCTTTATTACTTTGTGTTTGTTTGACCTGTGATTAACTGAGACAGACATGTTGCAGTATCCTATTATTACCTTCTAACAAACTTCCAGTAGTTCTAACACGTTTTTCTTTTTACATATTTTGAGACAATTTGATTAGATACACGCAAGTCTATTATTTTCCTAGTGGATTGAACTTTCTCTATTATGTTGTGATCCTTTCCACGCCTAATTTTGATTTTTGTCCTTAGGGTCTGTTTTGTCTAACTCACCTTTCTTTTGGTGATAATTTGCAAGGAATCGCCTTTTCCTTCATTTTGCTGTCACTTAGAAAAATATCTTTGTTTTAGATGTCTCTTATAAAGAACATATTACTGGATTTTTCTTTTAATTGACTCAGACAATTTATGCCTTTTGATTGTTTTTATATTTTCAATCTTCATTGGAGGATATGTTCCATGGATATGAGAGAGGGGAAGGGGGAGAGAGGGACAGAGAGACAGGAGAAACACTGGTTCCCCACCGCAGGCAGAGGCGCCCTGACCAGGTATTGAACCCGCAGTCTCCTGAACAGGGCTCAAACCCACAAGCTTTCCGTGTTCAGGGACAGTGCTCCGACCAACTGAGCCACCCGGCCAGGGCTAGTTGGTATTTCTAAGAAGTCAGTTCAGGTCTCTTGGTGGTCAGCTCAGTTTTTATGTAAAATTACTTTTATTCTTATTCCTGAGACATAATTTTGAGGGGTATACAATTCTAGGTTGATGGTTTATTTTCTGTCTGCATAGTGAAAATTCTGTGTTATGAAGTGTGCTGCCAGTTTTACTACACGTCCTGGAAGAGAACATTCTTTTTCTGTTGGCTTCTGTCTTTGATGTAATGACCTTTCACCTGTAGGACTAGGTGGCCATTCCTTTTTCTTTATCCTCCTGGATGCTCACTGTTTCCTGATTCTGAATTTTATCTTTGTTGATAGGTAGGAGATCCTGAGCCCTGTGCTCTTTAAATATTGTCTCTTTTGATTTTATCTATTCTCTCCTTCTAGAATTTTAACTGGATATATAGTGACGTATATGTATTAGACTGTTGGCAGATCACTTTTTATCTTTCATATTTTTATTTCTCTCTTTACCAGAATTTACGATGCTGGGTAATTACATTACACACATCTTCTAGCTCTTAAATATGTCTTCAGCTGTGACTCATTTTCTCTTTAACCTATCTATTTTTTCTTTTACTTTTAACAGCTACATTTTAAATTTCAAAAAGTTCCACTTGGTTCTTTTTGAGGTATATATACCCAGTCATTTTTTTTTTAAGATTTTATTTATTTATCTTTAGAGGGGAAGGGAAGGAGAGAGGGAGAGAAACATCTGTAGTTGCCTTTTTGGGGGGTGGGCGTTGGTTATCTCTCTGGGAGGAGTCATTTTTATAGTCTAATGTTGCTCATGCAGTTTTTTCAACGCATTAGTATTCTGCAGACTGCATCTGGTAATCCAGTGTCTGCTGTACTTTGGAGTCTAAATTTCTGGCTCGTTTTTCTTCTGTTGTGTCTCTCTCATGGTGGATTAGCGTGGCGGTCTTTGACCGTGGACGCCTATCTGATCTTTCTCTGGGAACCCGGAGGGTCTGCTGGGGGTGCATGTCTTCCGATAGGGTTTGTGTCAGCTCTGGCTGGAGTAGAGGCGTTTTCCTGGGACCACTTTCAGTTCCCTCACTTCGTTTCTGGTCCAGGGCTCAGTGTCCCGATCCAACTTCAGCTCTTGGCATTACTGTGTGTAGCTCTTGACTCTGGGGTTTAGTTCTAGCAAGAGGCTTGCTGCTTTTGTGGGGAAAGGGTGGCTTTGACTGTTCCCTATTTCTTTCAACTCTGCAAAATTAAAAAAAATTTTAAATCCAGGACCCTCTTTTTTTGCACTGGTAGAGTCCCCCCATTAGTTCATCATAACTGATAGGATTAGAAGTCATTTACTTTAATATTTAATTTTATTAGTATATTTTAGTTTGTATTAGAAAAAAATTCTGTCCTACCAGACATAAGATTCCTTGGTGATACCAAATTTTCTCTTAAAACAAGTTTGCATCCAAGTTAAAAGTTGAGTTATTCTAAAGAAAAGTATAAAATAGCAGTACAGGTGGCAAGTGGATTTGGCAAAGTTTTCTTTAGGAAATGTGAGTATAAAATTTGGGAAACACTGAGATAGGGAATCAAGGTAGGTGGGGGGCACAGTGTACCCTCTGGACCCAGATGAGTAAACAATGTGAAAACTGCTATCAAAAGATACAGGCAGGGTGCGCTGGGCTTACAGAGAAGAGGTTCCTGCAGAAATAAATCTGGTTAGCAGGGAGATCAGGAAATGCTTCCTGGAATCCGAAACAAAGGGCAGTAGACATTAGGGGGCTGCAGAAATAGAATATCATATGTCCCATGTTATGTGCCATACTCTGGATGCGAAAAAGGCTTTTTGTTTTTTCTAGTCACTCACCTTTGCGGTTACATTCAGAACTCTGGGAATACCGTTCATCTAGAACAGGTCAGGTTGCAGACATTATATGCAACCAGGCTGTGGTAGAAGGGCACTCACCACTTTCTTGGAAGTGGAAACCATGTTGTAGGAGACAGCAAATGAGAAGTGGGCATTCGAGTGGGAGAAAGGGGAAGAAGAGTTCTTGCTGAGGTCGCAGAGTCCTGTGGTAGAAGGCGGGCAGGCTGGAGTTCCAGTGACTCTTGGTCGTGGTCAGAGGAGCTCATCAGAGTTCGATTTGTGGGCAGTGACCTGAGGCACGGCCTTGGAAAGGAGGAGCCGAGGAGAGGTGGGCCGTGAGGTTCATTTTAGTTGAGGAGGCAGTTAAACTGCAAAGCTGGGGTCCTGAAGGGGTGGCCTCCATGGGCCTCCATGTGTCTGGGACGATGATGGATTTGGGGGGTGAAGGGAACGCTGTGAACTACTTGTCAGCGTTCTCTCTTTTTAAACATTTTATTTTATTTTCCATCGTCAGTGTTCTTAAACATGACAACAAGCAAGAGATGTTGAGGTGTCAGTGGGAAGGAAGAGCAGGCATAGTGAAACAGTGTTTGCGAAGAGAGGCGGTGGAATCAGAGGACCTGAGTGTGGATCCTTCCTAGCTTGCTGACCTTGAGCAAATTATTTAATTTTACCAAGCGTGTTTCTTATCTGCACAGTGGAGATGATGGTAATTGAACCTGAGAAAACTTGCTGTGAGGATCGAAGTGGTGCATTGTGAAATGCTTGGAACAATGTGCGGCAAATAGTACAGGTAGTTTGCTAGGAAGAGTGTTATTCTTACTGCCGTTAGGGGTTTGTACAGCAAATTGGATATAATAAGAAGGATTCGTTAGAGAAACTGATTCTGTTCCAAAAACTGATAGTGGTTTTGTTTAGGAAAACAGAAAGCTGGTTTGTCCTAACAATACTGAGATATTAGTGATGAAGCAAAAAGGTATTTAAAAAATAGTGTTAATGATGGTGATGATGATAATAGGAAAAGAAATCCATTACTTGTGCAAGAGTAATAAAATGCTGCATTTTTCAGGGATGTTTAGGTTGTGTAGCTTTTCTTTGATAGCTATAAATCTCATTGAACTTTCCTTAGAGGGGAAAATACACCTTAATGTGAAACTCTAGCCCTAAGTCCCCTTCCCCCCATTGAAATAACTGTTTTTAAAGTGTGGTTGTTGGTAACATGAGGGTTTTGCTCACCTTTGCAGTCTAGCAGCGCTGGCAGTTGCGGTTGGGAAGGTGTTGGAGCAGCGACTGATAAGGAGAGGGAAGGCCTGGGTGCGGTTGTCGGGGATTGAGAGACGGACAGACTCACCTGGTGCCACGTTCGCTGTGCCCCTTCGCCCAAGGCGGAAACACACTGAGAGATGGAGAGGAGAATATGAGCAACTGATAGGAAACTGTTTTTTTTTTTTCAGTGGAGTCGGGATTTAGTTCCAGCCAGGAGGCTGAGAAGGTAGCCGTCTGCATGTGATGAGGCACAATGTTTCAGAGGATGCGGTAAAAGCAGACGGCGTATGAGGGACAGCAGTGGAGAGATGTCTCGTTCATTCAGCAAACACTTACTTGAGGGTTTATCATGTGCTGGGCACATACGAAGATGAATAAGAAGTCCTCAATCATCCTCCATCTAAAGGAGACGTGTAAACAGATACATTCAGAGTAGAGATGGTGGCTCTTTGAATTCGAGGAAAGGAAGAAATAGATTAAACTGGCATTCAAAGAGTCAGGGCTGAAGAATTGCAGAGCAAAAACAAGAACCTTTCGGAGAGTTCGGTGTTCTTACTGGAACTTTGGGGCATAAATTCCACGTGTTTTCCTAAAATACTGTAGAAACCACAAAAACTGCCTCTCATCCCTCTGATGATTTAATCACTGATTCCAGCTTCTGTTGTTCCCTTAAGTCAGTGCACCATGGACAACTTTGCCCCGGGGGACTTCACTGCCGAAGACGGCGCCAGGGTAGAAGATGGCTCTTCTGCGGACGATTCTGTCTTTGCTCCTGAATTTATGTCCAATGATTATGTTCGTGTGACTCAACTTTACTGTGGTGCGGTGGTGAGTAGATTACTTAACATTTTGTTTTTAACATTCTGTCTTAGCGTATTTTTAAAATTGAGATGTAATTGACACATAGCATTGTATGGTTTCAGGTGTACGACCTGACTCGACATGGGTGTTTGGTGAAATCACCACACTAAGTCTAGTGAACACCCGTTGTCACTCAGAGTTACCATTGTTCTTTTCCTTGTGATGAGAATTTGAGATTTACCTCTTAGAGCTTTTTGATTCAGAGCTATTGAGTTTAGGTGCTCCGTAAGGTTTTTTTTTTTCCCCCCACTAATTTTGCATTTATTATTTCTTTCTTTTTAAATTTTTTTATTGATTATGCTGTTACAGTTGTTCTATTCCCCCTTTCATTCCCCTCCACCCTACCCCCCCATCCCCACCATTACCCCCCCTTTAGTTTATGACCATGTGTCTCAAGTCCTTTAGATTCTATATTTCCCATGCTATTCTTGCCCCCCCTTCTATTTTCTATCTACTGTCTATGCTACTTATTTTCTGTACCTTCTCCCCCCTTCTCCTCCCTCCCACTCCCCTGTTGCTAACCCTCCTTGAGATCTTCATTTCTATGTTTCTACTCCTGATCTAGCTGTCCTTTTAGTTTGCTTTCATTTTAGGTGTGGTTGTTAATAACTGTGAGTTTGTTGTCCTTTCACTGTTCATGTTTTTTTAAAAGAGGTATTCCAAGTCATGAAATCCAAAGACCTACAACCAAGATTGCTCTATACAGCAAAACTTTCATTTAGAATGGAAGGACAGATAAAGTGCTTCTCAGATAAGATCAAATTCAAGGAGTTCATCATCATCAAGCCCTTATTATATGAAATGTTAAAGGGACTTACCTAAGAAAAAGAAGTTAAAAAAGCTCCGTGAGGTTTTACTGGAGGGGTACATGCTTTTGAAGAGGTGATTTCGGAAGGGAAAGGATATCAGCAAGTGCGGGGCGGGGAGGACTGATGCCAAGGTGTCTCTGCCCGAGGCGAGGACGGCTGTCGGAAACCCGGGGGAGGAGCCCGGGAGGCTCACTGGTTGAAGGTGCTGTATTTAAAGTGTATGAATAAATGTGCACTGACATTTTTAGTTTAGTGCCAATAATTCTTACACTAAAAATCAAGAACTGTACTTTTGTGTCTTATCAGATATAACTCAAAAGATTTCTTTCTTTTTTGTTTTTAGGGTAGGCAGTATAAAGATTATGCCAAAAGTGAGATTAACTTAGGTGAGTGTGCTGGTATTTTAACTTTAGTTTGTTGAAAGATTATCAAAGGAAGTTCATCCTTTCACATCAATGTAACAGACTTAATGTAGCTCTTACTTTTTTTCAATACAAATCAAAACCTTTGTTAAAATAGAGTTTTAGCTAACATTGAAATATTCTTAACATCTAATAGGTTAAAATATTTTATGCATTCATTTCTTACCTTTCCATAACTGTTTTTGCTTTTCCCCTATTAACACTATTGATTCACTCCAAAACGAGGCACAAAATATTAATCAAACAATTTCTTTAAATTAAGAATTAGACATCTGCAATATGTGGTGCAGTAAACCAACCCCTGTCCTGTACGATTACTGCGATGCCATTAAAATACACATCTTCTGGCCGCTGCTGTTTCAGCATCAGCACAGCTCCGTCATATCCCGGCTGTACCCCTGTGTGGAGACCAGGTACGTCACCGTGTTAGTCACTTCGCATGGACAGTGGTGAGCGTGGTACCCAGCACGGTGGAAGGCCGTGTCTCAGGCCCGCACCCTACTCACTCTGACTCGCGTCTGAGAGAGTGGGGAAAGTTATTGTACTTGGGATTTGGTTATGAATGAATAGTCGTGATAACATTATACACAGTGAAGAAAATTCTGAAGAGCATTAGATGGTAAATTTGAAACTGAGTGAGGAAAAATTAATATGCATGTATATAAGTATCGGCATTGTATACAAGAGGAAAAGGTATAGTATTTTATCCACTTAATAAACAACTTATTGTTACCTGGGATGGAGAAACAGAGAACTTAGAGGTGTAACATGTAGTTAAGTGTAAAGTTTAAGGAATTTTTACGTATGAGTACCTAATCTTTTTAAAAAAGTAAATTTCTCTTTAAGCAATTTTCGTGCTTCTGAGATCAGTTTGAAGCAATTACAACATCTTGAGTTGATGGAAGACATTGTGGATTTGGCAAAGAAAGTTGTGGTAAGTAGTCGAATGTGGCTTTTTATTTCTCTGTTTGAAGAACGTAAGTATTTATATGGTGTCAGGCCTATGTCACTAATTTCCAATGATTAATGGGTTTTGGTTTTGGTTAGCGTACAGTTATTCTGCGGTTCATGAGTTTGTGTGATGTATTTGAGAGGTTACAGAGACATTTCTTCATTGAGAACCATTTGATCATTTTTCTTACTTCAGTTGGTTATGGATCCAAGAGTTTTTAGAAGGGGCAGTTAATGTTTATTTCCTGCTGGTAATCCTTTGCAGTAACTTGTATCAGCCAGTGTAGTTTTATTTAAAAATCTAGGTGTAATTAACTTTAAAATTCGTCCATCTAGAAGTTACACTAAGTCATTTTATCATTAGAACTCAGTGTAAGACCATTTGTGAATTCTTGTGTTAGGGTCCTTCAGAGGTAAATTGAGCATGATACGGTGTGAGAAGTGGTTACTGTGTATATGTGCATTCCTGAAATGTAGTATTTTGTTGTGCATTGGGAAATTCACGTATAAGTGACTGACTAGGGGAAAATGTGTTTTATACTTCTTTTACAGAATGACTCATTCTTTATTGGAGGCTTACTGAGAATTGGCTATAAAATAGAAAACGTAAGTGTTACACCCCAGAATCCAGCAGAGTCTGTGCGTACACGGCAGTTGCCTCACTGCTCGCTGCCCATGTCTGGGTCCACGGAGTCAGTGTTTTTAAGATTTTAGAAATATATTTATCTTTAAAGCGAGGATGAGAAACATCGATGTACGAGACATACAGTGATCAGCTGCCTCTCACATGCTCCCAACTGGGGACCTGGCCTGCACCCCTGGCATGTGCCCTGATGGGGAATTGAACCAGTGACAGACTGGTGCTGAATCCACTGAGCCACACTAGTCAGGGCTCAGTGTTTTATGTGTAGCACCTAGTATAATTTTGAGCCTCTTTTACAAGTTGATGCTTTTTTTCTTTTAGGTTATTTACCTGACAAGTTCTCCCAAATGAAATTATTAGGTCCCCAATATGAACACGTTTTGCTGTATAATTACTAGAAAATCTTCATACAGTGATAAACCAGTTTTTAGTGCTGTCGGTAACATAAACGTCTGCGTATTTCCCTTAAGCCTGCCATCAGCATCGATAAGTCCACTATTTAATTTCTGAAGTCGTTTTAGACCCTGGAAGTATAAATGATGTTCTGTGAAGGTCATCGCACTGGGTGCTCATCTGCACAGGCACATGTTTGTCTCCTGTTCTTCTATTTGCCACAGACCATTTAAAATACAGAATTCCCAGGTGAACCTAATGTATACCTTTAACCTTGAGGTCGGGGTGCAAGTCCTAGTATAGGTGAGGCCTGGGACCCCGCGTTTACCTCGTCTCTCTGCACTCTTCTGCGACCCAGGGCCTCCCCCGCTGGGCGTGAGGCCTTACGGGCCAGGCCCGGAGCCCGCGCAGAAGCGTCTGCAGCTCCCAGGGCTGCCTGCTGTGTAACGTGCGCGAGCCCAGGGCACCTGCTCACTGGTAGGTTGGTGTCCAGCCACTCTAGGTTCTGTATGAGAGATGAAAAGCGAGGTTCCGAGTTTTCTCTTAAGACTCTGAAATATTATGTAAGATACATTGATAATGCCACATGTGAATTTACAGTTAATACCAAAATCACATTCTCTGTCTCTGTCCCAGAAAATGTTGGCAATGGAAGAAGCTTTGAATTGGGTGAAATACACAGGCGATGTAACAATTCTACACAAATTGGGAGCAGTTGGCAATTGTTGGCCTATGTTAAGTATTTTCTTTACAGAATGTAAGTATAAATGCTTTAAATTTTTACTTGACACAGTTTTTAAATGTATTATTTGGGGAAATGGAATGTGTAGTTGTGATTTACTACTTATCTTAGGATTTTAAAAAATGTTTTTCTTTAAGAGAAAAGCCTGCATAAGAGAATTTTAACTTTGTAGTTACTTTTATTCTGTATTCCCTGTCTTAATGATTTCTCTGACATTATGTGGGGGCAACTTTGCCGTCAAGTCCCCCCGTCCGTCACGGATGAAAGTAAACACTACCAAGACATGATCTGCTTGGGGAGGAGAGGTGGCCAGTTTCTCAGAGGAAAAAGGCTTGGAGCCCCTTCCTCCAGGGGCTTTTATTGGGTTGTAATACACAGGAATACAGGGTGACAAGGATCAAACGGTAGGTAACATTTCAAAGAAACCTGAGGGCTTAGTCTGAGTCAGTGTCTGTCAGGTAAGGAGGCTGCAGAAACTTTGGGAGACATACTCATTTCCTGCCTGGACCCTTATCATATGAAGGAAAGCACTCTTAGCAAAGCAGGTTTCACAGGATTTTTAGAAATTCTTTTTTCCCCCTAAAGATTTTATTTATTAATCTTTAGAGGGGAAGAGAAGGAGAAAGGGAGAGAAACATCAATGTGTGGTTGCCTCTCATGAGTCCCCTGCTGAGAACTGGCCAGCAACCCAGGCATGTGCTATGACTGGGAATCGAACCGCAATCCTCCGGTTCGCAGGCCCGCACTCAATCCACTGAGCCACACCAGCCAGGGCAGGAATTCTTTCTTATGCCAGATTTATCCCCGGATACCGCTCTAGCAAGGCAAGGAGCTGCACCCCTCCCCAACAGGTTTTCAGGCCTAAGTGGATTAGAGCCAGGACACTCTTCTCCCAGAGGACCTGGGGACTCAGGCTATGTCACATGGGGCGGGGGGGCAAGGGTCCCTTGCTTCCTCTTTGTCGCAGCCCCCCAAGTCCTTCCATGATGGCCTCCCAAGTGATCGTGTCTGGCTTAGGTTGCCCCTCGCTGTGAGGGGTCTTACCCGTCATCAACATTGACCATGCTTTGGGGGCAGGGAGGAAGCTGAGGCAGCGTTTGCTACTAGAGACAAGCTCTGTCTCCTTTGTGGCTTGCATTCCGGAGGCTGCTCACTCATCCTTAGCCATGGGGGGTAGTTACAGTTCCTGAAACCAGGCAGAGCGGTTCCTAACACATTATATATTTTAACATTTTACCTAATAGATGTCATAAGTTATTATATATAATACCCAAAGAAAGGGACCACGACTGGGGCCTCATGTATTCTCACTGGCAAGAGAAATAAGTAATACAGCAAAGATTATAATTTTCATTTCCCTGATGAATCTTATTCTTATATATGATGAAACTCATATATATATCACTTTGTGGAATACTTTTCCCTAAAGTATTTGAGTGTTAGCAATGTTTTTATAATACAGTTGTAAGAATCTTGAAACAGGGAATATTTGGTTCTTTAGTAGATGTTGGTAAGAATTTGTCATTTCCAGTGAGAAGAAAGCAAATTTTGTACCATTGATCTAATTGTGAGAGAGAAATTATGATTGAACATGAAGACAGGCTTTTCTGATGGGTTTTCTAGACACTGGGCTTATTAAGGTGGGTCTCCCTGTTCTAGAAAGCTTTACCGTGATTACAGGCTGGCTGTAGTGGTAGAAGCAGAGGTATCATGTATTAGGCACCCATGTGGGCTCGCCTTTGACCCCTTGCTGTTCTCTCTTCTTTGTAATATCCCTGCAAGATAGCGGTGGTTATCCCTACTTTAGAAATGAACAAACTAATAAGACTTTGAGAGGTGACGTGATATTTCCGCAGTCCAGTGAGTAGGAGAAGCCAGATGAGAAGTCACCTTTCTTTCATCTTAAAGCCCAGATTTTCATCCTACAATCTTACTCTATCCTTTAGTGTTATTTTACTTCCCAAATGCTTCCTTGAATCCTAAATTTTAGGTGAATGTGTTTGTCTAGAGGTGTAACATTTTTGTTGTGGTAAAATTATTATTATTAAAATTATTTACCACTTTAGAAAAATTTATTATATTGTCTAGAACAGGTTAAATACAGTAAATGAGGTCTGGTAAACTTTGGTTATTGCTTCAGCATTTTAATTAGTTTATTAAATTTATATAAGAATAGTTTCTCAAAGACTCATTTTAATATTCATGAGAGTCAAATGCTGAATTAAGACATTTAAATTCTTCATTTGTTATATTAAATATTTCTTAGAAAGTTCTACAGGATTTTTTTTCAGAATTTTATTGAACATCATGCCAGGTAAACCATAGGTGCTCAGATGTATTTGCCGAATTGACTTGAGTAACTGTGGAGCCCACTGGGAGTATGTTGGAGCATTTGCTGTAACTCCGATTAGAACTAATGCGATAATAAACAAGTGTTTTTTTAATGCTTGAAATAAAAGCAAGCAATGAATCTAATGTTAGCAGTTGCTTATTTTCAAATATACTATTTGATACATGTAAAAAGACAAGAAACATGTTACTTAGTATAATAAAATAATGAACTTTATGAACTCACCTGAGAATTAGAACATTAACAGTACTGTTTTTTTAAAACAAATGTTCTCTCTCTCCTAAAAATAAAATTTAGACAAGTATCACATAACTAAAGTTGTGACAGAAAACTGCAATATTCTTGAAGAATTTAAAAGGCAAAATTGCACAGAGTGTTTAGAGGTAAGAATAAATATTTACTTGTAAGTATATTTTAAGATTTACTTGTTAGAACTTTCATTGACCATTCAAAGTTGAATACTACTGCTATCCGACAATGTATAAGGAACTACTATAAAATTCAATAACATGTTTGAGGGAAGTTTTATTAAGTTTTGAATAGAATGTTTATTTTTGTGGAGGAGGAAAGCAACATCTTGATCAGGATTTTCTGATGTTACAGACTTTAAAGGGTTAATTGTGCTCTGGGTACTGTGGCTCAGTGGATTGATCGCAGGCTGCAAACCAAAGGGTTACCAGTTTGATTCCCAGTCAGGACACATGCCCGAGTTGCAGGCCAGGTCCCCAGTAGAGGGCGTGTAAGAGGCAACCACACACTGGTGTTTCTTTCCCTCTCTTTCTCCCTCCCTTCCCCTCTGTCTAAAAATAAAAAAAAATTTAAAAAGTTAATCAAAAATAGAAAATTTATTTTTTAAATTAAAAGGCATGCGATTAGTTGAGTAAATATGATTTCCTTGGTAACAGCTTTATTGAGATGTAATTCACATGCCATACAGTTGACTCATTTAGACTAAAATTTTAAAAAAGGATTTAAGAAAGTAATGCTCTTGAATTCTCTAAAGCCATTGATGTGATCCAATTTATTTTAATTTGTTTACTTTGAATATTTGAGTGTTTGAAGTGAAGTTTTAGTTGTATCTGGAGGATCTTTGATTTTCCTTTGATTTCATTCTTGCTTACTTGGTTGCCTCTTTATTTTGGCAGTGAACAATCAACATTGCCTATATGTGTTATTGATTTATACATTGTTTTGTAAGCACTCGGGTTTATTGAACAATACCACATTTTTTAACCTAAAGTTAAAGTTTTGCCTTGTATCTCTTTTCCCCTCCATATGGCAGGCTTACCAAGGTTTATACAAAGTGGGCCTGCCAAGCAGTGTGCAGAAGGGAGTGTGTAGGTAGCGATCACTTACAACGTGGTGGCTTTGTTTTCTCTTCAATATTCCTGTAACAAAGCTAGCAGTGAGTCACTGGGTACAGGTGTCTTTAACTGTACACACCAAAATACCAAGTTTTGATTTCTCACTTTCTGTATAAATAATTCACCAGGTGATTTCTGACACCAATGATAGAAACCCAGGCCCATTTTCCTTAGGTATGGGGGTTCTTGATTATCTCTGCAGTTAATTGATGGGTCTTCTTTCACCTTGGTTTCTCAGCAGGGAGAAGTAATGAAAATGAAAGGAAATGAAGAGTTTTCCAAAGAAAGATTTGATGTAGCTATTGTCTATTACAGCAGAGCCATTGAATATAGGTAAGAGGCAAACAGAACAATGAAATCCTTTTTATGTGGCAGATAAGTAAGAACGCTGGTCAGGGGGGAAATGATGAGACATTGGAGAACATCTTTAACTTGCTCTGCAGATTAGAGTTTCTCTCCCGTAGGCATTAGAAGCCTCAGAGATGGTCTGAGCATACGAACTCAGTCAGCTAGTAAAACTCAAGCTGTTCAGGCAAAATTGGGAGTTTGGTTCTGCCTGCTGCCTTCGTTTTCTTCCACGCTGTCTATGCAGACTTACGTTCTTTCAGTTTGCCTTTCATAATTTCTTCCAAGTGGTAGTTACTAATACTGAAGATGTCATCCATTCAGGGATTTTTGCTTTCTAAGAGGAAACTTTTAAGAGATAATAATTGGACTTGTTCAGAGAATGTGAGCGTTCTCTCTACATCGCTTTGTATTTGCTCAGCAGCTAGAATTTGGTGGCATTTCTGCAAGTGTGCCTTACTTGGCTCCTGGGACACCTTCACTGGGGCACCTAATACTGTGGCAGCCACGGAGGGTGCACTGTAGACAGTGTGTCTCTCAGTCCTCCCTTGCAGTGTCCGGGGGAATGAACTAATCCAGGCAGCACGGCACAGCTGGAAGGTTGCCACTCGGTTTTTCTGAGGAGAGGGCGGAGGAAAAGAGCGGTGGGCTCTACCACCTGCGGTCAGATAAGACCAAAGAGGGAGGGTTTGAACCGAAGCCGTTAAATGGCCCTTCCAGTTTACAGACTTCCTGTGGGTTCTTTGTCAAGGTGGCGTAGTCCCAACCTGATATGCAGTACTGTCCTCCACAAGTATGCATACTTGTAGTTCTAGCCTTTTAGTCTGTCCCGTTTGGCCCTCCCAGTAGCTCTGTGAGCGAGGCGAAGTAGTGGAAGTCTCTGTGTTGAGTACAGGGAAGTTGAAGATGATTTGAGCAGCCACTCAGGTGGGAGGTAAAGGAACCAGGACCTAACCAGTTAGTGCTCCCAGTCCTGCGTTCTTTCTGCTCTGCCACGCACACGTAAGGGTTTGAAAGTTTCCCCATGCCTTGTGTTTTCTGTATGACTTTTGTTTGTTTCATATGTAATTTGCTCTACTGACTCAGTGTTATTTCTTTTAAAGTCCCGACAATCACCTTTTTTACGGTAACCGAGCCCTTTGTTTTCTCCGCACTAGACAGTTCAGGTAAGCCGTCACAGTGTCCCAGTCACCGAACTGTTAACGTTTAATGCCCTCGTTGGAAAAATATTGCTCTTTTGCAGGTATGCAAGAAAATCCTTCAATAGTTCTTTGGCAGAAATAAGTTAAATGGTTGCAAAAGAACCCTGTAAGCGATATACAGCAATGGCAGTGACAATGGTAGCTATTCTGATTGCTTGGGTAACATGTGAATTATTTTAAGTACTTTACATACGTTACTTCAGTCTCACAACACCCCTATTAGATAGGGAATGTTACTCTCCACATTTCCACTCAGACAAACTCACACCATTACTAAGTAGTGATGTCAGGGTCTGCACACAGACCTGATGTCAAGTCTGTTTTACAGCACCTGTGATGTATCACCTTCTTTGCTCTATTAATTGGTGCAATAGTTCTGGAAGAATTTTTGTGTTTGTTTCCTCCATCCTGGTGTGAAATAATTAAGTAAATATCTTTCATAAGTGAAAAGAAAGAAATTTAATGGATTAACTATGGAAGTGAAATCATAATTCATTCTTAGTTCCTAATGTCAAACCAGCTTTTATTTACTAGTTGAGAAATATTGTTAACACTACACCATGAGTTTGTTTCCCTCAGTTTAAAAACCGTAGGACATAAATAATTAGGCATTAATATTGAGCAGAGTAGGCTGTTTGGTTTAATTGTGTCCTGCCTTATGGTTAGGGTGGCTTCAAGAACACATCCACTCAGTAGAATTGTATTAAAAACAAAACAAACTTAAAGACCAGGTTAGAGCCTGGGATCCCCATAATAAATAGGTATGAGTCCTGCTTAGATATTAGTTATAATCCATACTGATATCTGACCTTTCAACAGACAGGTCAAAAGAAAAACAAAATTTGACAAGTTACCCAATTCTCTCTATCTGTGGAGAAAAAGGACACAGACAGGTCAAAAGAAAAACAAAATTTGACAAGTTACCCAATTCTCTCTATCTGTGGAGAAAAAGGACACCAGTTGCTTGGGCGAAACGGTGTTTTTCTGGTGTCTGCTTCTGGAAGAGGTTTCTTACGTGGTTCACGAGGGACACAAATTGAGTGATGGGTAGAGAACCTCAGCAATATCCTGTTCATAAAAAAAAAAAACACCTCCCTCAAAGTGCTCTCTGGGATTTCACAACTTCTGTGATGTTTTCTCATGAAAACAGTCAGCGTTGGTTGTATTTCAATGAAACTGCTTATGTCAAGATGTGATGGTGGGGAGTAGAAAAGATAGACTGTTCCAAGTTTAGCTTTTAAAAATAAATCATGTTCTTCTTTTACCATAAACAGACAACATTCTCATGGTAGCAAATGTGGAAAATGCAAGAGTGTAAAAAGAAGAAACTATGAGCTGCGCTGGGCTGTCTAGAGTGGAGGGGTGGATGGGTGTGACCCCCACCGTCCACTGTTCTGATGGGGAAAGGGCTGCCCATGACTTAGGTTACTGCTCCAGTTAGGTGCACAATCACAGGTGCCCTGTGCTGTTTGAAGGTGAATCTGTATGCTTTCAACGTGAATAGGTGGGCAACTTGACTAGCTTCTTGTGAAAATCGAGATGCCTCATCCAAAACGCCGAGTGGGCAGAAGGTCACTCGCTCTGCAGAGAGGAACTCCGAGAGCTGAGAGACACACCAGGGTGTTTCTGCCCTCTTTGCTGAGTGTCGAATGCTAGACACTCGGGGGAGCCTCCTCAAACTCTGCTGCAAAGGAGGAGCATCCAAGTAAAAGTATAGAAGCCAGCTGTCTTGGTGAGGTCGAGGTCTAGAGCAGGGTGTACATCGTCCTTGTGCTGCCTTCCTGGAGTTCTAGCTTGTGGTTCTGTACCACTCAGGTTTTCACTAGAAGCAGGTCTGCAGCATTTTCTTCTTAGGCAATAATATCAGCGTATAGCGGATGCCTCTTTAATGTCAGAATCCTTTGCACACTGGTTGTGCTGGTGTTTCCCACCTTCTTGTACACTGTTTACATGGCTTGCTAGTAACGTAGGCATAATGTCTTCTGGGTCCACAGTACATAGAACTCCTGATTAAGAGAGCAGAGAGCAGACAATGTGACTTCAGAAAAGAACATGTTGCTGAAGTGCCACTGACATAGGACAAGTATCCTTTAGCTGAGTTACCAAGATTGGATGCTTTGAAGCTCTCACATCCAAGGGTTGGCAGACCTGTCATGGGAGTCTGGCTGAGCTCCAGGGTAAGGTGGGGCTGTTTGGAGCACTTTGCACATTCTGATTCATAAAACCCTGACTGCCCTACGAGAGGCAGGTGCTTCTGTCTCTTTGTAAGCGAGGGGCCAGGAAGGTCGAGCAAGTATCCGTGGGCACTGGGTGGGTGCGATGGGGCCAGAGTTAGACCCCAGGCAGCCTGGACTTGGAGTCTTTATTAATCTCCACAGGAAGGTGGTGGTAGAATCCAAGGGCAATGTGAAATGTGAAAAAAATACATGGTCCAAATAGTCAATAAACATGATTATCCTTACAGGACATGCAGGTTAAAAACCTGCATCTCTCTTTCATACCTGTCAAATTGGCAAAAACTTAAAAAACTGATCACACCAAGTGTTTGAGGGGATGTGGAACAAAGGGAACTTGCATTGTCGGCTGGAGGAAGTGCAGAGTGGTGCCGTCATGTGGGAGAGCAGTTTGGCCAGGCGAAGATGTGCGTCCTCTGCAGCTCCGACCAAACTCTCAGACGTGTGACCAAGAAGAGCTGTGCAAGGCGTCATTATAGCATTGTTTGTAAGAGTAAAGAATGGAAACGACCTAAATGTCCATCAGTAAGGGCATAGATACATCAGTTACAGTATATGGTATATTCATACAATGGAATCCTATGCGGTTGTTGAAATGAATGCAATATTGAGTAAAAACGAACATTGCAGAATTTCTGTGGTCTGGTGCCATTTATATAATTTTAAAAACATGCAAGATGATAAGCATCTTTATAATTAGTATGTACTGAGAATGTTTTAAAACACAATGGGCACTTCAAACACCAGGGGGTGGCTATCCCAGTGGGAGGGAACAGGGCTGGAGGTGGAAGAGGGGTACACGGTGGGTGTCAACTGTAATAGGCTTCTGCCAAAAGGTCTGAAGCAAACGTGGCAAAATTAAGATCTGGCTGAGCTGGTACATGGGTGTTCATTATGGTAATGTTAATCTTTATACTTTTATGTGTACTTGAAATATTTGATAAAAAGCAACACTAATTAAAAATGCACATGGTAAGAAGAAAAAAGAAACAGATCACGAAACATCAAGGATGAAACAAGTGAAACATAATCTTGAGAGAATTCAAAGGAAGACCCACAGCGGGAAGCCCCAAGTGAGGGATGTGTGGGGAAAACGCGTCCTTCGGAAATGGTCAGAGCGGCCGAGGCCCTTGTGAATGCCAGGTAGTCACATAGTTCATAAGTCAGACCACCTTTCAGTGAATGTGGGGGAGGCTGGGAGCCAGGCAGAACCTTTATCCCTCATCCAGGTCTGCGGACCACTTGGGAATGCAGGGAATGGAGTTGGAGTGAAGGAGGGCTGGTGGCAATATGCTGTCCCCTGTCACAGCTTGTCCCTGCTGAACCCTGCAGCCTGAGGGACGAGTACCATGTATCCTAGAACCTGTGGCTTGGTGTTCTGGAAGCTCACTTTTCAAATACAGTTTGGTAGTTAAAGGGCATTGTAGAATGGTAGTTGTGACTGGAGTAATTCAAAATTTTCAGTTTAGAGGAAAATCTAGAAAAAGGAATTAGGCACATCCATAGCTTCCATAGTTACAGTAGTTATGCAAGGTATAAGGTTAGGCTTTGCCTAGTTAATGTTTAATCCATTCTTGTGGAAATCAGATACAGAAAAATAAAACTCTTCAGTGAAAGTAGGATGAACTGTAAGGGAAACTAATGAGAAAGGGAAAGCTTTGCCCTGGGTGTTTTTGAATTTGAATTTACTTTGGAAAATCACGGAGTTTTTAAACTTGGTGTTTATTTCGTTTGAACTTTCATGTTTAATTCCCATCATGTAATATTCCCTTCTATTAGATCCCAAGTTGTAATGGATAGCAGGCAGATAGTTTAAAGGACAACATCTCGCCCTCCTTCCTCCTGAATTTGAGGACAGAGATATAAGTCAACTCCATTGTATGATCCGTGAGATTTTCAAAATCCTAGTTGGTTCGGTGAATTATTTCTCACCCTGCCTTCCTTTCTGTGTGGTCTTTTTATTTTCATTTACAGGCTGCCGAATTTGTTTTTTCAGTCTTCTTTGGAGTACACCCACTTTTTTAAAAAGTAGGTGACAAATGCAGATTGAATAAGTTAAGAGTACAGAGGACAAATTGCAAACTCACCCAGCTCAGATCCCTGCCCTGACTCCTCTCTTCAGACCCTTGTGTATTTCCATATTTTATGCTCATATAAGCAGTTATTAAGTTGGACCAAATGAAGTTGCCACTTTTATGAATGAATATAAGTGATTTCACTCAGTTCAGGGTAAAGTAGTATGTCCTTATAAACATGGGTAGGAACACACCATGCACACTGGGTACATCTTGCTTTATATTTGAATCTTGGATCTCATTCCATATTAGTGCAGATAAAGACTGGCCCTGTTCTTACTCATGGCTGCATAATCCTTTATTTGGTGGATAAGTATTTTTCCAGTTTAAAAATATATCATTCTGATGATTATCCCTTTATGTTTTGTATTCAGGTGCAAGTATACCTGTAGGGTAATTCTTGATAAATTCCTTCTACTTGGATGAAAGAACATGTATAATCCTAATTCCAGGAACTTTCAATTTAAATTTTATTTACTTAGGTGATGGTATCAGTCACTACACATTTAGCAGTGACTGACCATTATTACATCTGACTCCTGTTTTTGTTGTGTTTTAAGACCTAGAACCTTGGGGAGTAGTACTGTTTTTTCTTTGTTGGTCTGGTCAGGCCCTGAAAATGATTTGTATCAGTGGAGGAAAATGATAAGCCTTTTATGGCTTGCAGAGTTCTTACATATTGTGGTTTGAGAGAGGCAATAGTATTTCTTTCCCCTCCCAAGTCCAGAGTCAGGAGATAGGAGCTGAAGACGGGCCCCTGGCAATCTGGTTTCACCCCATTGCTGAAACAGTTGCTGGAGAACTGGGCCTGAAATCTGATAGCCGGAGGATTTACTCACCGGTGGCTGCACACAGAACGGGGCGGCAGGGACCGTTGTAAACTTTGCAGCTTGGAGGAAGAGGGAGTCTGGTGTTAGGTCGGGGTTTAAGATGACATCGCAAAGTAAGAAGAGGCTACGCCACCATGATTAGTGCCCCTCCCCCACCATCTAACCGCCTGCGAAAAGTTAGGGATGGGGAGAGATTAATGTAGCAAATCCACATGGAAGCTCGAGGAAGGAGCCATAAGTTCTCTGCTAACATTTTAGGGCAAAGTATCATACTGTTTACGAGGAAATAGGTGCTGGGGCTCGAGAACGCTTTCCCTTGGAGCATCGGGGCTACAGCTCGCTTCTGACCCTTTGCTCAGCCTTCTCACCACAAGGTCACATAGTCTTGGGGCTTTCCCCATGTTCAGGGATGTCACTGCCCCGCAGGTCCTGGGTATAGTGGCACACTATGCAAGGTAGTCCGCCCACTCTGCTTTAAAGGTAGCAGAATGTGGTCATATTCTAATCAGTGTGAGAATATGTTAATATACATTTCTTCGATTGGTAATGACGGTCAGATATAGTATACATATTACGATAAATATAAACTATAATATAGTAAACATTCAATAGGTATTGGGGTTCTGTTTATGGTCTGGTCAGAAATGAACAAAAGCCCTTCTAGATAGCGGGACCGTAGTGCGACAGCCTGTGGCGGGGTTAGTGGTGTGCTAGGTGGCTCGAGTACAGCGGATGAGGGTCCTGTAAGCTACCCGAAAGCTATCAGCCTTTAGGGGAAGAGGAAGATTTGAAGCAGAGGGAATGGCGCGATGAGTGCCGCGAGATCAGGCCGGCTGCGGCAGGAGTGGGTGTGCAGGGGCGCAGCGAGATGGGGTTGTGGGGGCGGGGTAGGACGCTGAAGCGGCCTTCCAAGTCTGAGGGTACGGTGGCTCGGAGGGCGGAGTCGGTGGGAATGGAGAAAATATTTTGGAGGTAAAATGAGCAGGTTGCATACGATCTGATTCTTGGGCCTATTCCAAGGCTCTTGTCTTGTGCAGCCTCATGGGCTCGGGGGCTCGGGGGCCCTGGGAGGGAGATGGTAAACAGTAGGACTTGCCCTCATGCTTGGACGTTCTGCGCTGCAGGGCCGTCTGCAAGGGGATGTGCTTGCCGCGAGGTGCATGGCTAGGGCCTCCCCAGACAACTGTGGACAAGATGCATGGTGGGGACAGTTAACCTAGGTGAAGCTCTAGGCGAGGGGAGATGCTCACGGAAGGGGTGGTCGGCCTTCACGGCTCCGGAATCGCTTGAGTGTTCGAGAAATAACAGCCTGGTCGCGGGGCCTGGTATGATGTAATCGGAGGTGGGGCTTCAAGTAGACCCCCGGACAGTGCTGACGTGTACCTAGGGGTGGGACCTGCTGGGCTAGAGCAAGCGCGCTGCGACTAGAGTTGCGCAGTTGGGAAAGGATGAGCCCGAACGGGAGGCTGCCCAAGGGCAGCCTCTGGGCTCCCGGGAAAGCTCAGTGCGGCCTCATGGCGGCAAGGGTGGCCCGCAATACCTGTCACTGCTGAGAAGCCGAATGGACTTCGGACTTAGCATCATATACGCGATTCAGGTACCAGAGGGGCCCCGTGCTATTGGGAAGCTTGGAACCGAAGCTGGGGAGATAGAACAGGTTGAAAAATGAGAGGGAGGACATGGAGACAGCTAGCACAGGCAGCTGTTAAAGGTGTTTGGGGAGAGCGCGGCAGTGGCCAGCAGAAAAGGCCTGCAATTGTTTCTGCAGTGATCCCCAACCATTTTGGCAGCAGGGATGGGGTTTCGTGGAAGATGGGTGCGGGGCGAGCGGGCGGAGGCGGAGCTAAGATGCGCTTTGCTAGCTTGCACGCTGTGGTTGGATGAGGGGAAGATAGGGGGCGGGGCTCAGGTCCGATTCGCCCACTGCCCGGGTTCTGACAGGCTGCCGACTGGTACCCATTTGCGGACCCGTTCCGACAGGCGGCAGATTGATACCTGTTCGAGGACCCCGTTTCCGACAGGCCACGGATCGGTATCCGTTCGTGGACCCGTTTCCCACGGGCCACGGATCGGTATCCGTTCGTGGACCCGTTTCCCACGGGCCACGGATCGGTATCCGTTCGTGGACCCGTTTCCCACGGGCCACGGATCGGTATCCGTTCGTGGACCCGTTTCCCACGGGCCACGGATCGGTATCCATTCGCGGACCCGTTTCCCACGGGCTGTGGATCGGTATCCGTTCGCGGACTCGTTTCCGAGGGGTCGCCGATCGGTATCCGTTCGCGGACCCGTTTCCGATGGGCCGCAGACCTGTATCTGTTTGCGGACCCGTTTCCGAGGGGCCGCCGATCGGTGCCCGTTCGCGGACCCGTTTCCGACAGGCTGCGGACTGGTACCGATTTGCAGCCCGTCTCCTGACAGTCAGCAGCCCGATATTAGGATGTTTTGGCTAAAGAACATTTGGATTGAAGTGGTTTAAATGGGATGAAAACTGACCTTATTCGAGAGTTCCAGAAGATGGTGGCTGATGTTGTTGTCAAGGACCTGGTGTTTTTCCAGGCGGCTGCGTGACCTGGGTGTTCTGCTGCCACCTATGGGTGTCAGGAAGCATTACAGTCTCCAGCAGAAATATGACTTGGCTGTAATATTAAAAAATATATATTGAAAATGTAAATTCAAGCCGCAGACCCGTACCCACTTGCGGGCCCATTTCTGATGGGTCGCAGATTGGTACCCATTCACGGACCCCATTTCCGACAGGCCACAGATCGGTACCCATTTGTGGACCTGTCCCCATTGGGCTGTGTGTTGGTACCTGTTCGCGAGTCCCGTTTCCGAGAGGCTGTGGATTGGTACCCGTTTGCGGGTCCGTTTATGACAAGTCGCGGATTGGTACCCATTCCCAGACCTGTATCCGTTCACAGACCCTCCCCAACAGGCTGCAGATTGGTACCCGTTCGTGGACTCCGTTTCCGACGGGCCGCGGATCGTTACCCATTTGCAGACCCTTTTCCGACCAGCTGCGGACCGGTACCCGTTAGCAGACCCGCTCCTGATGGGCGGCAGATCGGTACCCTTTCGCGGACCCCGTTTCCAACGGGCGGTGGATCGGTACCCATTTGCGGCCTGTCTCCTGACAGTCAGTGGCCCGGTATTAGGATGTTTTGGCTACAAAGAACAGAAGACGGATTGAACTGGCTTAAATGGTGACGAAAACTGACCTTATTCGAGAGTTCCAGAAGATGGTGGCTGACGTTGTCGTCAAGGACCTGGTGTTTTTCCAGGCGGCTGCGTGACCTGGGTGTTCTGCTGCCACCTATGGGTGGCGGGGTGCATTACAGTATTCAGCAGAAATATGACTTGGCTGTAATCACCAAAAAATATTTCCTGAAAATGTAAATTCATAAGCCTATTGGTTGAATTTTCAGAAGCCAAACAACAGTCACAAGCATCCAGATCACAGCCGCAGTTTCCCCAAAGTCACTACCCACCTCCTCCCAGGATGTCTACGGTAGTGCCTGTCAACACCATTGGTGATTTTTGCATGATATGAACAGTCATAGAGTATGTGCTCTTTCACGTTTGGTTTTCAGCATTGTTTTTGAGATCCGTACTGTTGTATGTAAAGTTATATAAAGTGTTCATCTATTGCATGAATATACCAGGTTTTATCCATCCTGTTGATGGACATTTGGGCAGTTTCTAGTATTTGGCTTTTATAGGTGGTGTCGTTGCGAACCTATATACTCACTTCTGATGAGTGTATAATCAGGGACAGCATATGCTTATATTCAGATCTAGTACCCAATTCCCAATGTGTCTATGACTTTCCTGCCAGCAGCCCATGAGCGTGTCAGTTCCACATCTTCGCTAACACTTAACTTTTCTGTTACTTCATTTAGCTTTTCTGGTGGGTGTGGAATGATGTAGTGCTGTGATTTTAATTTGTATTTCCTTAAGTTGAGCATCTTTTCATTTGCTTATTGGTGCCTGTTAGGATTTTGAGTTGAATGTCTTTATTAGTTCTTTTCTTAAGTTACAGGTATGAGTCATTGTCAGATACATGAACTACCAATATCTTCTCACACGCTGGCTGGCCTTCCTACTCTAGATGTTTCCACAGCCCACTGCTGATTTGAGTGCAGTACAGCATGCTGCTGGTTGCCTTTATGGGAGGCATTGTTTGTGTTTCCAGCCTCTGCCAGCTCACACGTCACCAACACGTTGTGTTTCTTCGACAGTCTTGATGGTTTAACTTTGGGATTTAGATCCGTAGTCCATCTGGAGGTGATGTCTGTATTCAGTGTGAGGTGGGGTTCAAGGTTCATGGGACTGTCCAGTTGGCACAGCACCTTTTAAGAGGGGTTTTCTCTGTGCTCCGCAGTGTTTCCTTTGTCATACAGATCAGGTGACTGGAGGCGTGGATCTGTTTCTGATTGCCGTATCCTATTCTGTTGGTCTCTCATCTGTCTTTAGATAGCTTTTTCTTGTTTAAAACCACGTTTATAGCCTTTTACTGGGTATTATTATATTGTAGTGTTATATTGTAGTATTATGTTAATCCCTAGAACAAATCTAGGTATTAATACCTAGTTTTGTTCTTATCTCTTTTTAAGAGGGATGAGTCCCCTCAGGTATCGTTGGCCAGCAATAGGTCACATGACTACCCCTAAGCCAATCAGTGCAAAGGAGAGTGGCTGTTGCCATGATTGAATTAAACTAGTTCAGAATTGTCTCTGAATCTTGTTGTCCCTAAGGTAGACACAGAAAAAGTCTAGTAACCAGGTGTGGGTGGGCAGGTAGTTGTTGGGAAGCTACCAACAGTGTTTTCTTATGGTTTAAGATGTATTTTTTTGTTTTTTAAAGATGAGAGAGATCTGAGCATATTAAAAGTTGATGAGGGGTTGTACACAGTGTGAATGTACTAAATACCACTTGAACTATACATTTGAAATGGTTCAAATGGTAAATTGTGTGGTATGTAAATTCACCATAATACGGAATGGGTTCCTGAGGCAGAATCGTTAACATACAGGGGAGAGAAGGGAGAATTGATACTGTGAGAATGGATCAGGTGGAGAAGTCAGGCACATAAGGAAGAGCAGGAACACCTTTACTGCAACAATGAAGGAGAAAAGGTGGGGCTAGGCAGGGGTTTGCCTTTGGTGGTAGGAAATTGAGACTTTTCGTCGATGTCTCCAGTTTACTCTTTGAACTTGGAGCAGAGTGAAGGGAGTTTATTGAAAGTTTGAGGACAGTCCAGTTTGAGGACTTGAGGAAGTTTAAGATCCGAAAAGATCATCCCCAACTTAAAAAATGATTTGATCTAGTATGATGGTTTAACAATGCTGAAGGCCCCTTCAGGTTGTTTTTAACCACGGATAACAGCACTACCTGTCTATTCTGCTGCGTCGTTGTCTCCAGCAATATGTAGCTCCCTAGAGATAAGCATGGAGAAAGCTGAAAGCGGGATCGATCCCGGGATTGGGGCTTTGCTGCAGGGCCAGATGTGCACACAGGGACGACGGAGCATAAAGAATTACCAAGCACGTGACCATGAAATGATGAACCAGTGACTCTCGGAGCCAGCTAAATAAGGAAGTAAAAAAGCAAGGTGGTTAAGTCAGTGAGTTGGACACCCTGAGGAGATAGTAGGAAGAGTTGAACAAGATGGAAGGAACCAGGTTATAGGGGAGAGTGGGATGGCTGAATTAGTGATTTTTGAGGTTGGAGTAGTTTTGAGTGATAAGTTTTGGGGAAGAAGCGGGCAGTGGTGGACATCTGAGCTGGGGTGGAAGAGGAGGTCTTACGAGATAACCCAGGAAACTTAGCACTTGACAGTGTACAAGTGCTGATTTAGTACCTTCCTCAAAACAGGAAGAGCAGAATTGTTACCCCGTTTTAGATAAGAAAGCAGGCCCTGAGAGGCGAATAACCTTCTAACAGTCCCAGTGAGAGTTAGTGATTGATCGGACTTCACTGTTGCATGTCCCAGCTTTCATGCTCTGCCCACTGTACCCCAGCAGAAGTGTTGTGTGAGAGATCTGGGAGCTAGATTTCTGGAGATTGGAAGTCTTGCTGACATGCAAAAAATAGTGCAAAAAACTGTACAACTAATGATGAGAAGTCGGGCGCAGATTAAAATGTGGGTAGGATACGTGCAGGAAATACCCCAGAAATATGGAAAGTAGTTATTCCTGGGTAGTCGTGATCAGGACTCTGGATGACTTTTCCCCTTGGTTTAGTTTTCTGTACTTACCAAATTTCCTATAATGGATGTATATGAATTTTTAAAAATTAAAAAATTACTTTGTAACTTGATTATGTATGGAAAATTCAAAAAGTACAAATAGAAATGCAATATAATACCTTTATTAAAATAAAAACATGAATATTTTATTTCTTGTTTCCCTTTTTAGAAATGCACTTGGTGATGGAAAGAGAGCCATTATTCTGAAGAACAACTGGACAAAGGCAGGTTTCTTTTATATTTTACCTTTTTGAGTAATGCCATACAGCTTGGGGGGAAATGTGTTCAGGTCACAGGCTGTACATTTGTATGTAAAAATGCTGGATAGAATGTGCAGAGTTCAAGAACATGACAGGGACTCTTTAGTTCCGTAGTCAGACAGGAGACTGAGCACAGTATTGAGGCTGCATGTGTCTGAGGGATGTAGGTTGCCTGTAAGAATCTTGACCTTGGGGGAGCCTTACCCATTGAGATACCAGCATCTGCACACAGCATCTGGGTTGAAGACCTGAAAAACAAAACTTCAAGCTCAGAAGGAACTGTAGGAGATGGTGTTGTTCATAAATTCTTATACGTAAATTAGTGAAGAAACATAAATTTGATTATATCAAACTTGAAAAACACCTGCATGTCAGAACACCCCATGAATGAAATCATAGTCTGGGAGGAGATAATTTATCATATGGCATGTATGACTGATAGGGTTTATATCCAGAATATGCAAAGACCTAAAATTAAAAATCCAGTAGAAATGGGCCAATACACAAGCATTTCACAGAAGAGGAACTCTGAGTGGGCAAGAGAAGTAAACCGAGCTCTGTTTCCCGGTAATGAAAACTGTGCAGAGGCAGAGAAAGAAAACCAGGAGGGCACATTCGAGAGTTTCTGAACAGGTCCACGTGTGCAGGAGTAAATAAAACAACGCGATACTGTTCGGGTTCTTCAGATTGGCAGTAGCCAATGAGGTGAATAGCCCTGAGTGTGTGTGCCCGCAGGAATGCTTCGTAAACCAGTGGTGCTGAATTGGTTACAGCCACCTCGGAGAGCACGGCGATGTCCATATGCATCAGCTCCTTGGTTCTAAGTGTGTGTGCCCCACAAACAGTCTTGCACATGCTCACATGAAGGGGTGTGCAAGGTTGGCCACTGTGGCAGTGTTTTGATGACGTACCTGAGTATTCATTAACACAGCCGTGGGCGGATGTGGTGTTTACCCTTGATCCAGTCGTTACTGTGATCTGTCTGATCTGTCCTCTGTCTTTTTTTTAAAGATTTTATTTATTTATTTTTAGAGAGAGGGGAAGAGAGGAAAAGAAATTTCAGTGTGGTTGCCTCTCATGCACCCCCTACTGGCCCTGACTGGGAATTGAAGCAGCAACCTTTTAGTTCACCAACCGAAGCTCAGTCCACACTGGACCACACCAGCCAGGGGCAAAAGTTTTTTTTATTTTAATCAAGTCCACCTTATGAGTTATTTCTTTTGTGGATCATGCCTCTGGTGTTACATTTAAAAAGTCATCAATGTACATAAGGTCACCTAGGTTTTCCCCTATGTTATTGAGTAGGAGTTTTATGGGTTTGCATTTTCCATTTAGGTCTGTGATCCATTTTATGTTTATTTTTTGTGGTGGGTGTAAAGTCTGGATTCAATCTTTTTTTTGCATGTAGATATCAGTTTGTTCCAGCATCATGTGTTGAAAAGTCTTTCTTTCCTCCATTGTATTGCCTTTGCTCCTTTGTCAAAGTAACTGTACTTACGTGGTTCACTCTTCTTTTAATTGGGATGTTTTTGCTGATTGCAAAAATATCTCTGTAGCCTAAAAGTATTGAGTTGGCCAAAAAGTTCATTTGATTTTTTTCCTTACAATGGCTCTAGTAGAGCTTAGTTGTCTTGAACTTCATTTGAAACAATTTTGTTAAATTGCATTGTGACAGCTGTCATATCAGGATGACATGGTTAAAAAAAACTAACCAAAATTGGTGAATTTTTGTGTGGTTATTTTAATGTTGAAGATGGAAGAAAATACACAACATTTTTGACATGTTATGCTTTATTATTTTTTTTAATGGAAAGCCACTGGGCTTTTTTTTTAAAGATTTTATTTATGTATTTTTGGAGGGGAAAGGAAGGAGAGAGAGAACTATCAATGTATGGTTGCCTCTCGTGCGCCCCCTGCTGGGAACTGGCCTGCAACCCAGGCATGTGCCCTGACTGGGAATCGAACCACGGTTGTTTGGTTCGTGGGCCCGTGCTCAATCCACTGAGCCACACCAGCCAGGGCAGGGTGCTTTATTATTTCAAGAAAGGTAAAAATGCAACTGAAATGCAAAAAAAAAGATTTGTGCAGCGTATGGAGAAGGTACTATGACTCTGACCAAACACGTCAAGAGTGGTTTGTGAAGTTTTGTGCTGGAGATTTTTCACTGGACGACGCTGCATGGATGGGCAGACTAGTTGAAGTGGATAACGGTCAAATCAAGACATTAATTGAGAATAGTCAACACTCTACCATGTGGGAGATAAGCTGACATACTCAAAATATCCAAAATCAATAAAGTTACTGGTGGAAATGAAACATGTGTCTCTTATTTTAAGGAAAAAACCATACGTACTTTTTGCCAACCCAATAAACTCCTAGTAAGTATTCAGAAAGTTCAGTAACTATATATCTAGGTCATTTGTCACTTTATTTTACTGGAAGGGAATGCTCATTGAAGGATGGGTTTCAATTCAACAGCAAAAGTAAACTGTCCAAGGTACAGACTTGTCCAAGGTACCTTGTCTAAGGTACAGACTTTACTTTTATAAGAATCGTTCTATTTTAGAATTAATCATGAGCTTGAGTACTGAGTCATGTCTCCAGGATATAAGCCTATATAGGAAGGTGCTCTGTCGATTTCTGTGTGAGGTTGGGCCATTTTTCCCTCCTCCTTTCTAGTTAGAGCAGACTGGTAGATTGTCAACTCTCCTAAACGTGCCTTCAGGCTCCAGAGAGGCTTAGTCAATGTATCATAAAGAGAGAATTTTTATGGTAGAGTCAACAGGTAATCGTCGACATTTCTGTGTGCATGACCTTTTGATAATGTTATATAGGGTACAAACCAATAGTTTCACAAATGTCCTCAAGAACCTTTTAACTTTTAGGGGTGTATTTGGACTCTCTTGTTTGTGAGAGACGAAACCTAACCCAGATTTGGCTCAAGTAGGAAAGAGGAGGTGTTAGCTCATGTAATTTGAAAGTTCTGGGGGTTAGCTTCGGGCATGATTGGATCCAGATCTTTTCTCTTATGTTTCTTAGCTGTGCTTCCCCGTTAGTGTCACATTCAGTTTTTTTTTCTGTTTCTTTTTACCTCGGTTCCTCTGCTGCGTCCTCCAGTTCTGCAGTGTCTGATCTGTGTCTTCACCCAGTGTGTTTTTCATCTTAAATGCTATAGCTTCCCCCTCTAGAATTTCAGTTTGAGTATTTCTTACATATTGCATGTCTTTACTTATATGTCCGGTCTTTCTTTTAGCTTCGTGAATGTATGGAATATCTTTATAACTATTTTAATGCCCTTGTCTATTAATTGTATCATGTGGGTCATTTCTGGGTTGTTTCAGTTGATTCACTTTTCTCCTTATTTTCCTTTTTTGCATACTTGGTAAGTTTTTTAAAGATTTTATTTATTTTTAGAGAAAGGAGGGAGAAACAGAGAGAGAGAAACACCAATGTGTGGTTTGCTCTTACATAGTCCCTGCAGGGGACCTGGCCCACAGCCCAGGCATGTGCCCTGACGGGGAATCCAACCTGCGACCCTTTGGTTCATGGGCCAGCACTCAATCCACTGAGCCACACCAGCCAGGGTGCATACCTAGTAAGTTTTGATTGGATGCCAGGCATTGTAATTTTACCTGATACTTTTGTATTTCTGTAAGTGTTTTTCAGCTTTCTTTTGGGATGTATTAGTTACTTGTAAACAGTTTGCTTTCTTGGAGTCTCATTTTAAGCTCTGTTAGGTGGGACCATAGTGGTATCGAGTCTAGGGCTAATTTTTTCTCTTTAAGTGAAGCAAAGCTTCTGAGTACTCTACTGGATACTCTGTGAATTAGTGGTGTTTTCCACCCTGGTTGGGGGGACAGGAAATATTCCTGGCCCTGTGCGGGTGCCACTGTTGTTTTCTCTTAGCTTTTCAGGTGGTCTTTCCCTGGCTGGGGTAGTTGCCCCACACGCAGGTGCTGATTAGTACGCAGCCAGACTCAAGGGGGCCCTGTGACAACCCGGAGTTCTGTGTGCGGCTCTCCCCTCCCTGCCCGTCTGCCCCGAGAACTTGAGCTGCATGGCTTGCCTGGACTCCTGGCCCCCTCTCCTCATCGGAGACTGTGGTCTCTGCCTGGGTGCCTTCTCGCTGTGCGGTGGCTGAGCAGCCCCACTGAGCAAGCGGGAGCGGGCCCAGGGCTTACTCGGTGTGTTTCTCGTCTGTCAGGGACCGCTCTCTGTTGTTGCCTGGGAGCCAGGGTCTTGCAGCCCTTCGTTTCACGTATGTGGCTCATAGGTGTTATTTCAGACAAGAGGGTAAATCCAGTCCCTGTTCCTCCATCTGGAGCAGAAGTGGTAGGGTGTGGGCTCTCTTGGCTTTGTTTCGAAAAAGACTTTTTATGTAGTGGGAGACCAAAGTGATATCCTCAATAACTGTTCATTTTAGTGGAAAGAACATCTGCAGTATCTGTACAGTGTACCCAAGGGATGCCTCAGACTTACTCTCCTTCAGCCTCGTGCCCAGCTGTGGATCCATCACTATAACCTGGGAAATGGTGCACGTGGATTGGCCCATTTCCTGGGTCACAGCTGTGCTTGTATCCACTGTCATTGTTGGGGCGGGGCATGTGGTTGCCAGTCCTGCCATTACTGTGTAGAGAAGGGCCATGGTAGTCCTCCAAAGGAGGGGGTGCCGGGCAGGTTAATAAAAGGGAGTTTTTATATATGTGATAGAGAGTGAGATAGTGTCAAAGAGGAGCAAGACTTTCTATTGTAATGGGATTCAAGTAACTCTAAAAAAACACTTTAGCAAAGAGATCTGCATAAAACTTCTCAGCTGGCACAAATTATACTGGTTATGGAATGTAAGGAAAAGGACTCAGTGAAGGATGAGTAAGGTGGAGGGAAACGAAAATGAGATAAAGTGTTTTGTATAAATTTAAGTAGATATGGTTTATAATCTATCATAATTTCCTGTGCTGTGATTTAAAAAAAATGCAGTTATGGTCCTGGCTGGCATCACTCAGTGGACTGAGTATTGGCCTGTGAACCAAAGGTTGGCCAGTTCAATTCCCAGTCAGGGCATGTGCCTGGGTTGCAGGCCAGGTTTCCAGTAGGGGGTGCTTGAGAGGCAACCACACATTGATGTTCCTCTCCCTCTATTTCCCCTTTCTCTAAAAAATAAATAAAACTTTAAAAATGCAGTTATGTAAGCTGTAAAGTTGACATATGCCTGGGTTTTGGTCTTTTTTTTTTTTTTAAGATTTATTTATTTTTAAAGGGGGGAAGGGAGGGAGAAAAACATGAATGCGGGAGAGAGACATTGATTGGTTGCCTCTTGCACGCCCACAACTAGAGACCTGGCCTGCAAGAAGCAGCAGCCTTTTGATTGGCAGACCGGCTCTCTGTCCACTGAGCCGCACTCGTCAGGGCCAGGTTGTGGTGTTACGGCACCTGAGTGCTCTCTGCTGTCTTATGCCTTTTGAGGAAGAGCAAAGTTTAACCAAATGTAATCTGAACTGACTCTTCAATCTGAGCCTAAAGTCTGGCCAAAAAGAGATTCTCCAGAATTCACTCACTGGTTGGGTTGCCGCAGCAGAGCAGGGTTGTACATGCACGGGGTCTGCATAAAGAGAGGCCCTCGCAGTTGTTTCTGGCTTTTCTTGGTGGAAAGCTCGTCTTCCTTAAAAAGGGCACTTATTCCTGACTTCATATTTTCTCATAGAATCAGAATGTTCTTTAAAGCATGTAGTAGAGAGGGAAGCTCTGGGCCCAAAGTCAGAAGCTCAGCAGTCTGTGGTTTGCCCCTCAGTAAGTGACATCCGTCCAGTTCCAGCCTCTTACACTTAGAAGTCACTTTTCAAGTGGAGGTTCTGTGTCTAAAATGGGAGTTTGGTTTGTGAGTAGCGAGCTAGAGGAAAAGCTGGGTGAGTTAGCCCAGGTTTGGCAGTGTTAGCTTTCTAGATTAGAAGGTTCATGCTTGATATACAAGATTTCTCAAAATGTGTAAATGTGGCTGGCCAGCCAGGCCTGTGGTTCTGTGGCAAAACCAAAAAAGAACACAAATCTCAATTAAAAAGAGAAAACTTGATTCAAAAACAAAACTCAATCATTGAATTAAGAGTGTATCAGTGGTTTTGGACCTTTTCTTTCTTAAAGCCAAGAGCAGTTCTTAGAGATAAAAGAATTAAAAGCTGATTAAGAGGACGCTGGTTAGGTTGCTCAGTGGATAAGAGCATTGCCTGGATACAGCCAAAGTTACAGGTTAGATCCCCGGTCAGGGCACACACACGCGAATCATCCAAAGGATGCGAATCAGGCAAAGGATGCGTAAATGTGGAACAACAGATTTCTCTCACTCCCTCTCCCCCTCCCCCTCTGCCCTTCTCTCTAAAAACTCAGTAAAAAAAAAAAAAAAGCAGATTAAGAGAGTGATGGATGGAAGATGTAGCCTTGATTTACCTCTTACCTGAGCCGCGCTGCTCTTTGGAGGCTGGAAAGCTGCTGCACACACCTGCTGTGCTGCCGGCTCCAAGGTTTGCCAGTTTCCGAAGTGGAGGGGATGTCAGGGCTTGGGGACTGTCACCGCCTTGAAATACTGTGAAGAAATTTAAGTTACTTGCATGAATGATTTTTAGACTTTATTTGGCATGAAAGTTATTTCCTTCTTTACTAGTAAAATATAATGAAGGCCAACTTTTTTCGTTTGGAGACTGGGTACACAAATCTCTCTAAAAATACTGATCTCTAGTCGTTACAAATTGTTATGAATACTGTTATAACTATTCATGTAAGTCATTTAGGTCATTTTATATCCTGAGAGGTGCTAACATTTTTATTTATATTTCCTTAATAGGGTTCTAATCTAACATTTTAAGTCACTAATCAGATTTCAAGCAAAATATTTTTTCTTATCTATTTCCTTTAAGCTAAGCATATCTTTGAGAAAACTAAATTTATCTCTTTGGAACAGGGTCATTATCGTTATTGTGCTGCTCTTTCTATGCTGGGGGAGTATGACTGGGCCCTGCAAGCAAATATTAAAGCTCAAAAACTCTGTAGAAATGACCCTGAGGGAATCAAGGATCTAATTCAGCAGCATGTAAAGTTACAAAAACAGATAGAAGACCTGCAAGGTATTTCTCCTCAGATTCTTTTGGTTGCACTTCATTCCCTTTAAAACTCTTGCAGGTGGGTTTCTTGGATGAATGGTGGACTGTGAATCAATTTTCAGGTGATTTGTATGTACTTCGCTATCAAGTCCCGTAGGCTTTTCATTTCTATCTGTGTAGAATTATTTTCCATTAGGTAATTATAAATGGTTTATATTTTTATTTGGACATTCAGCAAGGAATTATATGCTCTTGTGCAGAAAAACAGGCCTTCTTAAAATTTGAAAGTAAAAGTAAATCCTTTTGGAAACAACATTGTCATGAAATTACTCCCTTCACTATTATTGTTATTTCCTGAAGAAAATTCCCTCCGTGAGAGTTGTTTGATGTATTTGCACCAAGGTTGTGGCTGACTTTATGTGTAGCTCCGGAATTTGCTCTGCAGCACAGGAATTCTGAAATTCCTTACCCTACACTCTGTATAGCTGTTCCCTGTTTTTCCTTTTGGGTGTTTAGTGTCTTATGAAGCTGAGTTGAGTGGTTCTCTTGCACTAGCAGATGTCATCCACCATGACGTGATTATGAGACTGTGAGCTCCTTGAAGACAGGTACCAGGTCTGACTAACATTTACCGTGCTTTGCTGTGTACAACACGCACCTTTATGCCCAGATTTTTGAGGGGAAAACAAAGATACGCATTATACGTGGGTCATCCCTGGAATACCTAGTACCTGTTCTTGTGCTTTGTAATTTTTGTTACATAAAATTTCTTGTACTATAATATATTAAAAAATAAATGCTGAAATTCCATTAGAGTACAAAAACCAAGTATCTAAATATAAATAAATATATAGTTGAATTAGAAGTTAAAATGAAAGATAGTTTATCTGAAAGTTGGGGCCAGAAACGTGGGCATGCACTATATACAGCAAAAGATGGTATTTGTTGTTGCATCCGGTCAGTGACCCTCCCCAGCAGGGGGTCGGCTCAGGGCTGCAGGGAAGTTTGTTGATGTGATTGTGAAACTAAAAGCATCGTCAGATGTAAAATTGCTTAGGTTTACTTTTCAATTCTCTCACTTTGCCAGTCTTTTAATGTATGTGTTTGTGTTGCCAATGCACTGGTTACTAAGTGTGTGTGTGATTGATTTTTGTAGGTGGAACATCAACTAAGAATCCAGTTAAATCCTGTTACGAAAGCAGGTGAGTTAATATCAGTTCGATCAGCAGCTGTTGCTTAGGTGGGCTTTGCCCTGCAAGTTCAAGAACCGTTGTGTTTGATGCTTTAGTGGCCGACAGCAACTACAGTAAAGTTGGAGGCGAAAGGTGGCTTTAAAGTGTCCCTGTGTAAGATTGGGTGACCTGTGAATTGCCAAATTTGTCCTGCTGTTTTGCTCAGCTATTTGTATATGTCTCTACTGGGGATCAGTAGCCTAAGCCTGTGGAAAAAGGGGTGAAATGTTAATGGGATGTTACTGTGTTTGAATGAGGCCAGTTTTGGCCACTGGGGTCCTGGCAGAGAGCAGGGGCACAGTCCGTGCCTTTTAACCCTTCACCCCTGCTCTGGAAACATCTGCCTCTGGACTCCCAATGTTTTTTCAAAGACTAAGACTCTTCCTGTTGCAGACGGCGGCCGGTAGACGGGAGTGTGCGTGCAGGACAGCCAGGGTCTGCTTTGTTTCTGGGTGATTAAATAAGATTAAGCTTTTCCTCACATTCCTGAGATAATGAAGCTGATAAGCTTAAAAGGAGAGTCACTTATTTTAATATTAGAAACCAGACTACATTTTTTTAGTTGTTTTTCATCTGGGTTTTTAATACCAAATGTGAAATAATGTTTATGTATAAAGCCTACTCTCAGCGGTAGAGATCCTTTCTAAAACAACCTTATCTTGCTTTCAAGGAAAAAGGGCTCTAATGGCTGAAACCTGTTTCTTTGAAGGTTGACTTTTTAAAATGCATCCTACTTAAGAGTAATAAAAAGATTATTCCCTTTCTCTCCATTCAGGGCCTGCACATCTAGTTCATCAGCACCTGCGTTTAGTACTTCACTTAACTTTGTAGAAACCGAAAGAGATTCCAGAAAAACCAACCACGAAATGGCAAGCGGTGGTCATCCAAATTCAAGGGTAATTTCAATTAAAAACTAAAAATAATATTATTTCCAGTGTAGGTAGTCTCATATTTTTACAATAATATTTTGGTGATAATGAAAACTAAATATTTTGCTGCTATAAACCTTTTTTTTGCCTAGTGATATCAAGAGAATGATTCTTTTTAAGATTTTATTTATTTTTAGAGAGGGAGTGGGAGGGAGAAAGAGAGGGGGAGAAACATCAATGTGTGGTTGCCTCTTGAGCACCCCCTACTGGGGACCTGACCTGCAACCCAGGCCTGTGCTCTGACTGGGAATCAAACTGGCCGCCCTTTGGTTTGCTGGCCGGTGCTCAATCCACTGAGCTATCCAGCCAGGGCAGAATGATTCTTTATGATAAATAATTGAGCTACCTTTTATAACTACATAAAAATGGTATTTTATTGTCACAAAAATTTTTTTGCAGTCGTGTGTTTATGTTTTTCAAATTGTTTTGTTCTACATTTCGTTTTACACTTGGGTGGTTCTCTGTGCCTTCCCCGTACACGTCTCTCAGTCAGTCCCTTGGGAACGAGTGACTGGGGTCTGGCGGCCAAATCACCCCACCCCTTACGACGCTCTCGGGTTTTTCTTTTCCTCTCTTTTCTCTTTTGGGATCTGCGTGCCTGCCTGCCGCTGTGCCTGCCCACCCACCCAGTTTGCGCTGTGCTGGGCCTGGGAGGCCCCCCACCTCCATCCGTGCCCAGGGTGTCTCCTCAGCCTCTGCTGCTCCTGACGGTGGCCCAGGCCCTTGGCTCATTGCTGTGCTTGGCTGAACCTGGGTCTGATGGGCTCTCAGGGCACCTCGAGGCCTGTAGCCTGGCCTTGGGCCATGTCCCAGAGGACCTGCCCCTGAGTTTTGCTCAGAACTGCAGTGTACTCAGAGCTCAGCAGACGGCACCGAGTCCACATTTATATTTCTCTCCAGGGCTTGAGCGGGGGAAAGGAATATGGGGTTTGGGGTTAGATGGTACTAGGCAGTGGGGGGAACTGCTGCTAGTTCTTTGGTTGTTAACAGTGAAGACCTCAAAGAGGCTGCATTCAGTTAGGGAAAGGAGCATAAGGGAAGAGGTACCAGTGTCGAGTCAGTCCAGACACTTCCTGAGTGACTGCCCTGACTGGCCTCACGCTGGGTGTCAGAAACAGAATTGTCGTATCATAATCTCTTATCATCAGGGGTTTGTTTGTTTATTCATTTAGGCTTAACCACCTACATATTTTAGGTGCTTGAATAAATTCTGATCTATTTTATTTTTTAGCTATTGAATTCTTAAGGGCTTTTTTCCCCTAAAGTCTCATTGATTTTATTTCCATGGGTAGGACACAGATGAAGCTTCAAACTCAGATGACTGTGACTGTCCTGAATATCTGGCATCGTCAAGTGAGTTTTTCCTTTATGCAAATTGTTGACAAAGGTAATGCAGTGTTGTCTGAACTTCTGTGCCCAGGATTTGCACAAACAGACCTCGCTTATATTTGCACTTGTTCTTTTACTTTGCAGTGCTTCTCTGTGAAAACATGGAATATTTAGTTGAAATCACCAGTTTTTTCATATTGTTTAATAAGTCTAATTTTGGAACTCCAAATTGAAGTAATGGAAAGGAAAGATGAAGCCCTTTCTGGTTTCCTCTCTGATTTCCATTAGGCCAGTGCTTTTCAGCTTTCATGTCACGATCTGCCCCAACCCAAGCCTTTTTAGCCTGTTTTCCTTGTGTGCCTCACCTTGGCATTTACTGTGTATTTGTTTATGTGCTGTATGTATGTCTCTGCTTTACATGGGGTGGGGGGGCAAAAGCAGGTTTACAGTTGTGAGCAAGGGAAACACTTTATTCTTGGCTTATTATTTGTTAATTAGTATATTATTTTTCATGCAAACAACTGCAAACCTACTTTTGCCCCACCCTGTATGAAAAGGTGGATCTTTTCCTCTCCCAGTAACCATCACTAACCCTGCTGGGGGTGAGGGACGTCCCCTCTGTTGAGAATGGATGCTTTAGGCCAGCACTTGTCTATTTTAAATGGTGCTTGGCGCTCATGTTTGTTTACCTGTCTGGTCCGCAGGCCGACAGGGCGGGGCCTCCCTGACTCCGCCCCACTGGGAGTGCAGAGTCCCAGAGGAGCGTGCGCACTCGCACCGTGTTTACTTCTCAGGCTCCCGGGATACGGCCCGGTGTGATGGAAATCTTTCTAAAGTGAATCGCATGCTTCCCCACCTTTAAAAACAGAGTTTAAGAGCAGTCAGGTTTTCTGAATGACTAGAGGTTGATTTTGTGACAAGTTATTTGTCTCCATTTTTCCTGTGTTCCTTCCGGGGTTCTTACAGGGACTTGTGACCAGACGTCTAGTTAGTGACCCTGTTGCCTCTTCTTTCTCTTGTTTATTGCTTTTTTTGTTTCCTCTTCAGTGTTTTTGCTTCTGGCAGGCATTTCTCTTTTCTTAGGCCCCCGTGTCTCCTATCCAACTATGTATTGGGCATTTCTATTTGGTTAGTACTTTGGCAGGACTTAACAAGTAGGGGACACTCAGGTGATTGCAACTCTAGTAGCACCTGAAAAGGCTGTGAAGATAAAACTTCTTTTTGGAAAACAGCTTGTAATATATTAGTATTTCTCAGGCTGTTATCACCAGACAGTACATTTAAATAAATAAATAATTGCCCACACTGCAGCATCTACATTCAAAGAAATTGAGGTCCCAAAGTCAGGGTTAAGTAGTTCTGCCTTAGGTCACACAGCAGAAATCAAACCGGAACTCTTCTGCCTTTCTAGAAGCCTCTTTTATTTTCTGAGGCCACCAAAAACAGCTTAGGCTCTTATCAATATGTGGCTCTGACTTGCCTGTGCAGTCTGTCCCCAAAGCTCCCCTTAGATACACCGGTCCCTACTGCTGTGCTCTCCTCTGCCCAGCTTTGCAGGTCTGTCTCCTCCCACAGTGCACTCGGCTCCCTCCTCCTGGCAGCAGGTGAAGGCCGAGCTCACCCAGCTGGGGAAGTGGGAGCACCGGGCCGTCACACTGCCCCAACCTGCCCCAGCCAGGCTCCACCCTGGGTCCTGACCCAACTTGCCAAGCCACGTGGGTCTACTTAGTGTTTCTTAAAAAAGACTCCACCCTTGGGTTTGGCCCATTCTGTCCGAATCCTACTTGTTCCTTAAAATTAAACACAAATGCTGCCCTCTCACTCATGCTTTTTCCCACCCCTCCAGCCTGGGTGACTTCTCCCTCCTGTGAGTTCTGAGAGCTGTCACTGTGAAATTAATTTGTCAATAACAGCAGGGTGTCTCCTTTTCTTCTCAAGTGTGAGTGTTGTTTAATTATTGCAGCTTTCCTTCCCATCTGATTGTAAACTACCAACAGAGAATAGAAAGTACAGGCCGTCTCTGTCTCTCCTCTGGGCCAACGTGATATACTAACGATTTCATTGCCTACGTAGACAGACATCACCAGTAGCTTCTCTTGGGGCTTGTCTGTACTGTGCTCACAATATTGCTTCCTTTGCTTTTATACAATTTACATATTTCAAAAATTATTTTACTTTCAGGCTTATAGATTTTCATGTCCAGATTTCAGGAACAAATACTTCTGTATTCACAGGTCAACCTTCGAGACATAGAGGGAAACAAAGATCCCGCAACAATGAATCGGAGCCCAGGTGTGTTTTTTATCTAAGGTTTTTTGTTTTTCCCCTAATGTTGTTTTTCCCCGTTGTTGACAACTGCAGACGTGTAATAACTTTGGATGATCAGTGCAAATTCCCTGTAGTTTATTTCTTTTTCAAAAGCCGTTCTTCCGTGTCATCTTTATAATTAATTCTTGTTGGGCCCCCTCTGCCTGTCATTTTAAGGGATTTTTATTGAGATTTCAATGGATTTAAAAAGTAATTTGGGGAGAAATGGCATCATAGTTATATTTCAGTTTGCAGAGCTTGTGACTCTGCATTGACTCAGTGTTTAAAGTGACCTTCAGTAAACACACTTTCCCTTGTATAAGCAGACTTGTTTATTTTTAAATAATTCAAAACAACACTCTTCCTTTTTAGCTCTAGTTCAGAAGGGAATTTACAGGCAGATTTGAAGACCTTTCTGGAGAGAGCATTTTCTAAATCTTCCAGAGCTGCACATCAGGTAAGGGAAGGGATTTTCTGATGGGAAAAGCAAACTCTGCAAACAAAACATTCTCACAGGAATTAAGTCTAATCGTGTATGTCTTTTACCTTTTCCTTATAATTTTAGTTATGGGTGTATAATTTATGATTATACGTCCACACTGCCAGCAAACCAAACTGCCACTAATTTAGATACTAACTTTTTAATGATGTTAACCCGAGATTGAACTAACAGTTAACACCATAGAATTGCTTGTTTAACGGGGGGTTTTCTGGCTTGGGTTTGTGCTGCAGGATTTCGCCAATCTAATGAAAATGCTGAGGAGCTTGGTTCAGGACGGCTACACGGCTCTGCTGGAGCAGCGGTGCCGCAGCGCCGCCCAGGCCTTCTCGGAGCTGCTCAGCAACCTGGACCCCCAGAAAATAAAGGTGGGGTAGCCACCCCCTGCCGCGCTCGTCAGTGCCCATGTGGAGGGGAGCCAGGGCTTTGGAACTTCACTGTGACCAGTACCCCTTGGGCCTTGCCCCGATGGCCCGAACCTCCGGGCTGTCTCGAGGGACACCTACACGATGCGGCCACACTCCCATCTGGCCTTTGTGCCCACAGTCATTGTGACCCAGGTTCCAATTCTCTCCTTGCTCTCCAGAACTGCTGGTGTTCTCTCTCTCTGGAGCAAGGATTTGGACTTATTTTAGTCCCATCCTTTCCTTCAGGAAGAAGTGTTAGCTCCGTAAATAAATGGCTTATGCAAGGTTGTGAGAGAGCAAATGTTTCCACCTGTCACCAGTAGCCACTTACATGCAAAACAGGACACCTTCAGTTCCTCTGATCTGTTAGGAACCGTGCCTTTAAGGAACTCGGAGGCAGTGAGTCTGTGCTTTCATTGAATACTTGACAGGCTATACCTTTTCTATCAATATTTTCATGTGAAAATATTTTCTAATGCTGTTTGGCCTTCATTTCAGTCATCATGATCAATGAGATTTTATTACACTTTTTCCGTCATAGCTAACGGGTTGGCATGATGCAAATTGGGCAGAATTATCTTCAGGTTTTTAACTGGAACATTTTTATTGACAGCAATTGAACCTGGCCATGATTAACTATGTCTTAGTGGTCTACGGATTTGCAATTTCTCTCCTTGGGATAGGACGGCCTCAGGTAAGCTTTGTAACAGAAATAATAAACATCTTAAATATGCCGTTGATTTTAGAAGATATGTAAATTAGCTTTCCTATTTTGGCTTATCTCCACCTACCTACTTACTTGATTTTTTTTTTTCTGAAATTCCTACATTTAATTTGTGTTGTGTTTTTGTGGGTTTTTTTTTTTTGAGAAAGAAAATTCAGTTTGTGTTTCCATTAGCAAAAGTTATGTCCTACAACCAGTGGGAACCTACTTTTTATTTGTATGAAAAGTAAAGGGCTTAACATATCAGGGTAGATTTCAGAAACATGTTGAAGGGAAAAGGCAAGTTGGTGAACACAACAAACGTGATTCCACTCATGTACTATTTGGAAAACATACCTCATAATAGTGTATATTATCTGTGGCTGTTTGTGTGCATCTAAGTGGAACCATCATCTTAAATTGGATGTAGGGCTGGTCCATGTTTTTTAATTTTTACATCAAATTTAAGATAATGGTTCCTTCCACTTAATGATGGAAGAAATGTGGGCCTGGGGAGGTTAGGAAAGGGAGTTTGGCCTTGTTTTATTTTTTAAAAAATTGAAGTGAAAATAATGATACCTCTTTGCTCTGAGTACCTGGATATTTTCTTATTTCCCAGACTGCAGTCTTCCATAACCACATAGCTATATTTTGCTTTCTGTGGTTTTGAGTTTTTGGTAAAGGTTGAAATGGCTCTAGAATTACCTTGTGTATAATATATTCGTGCCACCAACTTGGGCTCCAAGCTTCCTTGGCTGGATGAAGGCTCAAGGATGCTGAACAAGCATCAGGTCATTATTCCGCGTTCATCCTCCCAGTGGTCCACGGCGCCTGAGGTTCATTTTCCTTGTGGCTTGTTTCCTTGGTCTGGGTGTCTTTCATTAAGACCTATTTTTTAGATTGTTGGAGATGAAGTTCACGATCTCAATTCTTTTATTCATGGTAGAATAATAAATGTTATGTTTTGCTTATTGGAATTAAAGAGGTAGTTTATTATACTTACTCTGAAGCAGTGAGACTAATTAAAGGAAAAAAAGCGGGTATGATAGAACTTGAACCTTGAAAAGAATTTCATCATCTGGGGTGGCCCCGGAAGGAAGCAGGACCTTTGCTCCAGTACAGCCCTTGCTGGAAACGGTTTTGGAATGCGTTCTTTGGAGCCGGGCACAGGGCTGCTGGTGGGCTCCATGTTACAGTGGCATTTCCTTTCCCACCCACGATTGGGTTACAGCTGTGTTGTCTAGAGCTAAGTGTCTCTGGAGATTTTCAAAACAGAATTCACGGAAAGCACAGAGGTTTCCACAGTTGACAATATTTTAAAGAATATACTCTAAGCTCTGCAAAGCTGTTATTAAAGAGCTATTTTTAAGGTGGAGCATTTGTCTGTCTTATGCCACAAAAACACGGTGACATCATTGGAATGCCTGTGCACGTTAAGGCCACAGCACCAGGATGGACATGACAGTGTCTTGGTGTCCGAATCGGTCACTTTACCCTGAAGTCCCACCGGGTGCTGGGCCCCAGCTCCTGGGCCCTTGCGGTGTGTTGGTATGTGCTCATTTGCTGGGCGGTTTGATGTGTTCAGTGGCAGCTTCTCATCCTGGAGCTGGATCGCTTTGGTCGTGAGCATTCATAGGGTCAACATTTGTACAATTGCTAAGAAAATGAAATGCAGACGGTACAGTTTTTCCATAGAAATTTTGGGCAGATCGTTTTTAATGTCGCACACAAAACAATCAACCTTCAGATAAGAAAAAGGCTTGCAGCATTTCTTTTCCTGCGTCAGTGACCATTGTGTTCTTACTGTCCATTAAAGGAATTATCTGAAGCTGAGGGCCAATTTAAGAGGATGATTGAATTCTACCCCAACGAGGGCCTTGATTGCTTGGCCTACTGTGGAATTGGAAAAGTATACCTGAAAAAAAACAGGTTTGTAGAAGCCATTCTAGTTTATGTTCCAGGCTGGTAATTTATTCAAAGTGTAATGTGGGATGAGCCCTTTTCTGGAATTATCTTAATATCTGTGATACGCTATAACAATTATGTTTACTTTGAGGACTGGCATTTAATAATAGTAAAGTAAGGGGAATCATATCACTTCCTAATGCTTCCTAATTTTGAATCCAATAAGAAATTCAGCTCTGGCTGGTGTAGCTCAGTATATTGAGCGCCAGCCTACGAACACCAGCCTGTGAACCAAAGGTTCGCTGGTTCAGTTCCCAGTAGGGGTGCATGCTTGGGTTTTAGGTCAGGTCCCCAGTAGGGGGCATGCGAGAGGCAACCACACATTTATGTTTCTCTTCCTCTCTTTCTCCCTCCCTTCTCCTCTCTCTCTAAAAAAAAAATAAATGAATCTTTTTTAAAAAATTTTATTTAGTTATTTTTCAAGTACAGTTTTTTGTGTCTATTTTTCCCATCCCAGCCTCCCCCGCCCCTTGCTCCCCACCTCCCTCCCATTTCCACCCCCCTTAGTTCTCGTTAAATGAATCTTTTTTAAAAAATTCAGTAAGAGACCAATTTGACACAAAGGCCTTTATATTTTATCTTTTGGTGTGTGTCATTTTAATTGGTGACTGAATTGTTGTAAATTAATGCTTTACAAGTCTGATTGTTTAATTCTTGGTTAAATATCTATTTGCTCAAAAAGCTTATATGAAGATTGTCCTAATACAAGGTACATATATGTTCAAAGACATCATGAGTTAGGAATAGAAATCTCTTCTCTGAATTTATATTACAGCTGGAATCCTTACTTAAGGTTTAGTATGTAGCTGTTGCTCAAGTTTTCCATGTCTCATCTCCCAAAATTGCTATGAACCTCAGAGGACAGGATTGCTCCTTGAGCTTTAAAAAATATCTCCCTGGGAGAAATAGACAAAAAAACTGTACTTGAAAAATAACTAAATTTTTAAAAAAAAGGACAGCTGAAATAATAATGAAATAAAAAAAATATCTCCCTGGTCCTGCCGCTTGTACCTAGTATGATGTAGGTATGTTAGATTACTTTGTAAAGAAGCGTTGAATGATCGAATGTCATGTATGACTGTTAGCTATCTTCAGTTATGTTCATCTGACTTTTTAGGGGAAATTTTATCAAACCATTGGTATTCTTGGGAATCCAGTCTTAGAGTGTGCCTAGAACCTCCTGTATAGATTTTTAAAGATTAAGGAAAGTTGTATTTCCTGAAGTTACTGTCTCGACAGGCTAAACCGTATTGAGAGTCAGGTAGAGACAGGAGAAGTGAGGGTTTAGTGATCCGTGTTGCGATAGCCAATGGAGTTGATTTCCAAGTTTAGTGTGAACAGTCTAGGGTAGACCTATTTAATGCTGTGGTCATGTGCAGTATTCTTAAGGTATAGAAAAATAGCACAGATGTGTGAAATCACTGGGATTGTAGTAAACAAAAAATTCTGCATGTCGAAGGAATTTAGACTTTCATTTCAAAATCAGATAATGGGGTTCGATGCCTCATGTGCAGGTGGTGGTTTTCAGTCCTGCTGTTCGTGACCGTCCTGCTGACGGAGCGCTGTAGGCAAACTTAAGTTCTTTAACTGGGAATCGTTTTCAGGTTGGAAAAAGAAGGAAAAATTCTATTCCTTCTCTAGTCTGAAGAGAAGAGTAAAGATTGGTTAACTTTGTAATACAATATTTTAGTGTCTTTTGTTGAATGGACTACGAGAATCCAGGGACATGCTTTTAAAACCGTGAGTCAGATTAGATTAAAACACTCCATATTTCTAGTTAAAAATTCACATACGCATTTGTTCAGCAAAATGATTCACTGCTTTATGGTTGAAGAAAGATGTCCAGAATACACTCTATTTAAAACATTTTTCAGCAGGAGATTTTTTACTTTAGATGTCCTAATAGAGTCAAGTTTAAAACAACGAAAACCTTTCCCCACGTGTGGTTAAATGAGTAGAGGAGAGTTGCCATTTCTCCACGAGAGTCTACTTTCATTTGTTTACTAGACAGGACATAAAAATGGAACAAGCAGGTTGTTTAATTTTTTGTTTTAGTTGTTGGAAACTTCAGGAAAGTTACAGCTTCAGAGGACTAGTGTGCCTCCCACGGTGAAGCCAGTCTCCAGGCAGATTGGTGTTTGATTTAATGAGCCGGTAACACTAAAGAAAATGCAGGTTACATTGACCGTTTTATGCAGTGATTTATCAGATGTGCTCTTACTAGTTAGCGTGAAATCTCTGACTTTCGTTGCGGGGAATGAAAACTCACGTAACATCTTTTAATACCTTTTTCCTTCATAATTATGACTAGGTTTGGTGAAGCTCTTAATCACTTTGAACAGGCAAAAGCCTTGATTTACAGACTTCCTGGAGTGTTGACTTGGCCCACAAGTAATGTGGTCATTGAAGAGAGTCAGCCAGGGAAAATAAAGGTAACTATTTCTGCAGAACGCTTCTTACTAACTGTTGACACGTCTGCCCTCGCTGACCCGGGTATCAGATGATAAAGAGGTCAGAGCCCTCTGTCCTCAGCCCCCCACTGGCATGTGCCTTTTAAAGACTGGTAAGACTCACTGGCCATTACTAAATGGTTTCTGTGTGCTGGTCACACATCCGCCATATTTTATTACCTTTAATCCTACAGCAGTCGGACCAGGTGAGGACTGTGATTATTCCCATCTTACAGAGGAGGCAGGTTAGTTTAGAGGCTAAACAAACTGAAGGTTAACCAGGCAGGAAGCAGTGGAGCTGGCCCAAGTCTAGGCATTCTGACCCCAGCGTGCATTATTTATTAAGCAGAATGGTCTGCTGTCCTTAGAGAAAGGTATAACATCGTTCTTGCGCTATGTTTGCTCTACATATTGAGATGGTCCTTGGAGACTCAGAATTCTAATATTAGTCTTATATCCAGAAGCTTAGGATGCTTTGCTAGTTATCGAGAAACTTATTGTGTGTGAGTTGACTAGGACAGACCTTTAGTTGTGAACCCTGGCGTGGACGAAGAACTTGCTTTTGACCAGGGCTTTTAAAAGCACAGAGGTCAGCTCTTACAACTCAACAATAAGACAACTAATCTAATTAAACAGTAGCCACAAGATGTGATCTTTCAAGAAGTTATAGGAATAGCCCTGGCTGGTGTGGCTCAGCAGTATGAATGCCAGCCTGTGAACTGAAGGGTTGTTGGTTTGATTCCTGGTTGGCGCACATGCCTGGGCTGAGGGCCAGGTCCCCGGTAGAGGGCATCTGATAGGCATCTGATCAGTGTTTCTCTCACACCATCAATGCTTCTCTCCCTCTCTATTCCTCCCTTGCCCTCTCTCTAGAAATGAGTAAATAAAACCTGAGTTATCATGTGACCCAGAAATTCCTCTCCTACATATATACAAGAGAAAAGACACAATCTCAGAAAACCATCTACATAAATGTTTGTAACAACATTGTTCACAATAATCAAAAAGTGCCCGTCAGCCCTGAGTGGTGTGGCTCAGCGACTTGGGCGACCACCTGCAAGGTGAAAGGTCACCAGTTTGATTCCTGGTCAGGGCACATGCCTAGTTTGCTGGCCAAGTCCCCAGCTGGGGGCATGCGAGAGGCAACTGATAGATGTTTCTCTCCCTCTTTTTCATTCTCCTTTCCCATCTCTCTAAAAATAAATAAATAAAATCTTTTTTAAACTGTCCATCAACTGATGAATGATAAAATGTAGTCTGTTATACAAGTGAATATTACTCAGCCGCAGCAAGGAATTGCAGTACTGATCTGTGCTGCAACACGAACGCACCTTGAAAACATTACGTTAAGCGAAAGAGGCCAGAGACAAGAGGCCACATAGTCTGCGATTCCCTTCATATGAAACTTCCAGAATAGGCACATCTGAGCCTGCAGCTCATCGGCTGCATGTGGCCCCATATGGCTGTGAATGCCGCCCAACGTAAAATTGTAAATTCAGGGACTTCCGCCAAGACAGAGGCGTAGGTGGAAACACTGTGCCTCCTCGCACAACCAAGTTTAAAAACAACAACGTTTTAGCAACAAAAACGCAGCCAAACCACAGACAATTGAACTATACAGAAGTCCGACAAGGAACCGTTCAGCCAGACCGGTAAGAGGGGCAGAGCCAACAGTGGAGCAGGGAAGATCCCCCAACCCAGGTGCGCAGGCAGCTGTGGGCGGATCCCAGGTGTGGGGTGGCAACAGGCGGACCCAGTGAGGGTGCAAGGCGGTGGGCTGACAGAGGTCACACATTCGCGCGCAGATAAACAAGTGAAGGAGTGAGCAGTGAGACAGACCTTGCAGGCCCCAGCTGCGGAAGGCAGCAGAGGGGACCGCTATTGTCCCACTTTGGCCCTGCCCCCACATACAGCGTCACAACCCAGCGACTTGGGTGACCCCTTTCTGACCCCGCCCCCACATACAGCGTCACAAACCAGGGACCTGGCTGGCCCCGCCCTGATGAACTTCTAAGGCTCTGCTTCTCATACGTAACAGGCGAGAATAGAACAAAACATGACTCAAGAACTCAAAGCCCTGGAGCTGATTAACCCTAAGCGACAGAGAAACAGCCAAACTATCTGATGCACAGTTCAAAACACTGGTGATCAGGATGCTACAGAATTGGTTGATTTTAGTCACAAATTAGAGGAACATATGAAGGCTAAACTAATTGAAATGAAGGGAAATGCACGGGAAACCAATAGTGATGGGAAGGAAACTGGGACTCAGAATAGGCACATCTGCTTAGAGACAGAAAAGGTTAGTGGTTGTGAGGAGCTAGGGGTTGGGGAAATGGCGAGGGGCTGCTGATGGTCTGAGGATTCTTGTTCGGTGATGAAAACGTAAACCTGGATTGTGGTGATGGTCGTCAATGCTGCGAACACTGAATCGCGCAGTATGCGGATGACGCCTCACCTGAAGCCGGCGCTACCAGGAGTGAAACACAAAACACAAGGGTTGCCGGGTCTTCCTCTCTTTAGACCAGGCTGGGAGGGAGGCATGGGGCTATTTATGACACAAGCCAGCTCCAGGAGCGTGGCGTGAGTCTCACAGAGGCACCTGGGGCAGTGGGCTAGTTCTGCAGGGGACAGCTCAGGTGGCCGGGGTCGGGGAGGCAGGCGGCTGAGAGCAGTGGACCCTGGGCGAGGTGCCGCTGGGATGGAGGAGAAGAGTGGAGTCCAAGGGTTTATGCTACCTATTTGCCTCCCTCTGAAGGCTGTGAGGAGGTTTCTGAGAGATGTTGTGAGATGGGGTTTGATGGTTTCAGTGGGGTGAAATTTTGATTCTGACTTTGAAATTCTGAAAAAAATTTTTAGTCCTTGCCCACCCCCCCTCATTATTCTCTCTCGACATGTTTGCATGAGCCTCCTTCTACAAGGAGAAAGTTAAAAGTGGTGTGTAGTTTTTTCCTGGCTAAAAAAACATTGCCATTCCTATGCAGAAAATATTTCTGTGGCAAGTGATTATTGAAATCTCAAGCATTTTGATTGACGAATTGGTGTTGTAGCAGGGTTTTTGTGTTTATTCGTGTTCTAGACGCTGTTAGAGAAATTCATCGAAGAATGCAGGTTCCCCCCAGTGCCAGATGCCGTTTGTTCCTATCAGAATTGCTGCGGGGCCTCCAAGGTCCAGATCTACATAACAGACCCAGACTTCAAGGTAAATAACGAGTGTACAGTAGGAAGTTAATGAGGCACAGTTGTGCCTTAAAGTGGATTTGGCGCAAGTCCTGTCCTTGGAGGCACCCACGTCCCCTGGCTTGCTAGCAGTCTGATGTCCCGTCGTCCATCCCCTCGGCTGGCCTTCTGCAGGTCTGCGTCATCTCACGTGGGAGCCCAGAGCTGCTGAACCCACTCTGGGGGCCTGGTGTGACCGGAGAAGGCAGGCTGCCTAACGGCGTCGTAAACTGCCTGCTCCCCGGAGCACTGGGAGTAAAATGAGGCGGTCACCTCTGATTTGCCGAAATTCTGATTTCTTGTAAAATTTGACTCTAAGAATCTAAAGGCCACTGTGATCTCTCGGAAACTAAGTTTGAGACCAAGTCTGGCACTTAATTGTGTAAATAAGTTACTGGTCCTTAGTTTATTATGAAGATAATTGCTGCCCACCCTGGCTGGTGTGGCTCAGTGGATTGAGTGCTAGCCTGTGAACCGAAGGGTCACTGGTTCAATTCCCAGTCAGGGCACATGCCTGGGTTGTGGGCCAGGTCCCCAGTTGGAGGTGTGTGAGAGGCAACCAATCAATGTTTCCCTCCCCCTCTCTGAAAATAAATAAATAAAATCTTTAACCGAAAGAAGAAGATAATAGCTGCCCATTTTGGCACTGGCTCTGGTTCAAGCAGATAAAATAATGTTTATAAAATATTTTATACACGGTAGAGGATAATGCAGCTGTAAACTTAAAATGAATCTGTCAATCAAACCCTGTATATCTGACACCAGGCATTGGGATATCGAAGTATTGGACTCCCCGAAAGGAAAGGTGATGTCTAGTTATGTCTGCTGGATGAATGGAAATAGCTTGCTCTTTATCTCAGTGTGCATGTGAATGAATCAGAGTCTGTGTATGTGTCAGAGAGAGAAAGAGAGAGAGGATTAATTAAATGTGAATTTGAAAATGTTTAAACCCCCAGGGTTTTATAAGAATCAGCTGTTGCCAGTACTGCAAAATAGAATTTCACATAAACTGTTGGAAGAAGTTAAAAACGACCACCTACAATGATAAAATTGACAAGGTAAGGCTAATAAGATTATCTGGATTTTCTCTCATGCTTGTTGTGTGTTGATATTCCACCCCCACTGAGAATCGTAGGAGAATGTCCTGAGTGTAAATTCCTTCCTGTACATACTGGGCATAATCAGAAAGTTTTAAATGAAAACTTGAATGATAAAGTGGAAAATCAGCTTTTACTTTTATTTAGTACAACTCCGAAGGCAATAGCCATAAAGATCTGCAATAAATTGCTTAATCAACTTTTACATTGGGAATGTTAGGATCAAAAAATCAAAATTTTTATGTCCAATTTTAAAAGACAGGTCTTAAATTATGCAATGACAGTTTTAGCTCTTCAGGTATCTTTCATGTAAGTACTTTAAAGTTATGATGTACGATTGGGCTCTCAAATTTTTTGTTTTCTACCAAAACTTAATGAGATAATTTTTACTAAAGAATCACCTTAAATTTTATACTTTCACTTCTTATTGTGGTTTCCCTCTAATTAGCAAAAGAATGATGTTAACTGAGAAGGCACAGTTTTAAAATCTTATTTGTATTCATAGAATTTGTTTGTGACTTATATAAGCTAGGGACTTAGGAAAAAAAGAAAACCTTTTGCTATATTGTACAGCCTCATGTAAACCCCTGTCAGTACTGGGGAAAAAATAAGGTACTTATGTCTGTTAGCAATGGGAATTACTCAAGTTTGATAGAGAGACTGTCTTACACTTTATACATTTTCACATAAGGTAATTTGCCATTGAGTCACTTCTGCTATGTCTCTGTCTTGTCTTAACTGAGTTTCTCTAACTATACGCGTTCCCTTAGTGGTCTTAACCACATGTGTGAGTTGACATACTCCCTCTGTATGCCATCTCAGGAGGATACACTGAATAACAGACAACCCAACTGTCTCATGACACACGACATCATATGTGTGTGACTTGTCCCGAGGCTCTGCAGCTGCTGGCCAGGGCTGGGGTGCAGCAGCTCCAGTCGCTGGTCGTGTTCTTTCTGCCTGAGTCGAGGGTGCCCGGGAGGCATTCCCTTGGCAGAGGGTGAAGGTCAATGGCGAGTCCATTCAGTGTTTCCTCAAGCTTTTGCTGGGACATGGCGCTTGTCATGTCAGTGCTCCTTGTGTTGATGAAAGCAAGTCACGTGGTCGACCTGATAGCCGGTGTTCCTCCTACTGGGAGTCTCTGAAAGTCACATGGCAGTGAGCAGGGACTTTCGCTGCCTCCCTGAAGGACGTTTTCGACCATATTTTAACTGTTCGTTAAAATGGTATACATGTACAGATTTGTTCTGATCTATAGCACTTTTTTTTTTAATCAAATAGGATTTTCTGCAAGGAATTTGTCTTACCCCTGACTGTAAAGGCATCATTTCTAAGATTATCATCTTCAGCAGTCGGGGTCAAGTTAAATGTGAAGTAAGTATCTCTTAAAGGAAAACCGCATTAAATGGATAACCAGAATGCTTGCACCTGTTAAAGCACGGTTTAAACGTCTGAAAGCTGTACAGTTTGGACCTTCTCTTTTCTAGAAACAGTTACTTAATTTCAGAAAATACAGGAACGGTTAGGGTGTGAGGATGCTTCCTTGCAGTGAGGGAGTCTCCCATTCTTTCATTTCCCAACAGGAAAATGAGGCTTTTTCATGTTAGTTTTACTGTTGTTACTCTTTTTTTTAATCTGGTTCTCTGAAGCCCAGGTTAACTTTTGGGAGTTTGGGGAGTGGGGGTCCTTCAGGAGGGGAAGAGTGTCTCGAGGGATTACCTTTAACCGGTCTTCATGGAGGTGATGGGAGTTGATTGTTAGGATATTTGTAGTTTATTTGATGTCAGTTTACTTTTTGTAAAAAAAAAAAAAAATTCTTGCTAACGTGTGTCTCCTTTCTTTTCAGCAAATTGTTTTGCTGAAGTTTTCTGGGTTTGTGTGTGGGTCAGAACATCCTCACTGTTCTCTGTCAAATTGAACATTGATGATGTGCTTCTGCAATACTTGTTACGTGTGGTTTTGTGCTTTATGTCTTAGAAATATGAGACAAATTTTGGATGTCTTTGTTTTATTTAAAGTTTGAATACAAGGTCGTAAAAGAAAAGGCTCCTCCAAGACCTGTTCTGAAACAGAAATGTTCTAGGTAAGATTTTTAACTACATCAGTAGCTTGATAATATAGTTCACAATAATTCTATTAAACACAGATTTCTAAATTATGCTATTTTTTTAAATTGGCTGTGTACACGTGTCCAAGTAAATGGTTTCAAAATGATTTTTATAGATGTTTAAAACTTAAAGAGAAATAGCCTGGAATGATTAAATACTGAAAACTTGGATCAGAAATTTTATTTAGTGATTGAATTTGTAAGAAAAATTATGGCATTTACTGCTGTGAAATGACATTTGATTAGTAGATTTGTCAGTTACATAAAAATCGTATGCATAACTGTCAGTTGTTTAAACTCTTAATTCCAAAAGCCTATTTTTTTCTCTTTCTTCAGCAAACATTTTGAACCAGTTACTTATTTCTCACACTGAAATACTCAGTGTACTGCCAAAATTATTCCCTTCGTTGTGTCTTCTTGTTCACATCAGATAATTACAGTCCACTTTGCTTTTATTTGTGGTCCTGCCTCTTGTTTTCCATTCTAATAAGTGATTCATTGGCGACCAAGAAAAAGCAAAAGAAACGATGAAAAGGGTTGTTTGTTGAAGAGCATTCGTGGTAACCATATCAACCAGAGTCCAGTGTCGTGGGCCATTATTAGGATGTGAAAATAATACTGTACTGTAGGGTCTTTCTTTGAAATGAATGCTTATGTGTATTACCCTGCAGAGTAATTTTTATTACTGCTATTTACCCTAAGCAGGAACTTAAAAACATGGAAATAATATTTGTGCAATCTATATACGCCATCCTTAATTAAACATCACTTCCTGTTTCCATGAAATGTACCATTAGATTGACTGAATTGAGCACGTCAGCAGCTTTTGATATTAAACAGAACACGCAGGCTAAGTTCTAATTAAAAAGGAAAACTTCAACTTCCCGGTTAGAAATGGTTTGTATAGTAGGCAAAGGAAAATAGTTCATTGAGTTTATAACAAAGGTGAATTATCATTAATTGTACATGTTTATCAGCCTAGAGAAGCAAAAACTGAAAGAAGACAAAAAAGTGAAGAGGAAGCTCCAGAAACAGGAAGCAAAAAAATTAGCACAGGAAAGATTGGAAGAAGACTTAAGGGAAAGCAACGCACCCAAACCTGAAGAGCAGAAAGGTACGCAGGGGTCCAAGGCTGATGAAAAGAGTGTGTTGTCGCTTAAACTGTGAATACAAATACTCATCTTCCTGAGCCTTATGTTGCCACTGAGTTGAAATTTAGATTTCAGTGAATATTTTAATACTGTTGCGGGCTGGGGTGGTGTAGATGGCACTGATTTTGGAAGCAGTACACGGGGATTCAAAACACTGCCCGGCCACCAGCCTGGGGCAGACTTGGGGGTTCCTCATCCCTGATCTGAAGGCAGAAATGACGTCCAGCACGAGTCTCGTGTGTTTGACAGTGGTCTGTAGACTTCGCTCTGTGATTTAAGTTCTGAAACAGTGCACTGGAATAATTAATGCTGGGATAATGCTGACTTTAAGTGAAGAAGCTGTTCGTGGGAGGTGCCGTAGAGATCGCTAGTTAAACTTCTGTTGCCCGTTCTGTGGTCAGTGTGGGGCCCATCCCTGGTGATGGCAGTTTCTGTGGGCTTGCTGCGCCGCGTGCTCACTTCCAGACGGGCCGGAGCAACTTACTTTCTACAACAGTGACTCTCTTTAAAGTGAAGTTTTTCCTCTTGCTGTCTTTTATTTTTCATCTCATATTCCATTAATGTTCTACAAGTCAATGAAAATGATCTTTACTGCTGAAGTTTTCAGTGAATGTTGGTGTTTTAGCTTTGGGTGCTTCAAGAGGCTAAATGTACATCCGTTAGGGAGATGAGCGGGTGGGGAAGATGGATTCCTGAGATGTTTTCCAGCTTGTCACCAGTGAGTTCGCAGGTCTGCAATTTAAGATCCAACAATTACATGAATAATGTAATGAGAACTACCAAATGTAAATTGAATCTATGACTGAATAAATCATCACTTCAACTAAAAAAAAAACCCTTTGCATTCTTAATGAGTAAACATGTTTATTGAATACAAATTCTGAATAGTTAATGAGCCTGGGTTAGGATGGTTGAGGGAAGTAACCTTATTTGAGAGGAACTAAAATTTCAGATGTAGGATGAGTGGTACAGAGTGAAAAAGAAAAGGTGCTTTTGATACATTTTACTTAATGTGAATTTTCATATTTTTTCAAAGGTGTTGGTAAATACAGCATGGGGCAAAAGCAGGTTTACAGTTGTAAGTATGTGCTGCAGAGCTTATGTTTCTATCATTCATTAATCACTGTACTTTCCGTATGAACGACTGTCGACTAACTTTTGCCCCACTCTGTATTTATCATCCTAATTCAACATTTCTTGAGTTGTTTATTTCCAACACCATGAAGAATCCAAGTCATGTCTATGTTAGGTTACGTCGCAGCGTTTCTTTCTGAGTGTCCGCCTGTGCCGGTTGGCCCTCCTGCTCGCTGGCACTGACCGCTGTTGCTCGTCCTTAGAATCTGCAGCCCGGGCGCGGCAGTGCGAGCTGCTGGACGACAGGATTCTGCAGTGCATCAAGCTGTCTGCCGACAAGATCCAGGCCGGCGTGCAGGACGCCTCCAAGCTGCTCAAGGAGCTGCTGTCCTGGAAGGTCCTCAGCACGGAAGACTACACCACCTGTTTCTCCAGCCGGAATTTTCTGAATGAAGCGGTGGACTATGTCATTCGTCACTTGATTCGACAAAAGAACAGAGTCAAAACAAGGATATTTCTGCACGTTTTGAGCAAGCTCAGTGACATGGAGCCAAAACTGGCCACCTGGATCCAGAAACTTAATAGCTTTGGTATGTCATTCACTCTAGAGATGCAGTTCAGTAGGAAGGGCAGATGTGAGGCCTCTGAGTCCTGTGTTATTTTCCTGTTGTCATTTGTGGTTTTTTAAAATGTAGGACTGCCACTTGGTGTGGTTAAAATTACTGTTTCCCCAACTCACCATTTTTACATTATTTTATAGAGGGGTTACAGTATACATTTTTTAAAGTTACACACACAGCGCAGTTCAGTTAGTTACAGAATCCAGTCCTGTGCTATGCTAAAGTATTTGTAAGTGTGTAAACTAGACATACAAGGCCCAGCCAGAAGTGCAGGGCACCCTCAGGAGCCATGTGTCCGGGCCCTCTGGGACTGTGTGGTTCTGCAGCCTGAGTCCTTACTGAGAAATTGACAGGGAAGTGTGGATGGAACTGATTGTTTAGGATTGCATCACCTGAGGCAGATCTGTACAGGAGTAATCCATATGTAACGATTAGGAGAAAAACACTCGGGTTGTAAACCACAGGGTTGTAAAACTGTTACTCTGTCCTGATTTTGCTAATTTGGTTGAGGAAGACCCCCCCCCCCCCGGCCCATGCAGGGTCTTTGCCCAAGGTCCTCAGGCAGGCTGGTTGTCTAGCACGGGAAGGTGACTTATTGGCACTCACCTGGGCCCTGTTTATTTGCGTGACTGATGGCAGCTGGCCTGCACAGTAGATGGTTCAGTTGGCAGCTGTCAGGTAAAAGGGCCGCGGCAGAGCAGGACCTTGCAGTGACCTGTGGTCCAGAGTCAGCCTGCCAGGCCTCCACGAGCCACCGACCTGCCAGAATTCTTAGAGACTTGGGCTGGTGGGGCTCTAGGGGGCAGAAGAGACGTGGCAAATTTCTGGGTTGAAACATTGAAGAGGGCAGCAAGCGTGGCACTGGGTTCTGTGGGTTTCTGCTCCCAGAAAATTACCCTGAAGTGACAGTTGACCTTGGCATCTATTAACAACCCAGCACGTCAGTTATAAAATTACTTCCTACTTTCACCTGCTCTGTAAGCCAGACCAGAAAAGTAGGCTGCCCTGGTTGTGCTAACCTGGGCAGGAGTGCCCGCCACTGCCCATTGAGGTAGGCAGCAGCCTTTGAACTTACAGCTCGCAAACAGGAGAACGGGGATGTGTGCTTTGGATACAGTTCACATTTATTCTGAAGAGTAAAGGTTTCATTTCCATGAGTATACGCATACTATTTAAAGTCGCAGCTTCTATTCAAAGCTGTAAAATGATTCAAGCAAGGTAATTATTCAGGCTGTGCTATAGCCCTGATGTAAAAGCTCACATTTATTAAAAGCCAGTGATTTTCACTTTCTGGAATTTTACTTTCTTCCCCCAGAAAGTTGGTCACATCGTATGCATGTTTAACACGAGAGGTCCATTTATATGCAGGTGGGGGGAGGGACAAGGAGGTGGAGAGGGAGGAAGGGAACGTTTCAGTGCTGGGTGTGTTCTGCTTCCGCTCCCTGAGCAGGCGCTCTGATGTGAGCCTCGGATGGGGCATGGGCGTGCAGTATTTCTTCAAAGGCGGTTCCCTCAAACCTGGTGCTGTATAAGTATTTTATGTGGTCCTTGATTCTGGGGTTCGACAACCACAATTTTTCATGCAACGTGAAAGAGCCTGCCGGCTCTTTCCTCTGGCAGAAGCAGCTATGCAGGGTGACTGGGACTCAGTGGTTGGCCTCATTGGCTGGCAGAGAACCTATGGCCCCTGTAAGAGGTGACTGTGCCGTAGACGAGGCTTGTGGGAGGGGGGCAGAGCTAACCTTTGCCTCTGTCTCTGTGGCTGAGTTACTGAGTAGCCAGGGTTCGCCATACTTCCCTTGGCAGAGTATGGGGTTGCAGCCACCCTTTTTCTGGTTTGAAAAGGAGGAATAAACCAGGAATGGTGAATGCCTTGGCTTTGTTGGGGGCCATGATAGTTCGGGGAATATGGAGCAGTTCTTGGAGATGTTGAGGAGGGAGTTTATCCATTTCCTGTTTTAAAGGCATTTGGGAAGCTTTTCCATATTACTGATGTGTTGTTACTGTGGAGTGTATGTGGGAAAGCATTGCAAAATCTTGCTAGTTTGTACTAATTGGAATGAAAGTCATTATGAATTAGTGAAAAGTTACTGCATTATTTTTAAAGGAATTCAATGCCTTTCTTTTCGTGAGTCTAATAAAAATAATGAATAATAGAAGCCTTCAGCCCACCTTGCTCAACTAACAGATGACACTATAATTGGCATGTCTGTTGAATGGTGCTTCTGAAATGCGTAGTAGCTTACACTACTTTGTTCTCAAGTGTTTGCATGTTTTCTCTGCACTGTAAGCAAATCATAATGGAACCATTTCCAAAGATGGGGTGAAGGTGCTGTCACAGTCCACGATTTTCCCTCCTGACTCGGGCTTTGTTTTTATTACAGGCTTAGATGCGGCAGGGTCTTTTTTCTCTCGTCATGGAGCGGCTCTTAAGGACCTCGACTTCAGCATCATGACTTTCCTCTGGAATGAGAAATACGGCCACAAGCTGAAATCGATCGAAGGAAAGAAGCTCGAGTATTTCTGCGAGCCGGGGTCATCGGAGGACGCCCGGTTCCTGATCTGGCTGCTGGAGGAGCACAGAGACAAGTTCCCGGCTCTGCACCCGGCTCTAGACGAGTTCTTCGACATCATGGGTATGTGGGCCGGGTTTGCATTCAACCGAGTCTTTGGGGAGGGGGGTGGGGAATCTGTGGAGGACCTAATTTATTTAAATACATCTAAGAAATAGTGAAAATTGTTCTGGCAAAACCGGCTTATTTGGGGAGGCCAGCTATTAAGAATAGTAATTTTTCCTCATGTCATAAAATGTTTTTACTCTGCTGAACAGAGTGGCGTGGAGATGCTCAGAGGGGCACCTTACACGGTGCTCTTCTCACTTAGGTATTTTGACAGTATCATGGCGAAGATCGCACATCCATTTGACAGCATTTAGTAAGAAGTGGTTTACTTTGCGTCAGGAAAATGCTGGCTCACAAGAGTAGGTGTGCAGAATCTAGAACAGACAGCATATCAGCTGTGGGGGGCGGAGCCTAGAACCATAGGCCAGGAAAAGGGGACTCTGGCTCAGCTTCTTCCCCAGTTCATGTTATTAAAAAGCTTGGCTTTACTGCCGCTTCAAGGCCCTGCTAGGTGTTAAGAAGGAATTCAGAAATGCTCACACTGCTCCCTGCCCTCGAGGGTCTTACGCTTCACAGAAGGGAGTGAGAGGAATACACACGCTGTGTGGGAGTGAGGTCAGCGAGAGAGGCAATGAAGTGGGCTCAGATGAGACTGAGCATGTGCGTTCTCCCGGAAGAGGAAAGCCTGATGTGGGGTGGGGTCCCAGGCGGAATGGGACAGGGCGACCTCCAGCCTCAGGGGAGGGCGGGGGCAGTCCGGGCACCTGTTCATAGGGGCGTGGGCTTGGAGTCCGGTTTGGCAGGATAGGACAGCTAGGAGTTAATTTCTTAGCTGCTCTTGATTCTTCATTTCTTCATCTGTGTGGTCCTCTTTTGCTTCAAAATTCTAACACTTTAGATTCTAAATTAATTTGAATTTCTTATTTTTTCGACTACACATATGTCTTATGATGAGGCCCCTCCCCTTTCCCCAGCATCAGAAGTCTACTTTATTGTTAGGCGTTTGAATTTTAAATTCCGCACTCTTCATTTTAAAGTGTGCATTCGAAGGTCTGGCCCCATACAGAAGTTTCAAGTTCCCACGCAGTCAGTATAATGAGCCCTGAAGCTTACTTAGGCTGTGGTTCTTAAGGAGCACACTCAGATGCAGACGGCGTTACTCTCCAGGACACAGCCTCAGGCCTGGGTACTGCCTGGCTGCCTGGTTCACTGCCATCACTTTGCTGCTGCTGCTACTGACATGCTGCCCTGGGGCCGACCTTCCGAATCCGAGGCCTGTTTGGGTCACACAGTGAGACAACTAAACAGCACACAGTCGTGCCCTCTCTGCGCTTTCCCTGGTTTTTGCAGTCCGTGCCTAACACGCGCAGTCCATCTGGCCGTGCCTGTTCCTCCGCTCTCGCTCATACCGTCAGGAGCCCGGGCCAGCTGACCGGCCGACAGGTTTCGAAGTCCCTTGGCTCTGCCTTGCACCTTTGCCTCAGACATTTCCAGTTTTATCTCCTTCCATGAGAAGTGGTTATATTTCTCAAAAGTTAATCAGCCCACTGATCTTGTAAAAAAGGATGTTCAGTAATGTCACCAGCGCGGCGAGGCCCAGCCTCCCTCCTGTGCTCTGGTCGCGTGTTTCCCTGGTGGAATCTCTGTGTAGAAAGGCAAGTGGCCTTCGAAGGGCAGTGTGACTGAACCCATGTATATCCCGCTTCCGTCCTGAATTTATCTCATTTAATAACGTTGTGGTACATCTCGTCTGCAGACAGGGAGCTTCCTTTTTCCTGTCACCCCATGTCCAGTTTGTCGTCAGTCCAGCCATCTTCATCTGGTCCCCGTCCTTCCCTGTCCAGCCCCACCTCCGAGGCCAGGACCGTGACGATCCTTCTGTGTCTGGGTGAGGGCAGGAGCCTCCGCACTGGTCTCTGTGCCTCTAGACCCTCCCTCTCCAGATCGTCCTCTTGTATTGCCTCTCGTGACTCTTGAGGCCCATCTGTCGGATCCCATCCCTGCTCTGTTTGGGAAACACTTGCTTCGTTGTGTCTACAGTTAAACTCACATCACGTGTCTGGGTTCATCACGCTGCCTGTCTGCCCAGTTACCGTGCCCTGCCCTGTGCTTTCCCGCCTCCGGTCTCTGCCCATGCAGTTCCTCCCGCCACATTCCACCCCGTGGCTTGCTCATTTCGAGTCCCTTCCTCCCCAAAGTCCTTCCCGATCCCTCCTTGGGCCTCTCCCCTCCAAGACTTTATTATTCCCCCCGCTCCGTCCCCATTATATATTTCGTGGCAATTAGCACACTGGGCGACAGGAGTTTGTCTTTTTCTGAAACAGGTGTGTGGGCGGCAGGGACTGGTTTACGCATCTGTGTATTCCCAGCACCTGGCATGGAGTTTGACACCTGGACGGCACTCAGATTACACTGAAATGGATTGAAATTTCTCGTGCTTTGTAGTTGTTTTCCCATTTAGTTAGTCATTTCACTTGGTTTCTATACTAGATTTGTGTCAAAGCCAGAGAAGGTATAGAACAGAGTCGTGTTACTGGATCTGGGGTGGTTTTCTTTAAGGCTCTAGTGTATTATGTGGGCAACCTTAATGTTCCGTTTCCTCACGAAACCATCTCTGTCTTCCCACAGACAGCCGCTGCACCGTGTTAAGGAAACAAGACAGTAATGATTTGCCAGTAAGTTATTTGACCACTATAAATGTTACGTTCTAATCTGTACTAGCCGAAGGAAGAGAGGAGAGCCCGAGCAGCCTTTACATATGTCGGAGGTGGGACCAGATCTGGAGCCCTTCAGATAACAGGCACTGTTTCATTAGAAAGTTGATCTCCATCTTCCTCTCGGAACTGGAACCACAGTCAGCGAACTCTGAGGCTTACATTAGACAATGGCCTGAGGTGTTTCACAACTAAATCTTGAATTATCTCCTGGCATAAAAATGAAAAGTTACCGTCTGACCAGGTGGCTTGGTTGATTGGAGCATCGTCCTGCACACCAGAAGGCTGTGGGTTCAGCCCCTAGTCAGGGCACCTGTGGGAAGCAACTGATCAATCTCTCTCTCTCTCAAATCAATAAACACATCCCTGGATGAGGATTTTTTTAAAAAATGAAAAGTCAGCTACATGATGGAAATTTTAATGTTTTGTTCTTTGAGCGAAACAGACTTTGTTTTGAGTAGCTCCAAATTGAGTTTAACTTAAAATATTTCCAGAGTTGTGTTCCTTAAGGTTGTGGCAGATTTCAAACAAAATTGCTTGCTTAGTGGTTTTTAGGATCAGATTGTCTATACTTAAAATTTTGTCTTAATCTGGTCTATCAAATATGGCCCAGCTAAGGATGGAAACAGAGCTAACATGCCCCGTGAGAGGTTAAATGCTTCCTCTACATTCACTGTTTGTGCCCCAGTGTCTGGCCAGGTGCAGAAGGACTCGTTTGCCTTAGTAAAAGGAGAGTCATTCAAGTACCGTTGGCATATTACTGGAATTACTTTAAAAGTCTGATTAATTACTTGAAATGATATAAACCTTGTTGAAAATGAGTTCAAAATATTGGAACAAATGTAATTTAGTTGTAACATTAGACACCATTAAACTTTCTCATAATTTCAATTACAAATCATACCATTGGAGCTGACACACAGTTGTGGGTTTTTTTGTTAAAAATATTATGTAATTCAGCTTATGACAGTCTATGAAAATCAGTATGTTTATAATATAAGGTAGCTTCACAATCATGTATTTGAGTGTTCAGTGATTTTTCCCATTTTTTAGGTTCATACTACCAAGACAAAAAACAAAGGCAAGAAAAAGAAGCTCAAAGATTCAAAGGTGTGGAGTATTTTCTGTATTAATTCTTACCTAAAGTCATTGAATATGTAAATTAACCAGTTCTTGGGATATTTTGCAGCATTTTGTTGAGATGACTTTGTAGGCTTTAAAGATGTTTTGACCAGTCTACAGTTTGAGGAAGCTTAAGGTTCATGTTGTATATAAGTAACTCTTAGAAGAAATGTCTGGGTTTTTTTGTCTTTTCTGAATACTCCTGAGTAAGAACAACTGTCACATGTAGGACTTTGTAGGGCTGTCACAGAGTAGGTGCCCAAGGCAGTTTTTGAGTTTATATCATGGCTCGCTGCCAATTATTATTATTTTTTATTGCTGTTTTTATTACTTGTGTGACCTTTAGCAAGTTATTTGACTTCCCTGTGCCCTGGTGTTCTCATCTGTATAAGACATGCTTCCTGTTAGCAATAACTAGTAGAGCTGTTACCTGAATTTAAAAAATGGTGTGGCTCAGTGCATTGAGTGCCGGCCTATGAACCAAAGGGTCGCTGGTTTGATTCTTAGTCTAAGGCACATGCCTGGGTTGCAGACCAGGTCCCCAGTAGGGGGTGCCGGAGAGGCGATCACACATGGATGTTTCTCTCCCTCCTTTCTCCCTCCCTTCCCCTCTCTAAAAATAAATAAATAAAACCTTTTAGCAAATATTGAAAGTAAAAATGGTGAGTACTAATCATTATAACAGAACCTCAGAACTGACAGACCCCAAATGTAAGTCTACAGTGGGCTCCTCATGGCTGTCAGATAGGGGGACAAGGGTCCGAAAAGTGGATAAATAATCGGGGAGGGTGAGAGCACCCAATAACACTTTTCCGTCTTTGACTCTTTGTCTTCAGTTTAGCTAAGAAGGGAATTTAAATGCAGTGCCACTCAAATTTTTCTGGAGTGGTGGAAAGCCACTAAATGTTCATTCCAACCTATTTCTGACTCTTACTGTTATATGTTCCTACTCACAAGACAATTAGAGAAGTCTCACATATTGTCAGTTTGCATGAGTATTTATCTAAGCATTCATCAGTTTTAATGTCGTTTTTAAGGTAGAAAATTGTTGTCACGTTTCTGTCTTTTAAACCAGCCTCTGTTAGTTGGGTCTGGAACAAGTTCCGTAACATCTAATAATGAGACCGTCGCTTTGAGCGGAGACCTTAAGTAAGTGCACTTTTTAATTTATGCTTCATTTTTAACTCAAGCGTTTTAACTTAGTAAGTGATGTTGAACGTACTTTAAATGTGTGCTTTCCCTAACTTCTCTGTCTAAAGATATTGCGTCTATAATGACAACCTGGTATGGCTTGTCTTGGTTGAATTTATAGCAGGGGTTGTCAACATTAAGAATATAAACTGCATTAGAGTCACAGGGCTGGTGACATTCATTTGATAAGTTTGAGAACCTCTTATGTACAAGATACACTGGGGGCAGCCCTAGAAGATGCTCTTTAAAATCTTCACTGAAGAGAATGCTCCATGGATAATTACCAGCATATTTGCTGTAATCGGAGAGACAGAGCTGTTTTGAGAGCTACATATGATGTAGTAGTTTAACCTTAGATTCCTGGTGAGTTTTAATAGCATCTGGTTATTGAAGCTGAGTTTTTAAGAGACAAACAGATGTAAGAAGAAATAAAACTAGAGACTTCCGGCCAAGATGGAGGTGTAAGTGGAAACACTTGCCTCCTTGCACAACCAAGTTTAAAGACAACAAAGTTTTAGTAAAAAAAAAATGCAACCAAAACACAGAAAATTGAACCATACAGAAGTATGACAACAACGAACTGTTCAGCCAGACTGGTAAGAGGGGCGGAGCCAGTGACTGGCAGAGCTGGGTTGCGTAGGAAAACTTGGCCAGACCAGCCCAGGTGCACGGGCAGCGGTTGGCAGATCCCAGGCGTGGGGTTGCGATGGGCAGACCCAGTGAGGACTCAAGGTGGCAGGCTGACCACGGTCACATCACACATTTGCACGTAGATAAACCAGGTGAAGGAGTGAGCAGTGAGACTGACCTCACAGGCCCCAGCTGTGGTAAGCAGCAGAGGGGGCCGCCATTGCCCCTCTCTGACCCCGCCCCCACATACCTGGGTGGCCCCGCCCTGGTGAACACCTAGGGCTCTGCCCTTCATATGTGTAACAGGTGCGAACAGATCAAAACATTATGGCTCAAGAACTCAAAGCCCCAGAACCCATAACTCTAAGTGACCAAGAAATAGCCAACCTATCAGATGCACAGTTCAAAACACTGGTGATCAGGATGCTCACAGAACTGGTTGATTTTAGTCACAAATTAGAGGAACAAATGAAGGCTAAACTAATTGAAATGAAGGGAAATGCACAGGAAACCAATAGTGATGGAAAGGAAACTGGTACTCAAGTCAGGGGAGTGGACCAGAAGGAAGAAAAAAATGACCAAACAGAAAAGGATGAAGAAACAAGAATTCAAAAAAATGAAGAGAGGCTTAGGAACCTTCAGGACATCTTTAAATGTTCCAACATCTGAATTATAGGGGGTACCAGAAGGGGAAGAGGAAGAGCGACAAGTGGAAAACTTATTTGAACAAATAATAAAGGAGAACTTCCCCAATCTGGCAAAGGCAGTAGACTTCCAGGAAATCCAGGAAGCTCAGAGAGTCCCAAAGAAGTTGGACCCAAGAAGGAACACACCAAGGCACATCATAATTACATTAGCCAAGATTAAAATGAAGGAGAGAATCCTAGAAGCAGCAAGAGATAAGGGGACAGTCACCTACAAAGGAGTTCCCATCACACTGTTAGAGGATTTCTCAAAAGAGACCTTACAGGCAAGAAGGGGCTGGAAAGAAGTATTCCAAGGCATGAAATCCAAAGACCTACAACCAAGATTGCTCTGTCCAGCAAAGCTTTCATTTAGAATGGAAGGACAGATAAAGTGCTTCTCAGATAAGATCAAATTGAAGGAGTTCATCATCACCAAGCCCTTATTATATGAAATGTTAAAAGGACTTGTCTAAGAAAAAAAAGATAAAAAAGATGAACAGTGAAAGGACAGCAAACTCACAGTTATTAACAACCACACCTAAAACAAAAGCAAACTAAGAGGACAGCTAGATCAGGAGCAGAACCATAGAAATGAAGATCACATGGAGGGTTAGCAACAGGGGAGTGGGAGGAGGAGAAGGGGGGGAGAAGGTACAGAAAATAAGTAGCATAGACAGTAGATAGAAAATAGATAGGGGGGAGGGCAAGAATAGTATGGGAAATGTAGAATCTAAAGAACTTGAGACATGTGGTCATAAACTAAAGGGGGGTAATGGTGAGGGAGGGGGTGTACAGGGTGGGGGGGAATAGAACAACTGTAATGGCATAATAATAAAATATATTTAATTTTTTTTAAATTAAAATAAAACTAGTGAGTAGCAGTGAACTTTTCATATCATATTCTTTATGGGCAACCCCCCAAAAAAATTTTTGGGGTTTTTTTTCAACATTTCTTAAAGGAGTTGTGATAACAGTTGTTTTACACAGTCATTGTCATGGATTCTCTAAATGGAGAAATTGTAACACATACCAGGCAGTATTCTAAGAGCTTCACATACAGTGTTATTCTGGGTCATCTAAAGCTTATTATTTACCATATTTTTCCATCAGAAGCAGTACAGACCCTGCAGGCCCATTTGTCGTGCCCGAGCATCTTCGGCAGGACGTGGAAGAGTTTGAAGCCCTCTACGAGCAGCAGAACAGCGAATATGTTGTCCGTGACAAGCAGCTGTGGCCCATGAACCCGAAACAAAAGTCTTCCACTCTGTACGAGTAAGTAGGACATTCCTACAACTGTGATTTTATACCAAGGCTGCCATCTAAAGACCTTGAGTTTTTAAATTGGTGCCCCTTATGTTTCTTAAAGGAACCATTTATAGACTTGTAAAATCCTAATGATGGTTATTTTTGTCAGTTTGAGCTGCTGACGTAGATACTTTCTGCTTCCAAAACTGTCCTGTGTTCTGATAGGACTGATAAAGTTTCCAGTTCTGATTGTTTCCTCATGAATTTTAAGGTCTACATTTGACAGGGAGCAGAATGATTATTCGCTCTTATTGTTCTTGTGGCGATGGATGCATCTGCTGGGTGTCTCATCAGTCCATTCGAGTAGCTTGGTGCAGTGTTTCTCTTCCACTGGGGAAAGAGTGCCCAGATCTTGTCCCTGTGCCAGGTGGTCGTGGTTTAGCTGGGATGGCGGTGCACATGCAGAGCCCTGTGTCTCTGTGCTTATTGGAGCCTCGACTTCCTGCCCTTGATCTAGTAAAAGAGCGACTGACTAGTCTGAGCCAGGTTTATAAAACAATGGAGTGATGAGTTCAGAAAAATCTAGAAATTACTGTTTTGAGCTTGGCATTAATAAGCAGTGCACGATGCTTTCCTTAGGACTGAGGGATGAGATCTGCAATAGAAAATTACTTCGACAGCTAACTTCTCCTGGAAAAATGTTACCCGTCCACAGTCTGGTCATTTCTTCTGTTTTTCTCAGTTGTGCCAGTTCCTGGTCAGTCGGGTCAGGTGCTCCCGGTTCCTCTTGGTGGTTTTCTTTAGGTTTGAAGTGCTCAAGGAGTCACACTTCTAGAGAACTCCTGGCTGACAACATGAAAACGGCTACAAAAATATTTTTAAAAATATGTTAGACTTTGCTTGAGGCATCCAGACCTGAAGATAAACTGTGTAGTTTTCAGGAGCTTGTTTCTTCAAGAGTCTATTATCATTATTAGTGGGAAGAGATTGAACAACTTTAAGAGAAAAACTATAGGCCCATTTATTTGTATTTTGAGATACAATTGATATCTTGTAATAGGACTAAGTCACTAAGTCATAGAGTCACCTCAAAACATAATTCTTTCTTTGAATTTCCAAGAGTAGACATGTGATGCCCTGGCCGGCGTGGCTTGGTTGGAGCATTGTCCCGTAAATGAAAGGTTGGGGGTTCAATTCCTGGTCAGGGCACATACCCAGGTGCGGGTTCGGCTCCCAGTCTGGAAGTGCTCTGGATGCAATCAATTGATGCCTCTCTCTTCCATAGATTTTCCTCTTTTTTTCTTCCTCTTTCTCTAAAAAGCAATGAAAAAAAATGTCTTCAAGTAAGGATTAAAAAAATTTTTTAAATAAACGTGATGATCAGCTTAAGAATGATTTCTTTTACTGGCTGATGGATAAAAGAAAAAAAGGAAACTAAACTTCAATGTATGAAAAGAGTGTAGAGTAGAAAAAATGGGATTTTCTACTCTAAGAAAAAAACAGGGAATCTTTTTACTTTCTACTCTAAGAAAAGACAGGGAGTGAAGAATCCTGGGATTGCTGCTATTAATGAACTTTTCCTTAAGTATTTCACATTAGAGTAGGGAATTGAACTGACTTATTTTTAATGACTCTTTTTTTTTTTAAGATTTTATTTCTTTACTTTTGGAGCAGGGGAAGGGAGGGGGAAAGAGAGGCAGGAAACATCAGTGTTTGACAGATACATCCGTCTGTTGCCACTCACATACCCCCAGTGAGGGACCTGGCCAGCAACCGGGGCATGTGCCCTGACTGGGAATCAAACCAGCAACCTCTAGGTTCATGGTCTAGTGCTCAATCCACTGAGCCATCCCAGCCAGGGCTAATGACTCCCTTTTAGTTCTAATATTTTATCATTTAGATAGTCGAAGCAAATTAAATTTCAGTAGGTAGTATTCTGCATTTAGTTTCTCCTAACACCTCTTTAGGAGAAACTAAATTTAGTTAGTCAACCGAGAGTAAGGGTCAACACCACAAGATTATAGAAAAAGTAGAAAATACAGTTTTATCGTGCAGCTTGCAAGTAGCAGGAGAGAGAATTGATCATTGGTCAGATTGCAGTGTGTCACAGATGAAGACGACTTTGTGAAATATCCTGAGCTCCTAGAAAATGGTGATTTTTCCAGCAGGCACAACCAGAATACTAGGGTGGGGACACTGTCTGAAGTGTTTGTCCATCCTTGTCCCTCTCCCCTGTGTTGACAGTGGCAGGCACCGGTCCTCTGGAAGTGCATCAGTGACTATTTAAAATACTTATGGTGTCATCCAGCTGTGAAAATACATGTGCACATATGGACATGTATATATAACATGCGTACATGTATTACTGTTGCTGGTACAGTTACCTTTTTTGTAGGGTTTTTTTTTTACTCCTATCAAGCCCAGCGTGCCTCCCGAGTGTTCGCTCTGGTTGAGAAATACAGTCATACTGTCCCTGTTATAGTCCAAGATTTTGGAAAGGGCACACGCTGTGACTGGGGGAGTGTGTGGCCCAGTGGAGCTGAGACGGCCCTCTCCGCCTCCTTACCTCCGTCACACACACCCAGTGTCTCTTGTCGGAGCTCAGCCCCCCTCACGTCTGCTCAACAGCCGGGCCAGCGCCCCGGTCAGGTGTTCGTGGGTGATGGATTCTAACCCCTGTCACATGGTGGATTACGAAGAAATCTTACTTGTGTCACTTTGGACCCAGTGTTTACCTTAAACAGACTATTTTTCAAGGCTAGAAAAGTGATCAAGTTGAACTTTATTTTGGATTTCATTTCAAATAATAGTAACTATAAAAATTTTATTCACAATATAGTTATAATACTGTTTCTCTTTGGGCTGGGACTCTTGTTGAGTTCAGTCTTGTTCTGCTTTGGACGCGTGGAAAATTCATTGCTGCTAGGGTCAGTGAACAAACATGAAGGCTCTATTTCTTTGAAAAAAATGTTTTCTGATTTAAAGTTAACAATAACAAATTATTACGGATTTTTTAAAAAATAAAGAATAGTTTAGCCCTGGCCAGGTGGTTCAGTTGGTTGGAGCTTCATCCCATAACACCAAAAAGAAGGTTGCAGGTTCAATTCCCAGTCAGGGCACATACCTAGGTTGCAGGTTCAATCCTTGGTCAGGGTGCGTACAGAAGACAGCAGATCAGTGTTTCTCAAATCAATGTTTCTCCTCTCTTCCTAAAAGCCATAAACATATTCTCTGGTGAGGATTAATAATGATAATAACATAAAGTTTAAAGGAAAAAACTACTTGAATTCTGTCATCAAGCTGTAAGCACAGCTAATTTGCTGCACATCCTCTCAGGCTTTTTAAACCTCTGTGTGTACAGTATGTTTAAAAGCTTCCAGACTGAGCTTATGCTGTACACTGGGCTTTGTCATTTGCCTTCCTCACCTGGCAGTGCGGAGTGAGCACTGGTTTATCCCCTAACTGTCCTCAGGACCCCGGCGTCCGCTTGCTTGGCGGTCACTGCCAGACTGGCGGCATCACTGACTCTGCCACCTGTTGGAAAGGTTGTTGCTGACTTAGTGATCTTCTTTCACGTGGTCTCTGTTCTTTAGTTGTCCCATTTTGGACTTAAGTATTTTAATCCAGGTAGAAAAGCTGTATTTGTCAGTGATCCTTTTGAGTATTCATCATGGAGAGAACAAGTAAACACATACACACCACCATGAATTGTTCTTCTGTTGCTTAATGGCGCTTAATATCAACTGAAAGGCTCTCTTCAGCCAGATCTCGGGACCCTGTTATCTGTCTGTACCGATCAGCTGAAACCCTGAGGGTGGATTATGGTTCTTGGGATTACAATGGTGTACTTCACTCTCCTTGATTCCTTCTGCTTTTAGAGGTTTCTCATTAAAACTGAAGTGTGATTTAACCTGTTATCTTGCAAAAAACATCATGCGTGTAAGGAATTTCTGCTATGTAGAATTTATACTAAGGGAAAAAACTGGTCAAAAAACACTTTGGAGGAGAGAGTTTGGTGACTTCAGTGTTGAGAGCAGCAGTGTTGACAGAGACGTGGCCTTTGGTCTTTCTGCCTCCAAGGGTCTGTTGTTTGCACAGAGCCCGGTCACCTGTAATTGTCCCTCCTGTGCATTTATCTGCAGCAGCTTCTGCACAGAACATAGCTTTCTTTTGCTTCAGATAGTGTTGATTTTACCTCCTCTTAAGTAGTTTGTCTTCCCGGTGAGCATTCATTTACAAGAAAGTTTCTTTAGAGAGACTTGCTCTTGAAAAGCCTTCTTAGCATACGTGGGATGTGTCTTTCTTGCTAGTTACTCAGTGTTACAAACTGAATATCAAATCCAAATGGAGGAGGAAGCCTCATTGAGCCAGAGACAAGAATGGGAAAAGAAAAATACCCCAGAACTGGACTGAACACACCCATTCCAGAGCTGGGGGCAGAGGCAAGATCTGCCCTGTGTCTGTGGAGCTGATCCTGCGCTGTATTGCTTTACTGACCAGACGTGATTGAGTTCAGTACCTCTGAGTCATTGCATGGTCCTACACAGGGAAATTATAATAGGCGTACTATATGCAAATTCCATCAGGGTTTTTTGAAATTTTATTTCCTCTTCTTATTTGACATTCTTGTTATTCTGGTTATTTTTTCTTGACTAGACTTTCTTGTTATTGCTTTTTAAATAGGTCATATAATTATAGATTTATAAAGTAACTTTTAATTCCCTTTGTTTTTTCCTAAAAATTGAGGGTGATTTTTCTGAAGGGTAAACAAAATTTTATTTAGAATATCATTGATTGCAGTTAGCCTTTCTCAGATGTAATATGAGTAAAGTGATTTAATGTGAGTATAATGTTTGTTGGGAGTTGAGGTCAGTTGGAAGTGATGGTATTTGCTTTAGGAGAAGTTTTGGGGAAATATATTTTTTTAAATGAACATGTGAAGGTACTTTCTTATAATTTATGTAATTTATGTAATTTTTTTCCCAAGTTATTTCTCTCAGTTTTTGGAAGAACATGGTCCTTTGGATATGAGTAACAGGATGTTCTGTGAAAAATATGAATTCTTCCCAGAGGAAACTCGAAAGATACTAGAAAATGCCGGAGGTTTGAAATCTTTCCTCCTGCAGTGTCCTCGTTTTGTTGTGATTGACAACTGTATCGCCTTGAGGAAGTATGCATCACGGCTCAAGAAAAAGAGAAAGAAGAAGAACAGCAAGACAAAAATGGAGGAAATATCAATAACAGGAGAGTTTCTGCGGATTACACTGCCTCTGAGTTCAATGTTCAGAGAATTTAAACCAGATGTAGTGCCCGAACCAGTGTCCGATTCATCTTCAGTGCCAGCTTCTGAGGATGTAGAGCCTGAACCTGAACCTGAACCTGAACCTGCCGATTCTCCCCAACCAGCCTGTGAAGCTGAGGAGTCTCCCATGCCAGCTCCTGAGGGGGAGAAGCCCGAAGAGGTCCTTCCCGAGGCCCCCGAACCAGTCTCTGGGGACGTGGCTGCCCCGCAGGCCTCCTCCCACTCGCCCAAACCAGCTCCTGACGCTGTGAAAGCAACCTACTGGGCGCCAGCACACTTGGTCACGGGGTCCTGCACCTTCCTTCCCTTCAGGGGGTTTGACATCACCCAGACACCCCCAGCGTACATAAACGTGCTACCCACACTGCCCGAGTGCACTAACAGTTGCAGCCCTGTGGCCACCGGTTCCTCTGAGTACCCGCTGCAGAGATCAGTGCCAGGCGTGCCAACTCTTGTAGCCAGTGACAGGCCAGATGACAGTGCTACTGTGTATTTTGAGGATCCTCGTTTGAATGCTGCGCGTGCCTCTGGTAGCCAGGTTGCCTCTGAAACAAAGATGTATTACAACTGTCTGGGGGTATCAGGAAAGTCACTGTGCAGCACAGAGGGTACTGATCCCACCCATAGTGAGCCCAGCAGGGATGATGGTCACAGTGGAGAGTCTGCTGACGGGGAGGCAAACCCAGAAAGGACCGACGAAGTGACAGACAGTGCGCGTGCACGAGCGGTTGCCGTACAGGTAAGACTTTTATAGGAAGGAGTCGTCCTAACACTGAAGTTAACTTTTCTCACTTCTCATGGCCATTGTAGCCATTGAAATTCTTTAAAGTGATCCGATAATGGTTACTAAAGCTTGCACCTAAAGATGTCTTTAAAAGATGATCCCTGTTACCTGCCATGACAGGGAATCTTGTCAGAAAGAATCTTGGGGGGCTAGTAAGTACTGCCTTTGTTTTCTACCCCAGTTTTGCATCAGTTGAAAAACAAGATAGATGGAGCCAGAAGATCACCTAAGTAATTGTTACGGGCACAGTAGAGAGTGCACGTCTTAACAGGAGCCCCCGCCCCCCAGCTTATGCACCTGGTGCAGCAGCGCCGGACCAGGAGGCCTCCCAGCGTGGGCATCTGCCCCGTGAGACGTACTGGGTGGAGAAGCAGGCACAGTGTGCTCTCTGCACACGCCACTCCTGAGAGGAAGAGGGAAAGGTCTGGGCTGCCGGTGCCCAGTCTCCCCTGCTGGGACAGCGGAGGGGTGAGGGAGTCAGTGGATAGCCCTGGGGGACACACGGGGGAGGCTGACAGAAGCTCCTTCCTGCCAAGAGTGAGGGTAAATTTAGGTTCCTCTGTAGTTAACTTTACAGGGCATGAGTTCATTAAATCCTTGTAGGATTATCCCCCTACTCATTAAGTTTTCTATTTTCTAGCAAGCTTTGAAAAAATATGTTCAGAGTGATGAATCAAAATCATTTTCATTTTTACTAATTGTAAAAATGCTAGCTCTTCACTAATATAAATATCTGTAGGAAGCATAGACTGTTATCTAAATTGTCAAAAAAAAAAAAAACCTTGTGAAAATTGTAAGGATGTCTTTAAATTATATTACTTAATGGATTTATTTTAATAGAGCAATTGAGATAGATTGAATTTGAGTGTTTGTTTTGCCCAAAGGTGTCTCGGGATACAGCACATCAGGAAGTCAATACTGAGCCGTACAGTCCTTTTGAGGTTCAACAGGTGAGTCAGCCTGGATTCCACTGTTTAAAGGTTTGAGTTTCATCAGTGTAACTAAATGGGAATAGACGGAAATGACTAGAATGATTTTGGAGCCATGTAATTCCATGTAAAATGTTACTATGCAATAAGCTTTAGATGATAATAAAAAATTACTCTTTTATTTTTGTTGTTGGAATTCGGGAAGGACAGGCAGAGAAGAAGGTGAGTTTTTTCCTGGCATATTTATTTCACGGTATAATGGCTTTATTGTTTAACTGGTATGACAAGCCTGTGCAAACTTACAAATAAGAGCTTACTCACATGACTGTACAGGAAGTATTATAAAGACCTTCACTTTTTAAAGAATGATTGAATTATAAAATCTATTGATATAATCGACTGTGCTGATAAATCTTAAGAGAAAAGTTACTTGATAACTTCATAGTTGCTGATAAAGTCCCGGATAAAATTTATTATTTCTTTCTTGACCAAAGTTCATAATGAAATGGGAATAGATGAACATGTCTCAACGTGACAGGGTCTTTCTCTTTTAAGTCAAAGCCATCGTCTTACTTTAAAGATGAAACATCACCATCAGTGTTTACTATTATCCTGGAGATAGCAGCTGGCAAATTAGATAAGAGAGAAATAAGGTTATAAAAGAGGAGGTATGAGTGTTACTATTTACAGAGACTCGGGTCGTTTACCTGGGAAGTTCCAACGACCCCCTGAAAACCCAGTATTACAATGTAAGAGAATTCCTCATTGAATACAGTGCCTTACATATACAAATAACAACCTGTTGCAAAGTATATACTGGAAGAGAAAATTCCATTTCCATTAGCACCAAAAAGGCACAGTACCTATATCTGTAAAAGAAAACTTTAAAATGCTATGAGAAACACACAAAAACCTTAAATAAATTAAAAGGTGTTGAACAGGAAGACTTAATTATTACAGAGATTGGTTCTCCCCAAGCTTTGAATTTAAGACAATCCCAGTACAAACATGAACAGCATGTATTAGTTATATGTTGCTGTGTAAGAAGTTACCTTAAAACCTAATGGTTTAAAACAACAATAGGTATTGTTCTAACAGCCAATCTGTGTACTAACAGATTTATGTTGTGTTTTGATATTTGGCTATACAACTCTCTTCCCTATAATTTCTCTTCCACGGTCACTCTCGATGGTTATTTTTTCACATGAAATGAAGAATCAATTTGTCCAGGCTGTTAGAATGGGTTATCTCATGGCTTCTGAGTCAGGGGAAGAGTTGGGTGTCCAGTCGGTCTGTTCTCAGCGGCAGCCAGAGCACTGATCAGGGCCCGGTTGTCTGTGAGCAGCGCCTGGGGTGGGGCACTGCCTGCAGACGGCCTCACTCACGGAGCTGGCCAGCCGCTGCTGGCAGGAGGCTTCTGTTCCCTGCCTGTGGACCTACCTCCAGAGGGGCTGCTTGGGTGCCCTCCTGGGGTCTGGCTTAACCCAGACTGGGTGACCCAAGGCAGGAGAGAGTAGCGATGGCTGTAACAGTCTGCTTTCGGAAGTCACGTTCTTTTCACTTCTCCTGTGTTCTCTTGGCCACACAGAGCAGCCCCCCAACCCTAATACATTGTAGGAGAAGATTCTATGAGAGCATGGATACCAGGAGGCGAGAATCTTGGCAGCCACGTTAGTGCCTGGCTGCTACACAGGATTTATTGGGAACTGGACAAATTGATTCTTCATTTCATGTGAAAAAATAACCATCGATAGTGACTGTGGAAGAGAAATTATAGGGAAGAGAATTGTATAGCCAAATATCAAAACACAACATAAATCTATGTTAGTACACAGATTGGCTGTTAGAATAAGAATCCAGCCCTGGCTGGCGTGGCTCAGTGGATTGAGTGCCAGTCTCTGAAGCAAAGGGTTGCTGGTTCGATTTGATGGTTAGGGCGCGCGCGTGCCTTGGTTGCAGGCCGGGTCCCCAGCAGGGGGCGCATGAGAGGCAACCACACATTGATGCTTCTCTCCCTCTCTTCCCTCTCTCTTCCCCTCTCTCTAAAAATAAATAATAAAATCTTTAAAAAAAACACACATTTCTGGAGAAGGCAGTTTGGGCACATGTTTTTGCCCAAAAAACATGTTGGGCATACAAACATCTAATTTGTGTGCAGCCATAAAAAGCACGCAGAGACCAGTAAACAAGGCTATTTGTGTATTTATGTCCTTTGTATATGTGTCAGCAAAAAACTGAATACAGTCTAAATATCCGTCAGTTTCTATTTAAGTAAGTTATAGTATATCCATATAATGAAATACTACCGTGTCATTTAAAAATGAAGCACTTGTATTATCACAGGCATTGATCTACAAGATCAGATGTGAAATTAAGTAGGATGAAGTCACATTAGAACTTTGTGTTGCTACCGCAGTGATCCCTCCCTTATCTCGGAGTTACATTCCAGAGACCCCCCGCGATAGGTGAAAATCCTCAAAGTAGCGCCGTTATATTTATTTGTATTATTTATATATAGTTTAAGGCTTTATAAACCCTTCCCACACTCCTATAAACCTTTCCCACTCTCTTATTAACCTTTCCCACACTCTTATAAACACTTCATATGCTCTTAAGCAGTTTCTGTACTCTTAAACCTACGTAATTTTAACAACATATAAAATTCTATATGGGTCTTCACCAATGAAGTAATAAGTGAACCCCGATATACTGAGGGACGACTGTATTGGTACAAGGAGCTTATTTATAGTTTTGGCCAATGACAAAAATAATATAGGGCCCTTAAATTTTTTTAAGTGAACAGTAGCGAAAATTAGGAAAGAGAAATTGAAAATGATCTCTATTGCCACCATCCATGATCATATTTTCACATGCAACCTTCCAGGCCTTATTTTAACATTTAAGTGAGCAATGCTTTTTAAAAAATGGGATCATACCATGTATGTTGTACTTGAAGTTTTCGGTGTTATTTTATTTTGGACTTTTCCCCGCATATCAGCAAAAACAGGATTTTTACCATCTCCTTTTTGGGTGTGTGCAGCTGCCTTTTACCATCATTTTTAATGCATACTTGGTACTTCACTGGGTGGATGTATGACCATTTGACTACCTGTCACTGGACATTTAGATTGTGTCAGCTCTTCACACTTCCAAACAGTGCTCTCACGAGCACTTTTGCTGATACAAGCATATTGCACGTGGAATGACTGGTGTTGAGTTCTTACACCACACTTACCTCTGAACCAGGGGTGCCCTGTTGCTTAATGAGTCTGCATCTTTGACTCTCGGGTATTCTCGTCAGTGTTGGGGGCATCTCAGAAACACTCCGTTAAACTGACTCTTAGATTCAGGGACGTTAGTAGAGCTGCTTGTGGCTTCCCAGCCAGTGAGACTTAACGATTAACCCAGGGCTGCGCTCGCATCTGGGACTGGGAGACGCTGCCTAATCTTTCTGAACTTTGGTTTTCTTATCTATAAAAGGTGAAAAGAATATATTTCTGACAGCATTGTGGTCCAGTTCAGATGTTCTAGCAGAGATGGCATGGACCTTTCTCTCTCTCTGTTGGTGATTTGGGGCATGCAGACCAATACCGTGTTGCTGTCATTATGAACCTTCTTCTGAACTGAGAGTAAAAATAGAATCTTAACCCGTAAAGTCTTGCTAATGGGTTGTAGTAAGCTTGACCCTTTACCTCATTGTTTAAACATGGTCTGTAGCCATCAAGCTGAATGTGCAGGCTGGACAGACTAAAACTCGGACCCGCCAGCACACTGGCCTGTGTGGTCGGTCACCAGGCCAGAGTTCGCAGGTCTCTAACTGATGAGTTACAGGATTTCAAAACCTTCATTCCTGCCTTTTGACACTTGGGGATGCCAAGATGCTGGGAGAGGTGCGGGAGATGGACCAGGTTTGTGCCGCTGGGATCGATTTCCACAGCCTGGCTGCTGTGGACCCTCATACCTGGGCAGATCAGTCCCCTGCCACGGAGGGGAGCGGCCGGGTCACACAGACGCCCCTTGCAGGCGCAGGTGTGTGATGGCTGGCAGACTCAGCCGTAGCAAGGGTTTTAAAAATACTGGCATAAATGGTGTTGGTGGTTCACCACTATGTCACGTTATAGTGTGGCTTCTGTTTTTGTTCTAAATTGGTCCAAGAGATAGTTATATAACTAAAAACAATTAATTGATAATACTCTAACTTGTTTTTTAGTCAGCAACTGTCCCCTTAGGACGCTTAAAAGTAAGACCAGAGTTAGTAAGTTCTGTTCATATCTGAAATAGGCAAAACATACATAGTTTCTTAAACCTAAAAAATAGTCCTTAATGTTAATTGTGGAGAATGACAGTCACATCAAACTTTTAATATAACAGTAAACCCTTCTAAAATAGATAGATATTCAGAACTATAATTATAGAACAGATTGAAAGGTTTTCTTATAAATTCCAGCAACACAAAGAACTTTTTTTCATAAGAGGTGGCTTTGCTAAACATTGTTCAGGAGTTTTTGCTTCTCGAATCATCGTGACATTTCCCTTAAATTTTTATCGGCCTTTTATTCCCCGTTGTGTATTTTAAGAGACAGTTCAGGGCAAGGTCAGACACAGGCCTTCGCAACTGCTCTGACAGGTGCTTTTCTGATTGCCTTCCAGGGGGACATTTCCCAGCTGGTAAAGGACCGCTACATCCTGCGAGACCAGGTGCGGGAAGCGTGCTGGACCTACGTGAGGACAAGCCTGCAGGGCATAGCAGACAGGCGGGAGCTGGAACAGAAACTGAGAAGGAGCGTGGAGGAGAACGAGGTGATTCTGTCCGCCTTGCCGCTGTGCCGGCGCGCAGCCTCCTTAGGAGAGCTGTGCCTGCGCCTCGCCGGCCAAACGCAGGATTCTTTCTCAGTACCGCTTGTTTCCAGCTTCTCTGACACACTAACGTGACTGTTTTTTGCAGTGTTCTAGAACCTCTGCAAGTTACGTAGAAGGAAAGGACTGTGAACGTGGTTTTTCATTTACTTCCAACTCAGTTTGCTTGATTAACTAGAACTCTTTTCTGGTGAACGGGTTCCAGGTTAGGTTCTCATTTACGTTGATAGGCGTGTGGCATTAGTGGTTGGGGGTGTGAGGCCTGCAGCCAGGCTGGCTGGGTTCAAGTCCACCCTGGGTTCCACCCAGTTCTGACCCTACTCCTTTGTGCTTTGCTTCCTCGTCTGGGAAATTTGGGTGATAATAGCTCTCATTTTGTGGGATTGGATTAATCCTTGTACCTAAAACTGCCTGGTGCGTGGAGAGGGCTCTGGAAGTGTTGGCTGCCACGCTCATTACTGCCGGTGTCACCCTCGTCATCTTCCTCACACCAGAACTGGGAAGTCCCTCAGAGTGTCTTGTTTGAGTCTATCGACCTTGAACTTCCTTGACTACGATCGACCATGAGTTACACGTGACTGCAGCAGGAGCGATGCTGATTGGCAGGGAAGCCAGACTGCACGGTGGGGGGGGAGCTGCAGGTGTGAGATCTTGGTATGCTGCTTTTTCCACGCTGAGGTCTTCTGCACAAGGCTGACAGAGGGGTGGTAGTCCCTTTCAGAAAGGGGGGGTTTGTTGTAGAAGTGCCGGGTCCATAGCTGGGGCGACATGATTAAATAGAATAAAATTAGCTTACTGGGACCCTGGTCCGAAAACTTGTTTGCTGAGATTCAAGTACACCTAGAAGAAAAGGGGCCGTTTGGAAAGGTAACCGTTAAAGATTCCTGAGGACCGCTTTACTCTTGGGACAGGACTGGGGAAGATTCGAAGGACGAGAATGTTAGAAGGAACCAGAAACTTTTCTGTCCAGTTACCTGGGTGAATGAGGTCTGCCTGACTGGGAGAGGGAAAAACGAACAAAAATGAACCCCTGCCTGGTACAGTGGCTCATGGAACACAGGTTTAAACAAGTTGTGTGGGGAGTGGGAGGACTTAGCAAAGCAAAGTATTTTTCTGAGCTTCATATTGGCTCAGGAAAGTTCTCTTTCAGCTAGTCCACGTGGGAAAGCCCGCGGCCAGCACGCTGGGGCGAGCAGATGCGGGGGCTCACGGCTCCACCGTGAGAGGTGGGCATCTCGGGAGTGAGGTGGGCTCTTCCTGGCAGGCGCTGGTGTGGCTGTGAACTGCTGGTCTGGCTGGCTCCTGCTTCTGTGCCGTTTGTCCAGGCTTCTCCGTACGGCTGGCCCTGAAAGGCGGAGCGGGTCTCGGACCAGGCCCGGGGGTAGTGCCGGGAGAGCAGCCGCCCTGACCGGCAGGCTCGGCCACGGCTCTGGGTCCCGTGTTCCGTGGTTGTGTGTGTGAGTGCAGTCAGTCCCTTTTCTCAGCCGTGTTTGTCCCCAAACACAGGCCTGTTCGATCGTCAGACTTCGCATGGAAAACATATGCCCGTCAGCATCAGCGGCTCGCCTGAGTCCTTAGGGTGGTGTTTATAGACATAAAAAGAAATTTGAGGGTTCTTTTCTTTTAAGATTTTATTTAGAAGGGAAGGGAGAGAGAAAGAGAGGGGAAAACATCAGTGTGAGAGAGAAACCTCCATCTGTTGCCTCTTGCATGCGTCCCAACAGAGACTGAGCTTACAAGCCAGGCCTGTGCCCTGACCGGGAATTGAACTGGCGACCTTTCGGTTGGCATGTTGACGTCCAGCCAACTGTGAGCCACACTGCTGAAGGCGGATTTCGTGGTTTTTATGCATCTTTCTCTTGGCCTTTGACTCTAGATTACTGAGGTTATGAGCTGACTGACTTGCAACTTTTACTCTCAAGTGACTTGAGGTACATTTGTCCTGGGATTTCTCCCTCCTGACCCCCGCCCCCAGCACTGACCCCTGTACCTCTGGCGACCCTCTTCCTTCCCAAGCCCGTTCACTCCTGCTCGCCCCCTGGGTCCGCCCAGGTGTCGCTTTCCTGAGGAGGCAGTCGCTGCTGGCAGCCTCGGGCGCAGGCCCTCCCGCTGATGCAGTGGCGGCGTAAGCACCTCAGTGTTGCACAGCGATCGTCCTTTTGTTCACATCCGTTAAACAGTCCACCTGCCATGCGGTTCACCCATGTGAGGTACGTAGTTCAGTGTTTTCAGCACATGCACAGAAGTGCACAGCCATGAACACAGTCTTGGGTTGAGAGCCTTCCGTCGCCCCAGAGAGAAACCTCATACCCACTGCCGGGCACTCCCCATTCTCCACTCTCACCCCAGCGCTGGGCAGCCACTAACTTACCGGGCAGACTATGGGCGTTTTATGTAAGTGGACTCTGTGGTCTTTCGTGAGTGCCTTGTTCACTTAGCATAATGTTTTCCAGGTTCATCCGTCTGTCCATGTAACGTGTATCACTACTTCATTTCCTGTAGCTGCTGATTAATATTCCATTGCGTGGCTGCCGTGCATCACATTTGATTCATCAGTTGATGGACATTGGCGTTCCCTCTACTTTCTGACTGTTACAGCCAACGCTGCTGTGAGCATCTGAGCACAGGTTTTTCTGTGGACGTGTGTTGTCAGTTTTGGGGCTATATCCCCAGGACTGGGGTCACTGGGTCATGTGCGAGCTCCATATTTAACCGTTCAAGAAACTGCCAGACTCTTCCAGAACCGCTGCGCCACCTCCCACTCCCGCCCGCACAGGCAGGGGTTCCAGTCCCCCCACATGCTCACTGACACCTGCTACCCTTTCTTCTGGGTGAAGCCATCCTGATGGTGCGAAGCGGTGTCTTATTTACTGTGGTTTTGATTTGCATTTCCCTGAAGGCTGATGGTGTTGCGCATCCTGTCACATACTTACTGTTTGTTTGTGTATCTTCTATGGAGAAATGTCTGTGCCAGTCCTTTGTGCCTTTATTAATTGAATTATCTTTTGAACTGTAAGAGTTCTTTAAAAGATATTCTGCATCTAAGTTGCTTATCAAACATAATTTGTAAGTACATTCTCCCATCTCCCATATTTGCAGTACCTGTCCCCCATCTTTATTCTGTGGGTTGTCCAGTCCCTGTCTTAATGGTATCATTTACGATGCAAAAGTTTTCAGTTTCAATGTGGTTCGTTTTCTCTATTTTTTTCTATTGTCGCTTATGCTTTTGGCATTATGTAAGGAGCCATTGTCTAATCTGTGGTCACCAGGATTTACTTCAATGCTTTCTGCTGAGTTCTATAGTTTCAGCGTCTCCCTTTAGATGTAACGTCCATTTGAGTTCATTTTTACATGTGGGGTGGTAACTGTCTTTTATGCATATAGCACCACCAAACTGTGATCTCTCTGAAGGTGAAGACTCTTCGTAGTCAGCCTTGCACCTCGGTGTTTACACAAGGAGCTCTGCTGATAGGGTCGGCCCAGGTGGACCTGAGCTCCTGAAGAGCTAACTGGTGACTGTGGCTCTACATTCTCGGTCAGTCTGCAGCAGAAGGCACCAGCCCTCCACGATCCGTGGAGGTTGTGGCTTCACTTACTGCTTCATCTGTTGCTGGTATGGACTGGAGGGTGTTACCCCGTCTTTCACTTGACGGATGTTCATGGCACCTTCCTCCAAGTGCCGGGCTCTGCGCTGGCCCCCGGGGACCTGCCGGCAGCACCCTGTTCACTGCCCGGGCTGCTCCGTGTGGTGGGCTTGTTTTTGTTCTGTGGACACTGATGCGTAGCTCGCTGTATGTCCCCTTCGACTTGGTCCGCCAGAAAGTTTTATTGCTATTTCTGAAGCGTGGTCATCACTTCATGCCATTTATTTTTGTATTACTCTTACATCTGGTTTGATTTTAGCATTCTTTTTATTCTGCTTTCTTAACCTACTTAGCATTCTTTTATTTTATCTTTTTAAACTTTGTATATGTATATGTTATTGAAAATCCCTCAAACATTTAGTTTGGAACAAAGTTGAGGTTTTAAAACGAGAAGTGTAGAAACCAGATTCTCTCTAAAGGAGAAAAAAAGGATCACCGGAAAGTGTTTATAACTGTATCTACAGACTGGCGGACACAGGGGATGCAATTGCACACGAGCTGTTTCTTCTGTTCTAATGTTTGGAAGGAAGGGAATGGGCCCGTTCTCGTTCATGGAGTCGGAGCAGGTGCACGACAGCTGGCCCGGCCAGCGTTCTGGGGCAGCGGTGTCAGCAGGGGGCGTTCCGCCCACAGAGCCGCACTCTCTGTGGCTGCGCTGGGAGAGGCCGTTGTGCCAGGTCGGTTCTCATGCCCCTGCGGGCCAGAGGGTTGGATCCGAGGCGAAATCATTGGCTGAGAATAGGAGCACGGGGTAGGCGAGAAGCGAGGTTGGGGTGGCTGCCAGCCGCGAGGTGTGCCTGGGGGGCCTTGGTCTCGGTGGTAGAGGTGATCCAGGTGGAGTAAGCATCTCGTGAATAGAGTGGGCATGGCGGTCACATCAGTTATTGTAATGGCTCAGTGAGTGCAGGCTCAGCGAGGTCGGAGCAGGGACCGTGTGAGTAGAGCCTTCCCCGTGACAGAGTACGCCCCGTGTCGCTCGGCTGTCCTTGGCCTGTGCATCTCAGGGCCGTTGAGGTCAGCCCTCCCACTGCAGCAGGACTCAAGTCCGTAAGGGCCCAGCCCAGCCAGCGAGTGCTGCCAGGAACACAGAGGCCGGTGGTGACAGACATAAATCTTTTCAAAACTGTGTCTCAGAGGAAGTTCTTAAATCTCCTCCTCGTCTTCCTGGCACCACAGGTCTCTGCTCCCAGAATCCCTGCTAAGACTGTCTCCGCAGCGGTCAGGCTCCTGGCCTGGAACGCGTCCCCATGACGCTTGAGACCTCATTTTAATTGGTTTGCCACTGAAACCGTGAGTTTCTTGAAAGAGAAGTGTTGGACGTTTTGCTGATATTTCTAACAAGGCTTTTTATGGGGAATACATTCCAAGTTGCAACCAATAAACATGTAAAGGGATTCCTTGGTTGTAGTGTATTAGCAGAGTGAGAGCTGCCCATGTTGGGAAGAGTTGTTTGGGGAACAAAACGGAGTTGACTTGAGGCACACTGGTCTGTGCTAGAATAGCCTGGGAACTTGGAGTATCTATGGTGTGTAGATAAATGCTTCCTAAGTGGTTGTGTTGAAAGCTGTTTGAGTCCCGGCAGGGTGGCACAGTTGGTTGGAGCACTGTCCCTCACACCCAAAGGTTCAGTTCCAGGTCAGGGCAATACCTGGGTTGCAAGCTCAGTCCCTGGTCGGGGTGCATATGGCAGGCAGCTGTTTGATGTTTTTCTGTGTGTCTGTCTGTCTCCTTCTCCCTGTCCTTTCCTCCTACCCTCCCTCTCCTTTCCTCCCTCTCCAAAATCAATGGACCTGTCCTCGAGTGATGACTTAAAATAAAAGAAAGAACAGAAAGACTATATGAATTCAGTATTTCTATTCCATTGTTTTGTCAAACATTTTGACAAAGTCTTTGTCAGACACTTTGTAAATTTCTATTTCATCTGTCAAAATCATTTCAGGGTCAAAATTATTGAGTTTTTATATATATTTTGTTGTTTACTCATAGATTTATTTAAACATCCCTGTCTAGGTTAATTTTCCTTTTTCCCATGCTTTCTAGTCTAGTACACCGTTTGTTCTTTTCTTTTCTGTTACTGTGTTTTATGTAGTTATTCATCTCCAGGGAGAAGCGCGTGTAACCCAGTCACCTTCTGCTTCCCATCTTCTCTGCAGTCGGACTCGCGGGCTCATCCATTCTCACCTTCTGACGTGTCCTTATGTCCTTCTGTCATTCCCACTGCTGCCACCGTCGTCGTTACTGGCTCTTGCCTGGGCTGTTGCAAGTGAGATTTTGAGATTTTCCCTTCCTCCTATCTAGAGTTTTTAACATCAAGGCTTGTAACGCATAACGGGCTATGGAGTCGGTTTGGTGATGGTGGCTGGAATTGTTTTTAACAATACAATGAAATAAAGTAGGAACGTTAGAAATCTCAGAAAAGGGCGATTTTTTTAGTATTGTGTATGTGTGCACACGCGTGCTGTGGGTCATTATTAACATGTGTTTGTTACTCTGAGTCACGGTCAGTGGCCCCGTCTGACACGTTCATGTGCCCTTTTACTCACCCCTAATCTGTCTCGGCGTCGTCCTTCAGACTCACTTTCCCAAGCAAGCATCTCATCACCGCGCTGCCCTGCCTGAGAGTCTTTGTTCGCTTCCACCTGCTCTCTGCAGGGTGAAGCCCGCGCTCCGTAATGTGGTTTACAAGGCCCGGTGCGATCCGGACTCAAGGTGCCTTGGGTGCCTTTTCTCCCTGCTCCGCCTTCCATATGTCCACCTCGAGCTCCAGCCAGGTCGCACCTCCTGTCTTTGTCCAGACAGCTTGCCGCTGTCCCTCTGCTGGCCCTTCCCGCTGCTTCAGTCCATTCTGGGGGTGGCGGGCTCATCTCTGGAGACCGAGGTCAGATATCACGGATTTCGAGGAGTCCCTTCCAAGCACCACACGTCCTGCCGTGCCATTATCTGCTCTTGGTTTGTTTACCTGATGGCCTCCCCTCCTGCCTGGTTCAGTGAGGCAGGTGGGGGCTCAGGCCACGTGTTGGGCGACGGGGCGTCCGAGCCTCGGCCGGGCAGCGCAGCGAGCTGTGGCGTGCTCTGCGGGGCCGGAGTCGGTGGCTGGGCGCGGACACCACCTCAGTTCCCATCTGTCGGCCTCCTTTGTCTTGTTTATGTGTTTGAGTTTTTTTCTTAATTAATTTTTAAAATTGTAATTGATTTTAGAGAGAGATGTGGGGGGTGGGGGAGAAACATCGATTTCCGTTCCACCCATTTATGCGTTCATTGGTGGGTTTCTGTGTCTGTCCGACGAGGGGTCACCCCCACAGCCTTGGTGCGTCCGCACGACTCTCTAACCCACGCGCTTCCCGGGCAGAGCGCCTGTGGTTTTTCAAGGACATCTTCCGGTTTGTTTATGTGCTTCCTAACATGTTTTTAGATCTCAAAGGCGGAGTTAGGTTGGTTCCTCAAAGACTTGGAAAAGGAAGTGAAGGAGTGGCAAGAGGAGAAACGGGAGATGCAAGAGAGGCTGGAAGTGCTGAGGAAGAGAATGGAGAGGATTTCCCAGGCCCTCGAACTGTAAGTGACCGCGGCAGGGCGTGGCTCTTATTGCTGGGGCGGGGTCGTTTGGTTAGTGTACGTTTTTGGTCCTCAGCTTCAAACTCTGTCAAGTCAAGGGAAAGTTTTAGATACTGTTTCAGTGCATTTTAAAGAATATCTGTCGGGGACTTATGTCACCTAGAGCTCCTCCCACACCTGGCAGGTTTGCAGGTGGGTAAAGCGAGACTGAGCTAACGCAGAGGTGCTTCCTTGCGGCCTGGACCCGCCTCTGCGCTGAACGTGACGTGTGGCCTTTCTCCTTATCTGTGAAGTGAGGGGCTAGTCTAGATCTCAAGCTTCTCCCAGCACTTGGGTTGTGTGATGATTATTTTATTTATGGTTGCTTTTGTCCTGGATCCTTAAATGGTTAACTTTGGCCCTGTGGTACGAAGGGTTTGGAAATGCATGTGACACCACCGTTGTCAGGGGGGCCACCAGGTTGGAAGATCTCTGTGATTGATTCCTGTCCCTCCCCGCTCAGCTTAGTTGTGACCTACTGCGGTGTGACAAGACCCCTAAAACTCAGGTGCTGGACTCACCGCCACTTTATCCGATGGTGACCTTACACTCGGGCCACCAGGCCGCTGCTGCTCGTCTGGCTGCCTGGACCTGGGGCGGCTGGGGTGGGACGCTGCAGGGTCCTGTCCGCTGCCTCTCTGTGTCCTCTCCCTGTAACTTCCGTCCCCATGCTCTCTCCATCTGGTCTCCAGCACGGCAGCCAGACTTCTCACGGGGGGGGGGGGGGGGGGGGGTTGCAGGCCCCAGCACCGCAGAAGAGGCAGCAGCGGCCAGGCCCCCGAAAGTCTGGGCCCAGAGCTGTCAGAGCCTCGCTCTCACCACACTGCAGCCTCAGGCAGGGGCAGCCTCCCTCGGATCCGGGCGCATGGACAGCTGGAGGCGCCAGGCACCTGGGCCGCACCGCTGTGCCGCGGCGTTCGCGGTCTCTTCGTTCGCCTGGGCGCGTCCCGAGACGGCTCTTGTTATGAGTCTTGCCGGCCCCCAGGTGGGCGGTTTCTGGGCAGTTCTTAGAAAGAGCAGTGAGACTCAGGCACTGCCTCCGATGCGGTGTCTTGGGTGTGCTCGGCACTTTCCTTAGGACGGGCTCACGGGAGGGCCGCCGTCCTGGGCCCTTCGCCTCTCAGTATGCGAGCAGGTCCGGCCTTACTCCTTACCTAAGAATCAGGTGTAGTTGTGCTTAATGTGTATTTTCACGTGCTCCATGTAGGCAATACTATCTAACTAGACAAAACCAATGAATCTGTTGATGATAAGAAAATATTTTTTCTCTGTTAGCATAAAAATTAACCATTTCTGCTGGGGTATAAATTTTTTTTAAGTTTTTTTAACTTTGTTAATGTACTGGGTGGGCAAAAGTAGGTTTACAGTTGTGAGTACGTGAAACAGAGTTTATTCTTCTATTATCATATATTTGTTGTATTTTTTCCATACAGACAACTGTAAACCTATTTTTGTTCACCCCTACATTTCTTTGCCTTTTTCTGTCAACTTAAAGATAAGCCATGGGCTTCTCTGTGCTTTTTACACTTTCCAAATAAATGCTTTATGTTTAGGTTCTAAAGTAAAATCTTTAAAAAGTGTAGATCTCCTAGAGAAGCTCAAAGGATATGAAGAATGATTTGGTTTTTCTACATCTTAGATCATGCTTCTTTTAAAACTGGGTGGGACTCAAGGAGCTCCTGGCTGGTGCCGTGGGACAACTAGTGACAGCAGTGGAAGACGGCAGAGGTTCCAAGAAGGCGCTACACAGAGCCGAGTACTTAGAGCACAGGTGGCAGACACAAGGCCCACAGGCAGAATCCGCCCTCCACCTTGTTTTATCCAGCCTGGCACCTTGTTTCTACCCGGCAGCAGTGCCAAGCTCTCATTTAACTGTTAAGGAGTAGTTACATTTATACAGTCCTACAGTTACATACGGCCCTTTGAAGGCAACCGCGAGGCTGATGTGGCCCCTGGTGACAATGAGTGTGACTCCCGTGATGTAAAGGAAGGAGCGTTCAAAAGAAGGGAAACGGCATTTAAACTGGTTCTCAGTGGACGCGTGGAGTGCTGAGCAGGTGGCGATGACTGGGAGGCGTGAAGGAAGCGTGAAGGAAGCGTGAAGGAGAAGCGGACTGACCCTGTACAGGGCCCTGTGCAGCAGTCAGGTTGACACGCCTCATTGTGAGGGGTCGTCACACTGCCCACTTGAGAGCGTGCGTGCACGTGTGTGTGTGCGTTGGGCTTTAAGTTCTATTTTAAAGAGCAGAGGCTGTTTGCACTTCAAGTGACAACCACTGGTCATACTGGGCTCCTCCCTGTCTCATGCTGACCCACCCAGAGGTGCCCCTTGAAGTGGACTGAGAGATAGGGTGACCCAGGGGGCCAGCGTGTGACTTCATGATCAAATAAAATGGCTCAAGTCGGTGATCTTCCCTCCAAGTACAAAGGAAAACGTCCCCAAAAAGAAAGGAACCCAAATTCTGTGCCTAGTTAGAGGAGGTTAGAAATGACACAGAATGCAAAACTTGTAAAGGACTCAAGAATTTTTGCATGGATGCGGGTAGAATTTACCCTGGGATTGTTTTTTTTTTTTTAAATCTTGGAAAATTAATTTAAAATTTTTGATTATGCTTTCATAGGTACGCTCAGACACACGATGGAAGCAACGAGGAGCTGGAGCTCCTCCTGCAGCCGCCCTCGGACACCAGGCGAGCTGAGCTTACGCTGATTGTTCTGTCTTCTCACACTGGCAATACCAGAGGCACAGACACACGCCATTTCCGATCGTAGTTTACTTGTCTCTGTTTTAAGTGGTTGTGTTTCTCTTATCCTTTCCATTTTATTCTTTAATATTAAATAGGTTTATTCTTTACATTATTTTATGTCATGTTGTTTCTGCTTTTGTTTCATGTTGTCAGTATTAAAAGATCCTGAATTTGTTGATTATGCTTTTTCCCTTGAATTAATTTGAAACTAAACGTGTTTTAAAAAACTTTCATGTTACGTGAAATGTCAGATGCAACTTTATTATGGTAGTTTGTTGCTCTGTGATTATAGGTTCATTATAAAGAATTTTTACTATGAACCTATAGAAAGTCTTCTTTTTAACCTTTATTAATGGAGACAGTGTTTTCACATACTGGTAACCAGGCTGTTCAGCAGTAGGCAGCTGTGCTCTCCTTTTCTCAGGTTGTTCCATATCCGCATTTCCATTCACATTATGGTCCGTGGCTGCCTCTTTTTTAGCTGTCATCAACATACTGCCATGAACGACTTCGTATAGATGAGTTTTTCCTCTGGGTCATGTCCTTAGGTTATGTGTCAAGATAGCATTTCTGACTCAGGCGGTGAGGGATGTTCTGTAAAGTTTATTGATCAGGGAGGTTCATCCCCACGCGTGCTGGGGAGAACGGGTGAGCCTGGCTCTCCGCACTCCCGCCAGTTCCTCGCTGTCCGTGGCCTGCCTTCCTGTGGCTGTTGGGAAGGCCCAGACCGCAGCTGCGAGTCTGTGGCGTGCAGCGCAGTATTTGGCGGGACGTTGCTCTAGAAGACGTTGTGTCCTTCTGTGGCATGATTTCAAAGTTAACCTGGCTGTAGCCTTTGTAATCTTACTGGTGAAACGTTTCTCAAAAGGCATTTTTTCCTTTACTCTTTGCAGTAAGGCATTTATAAACGAGAAAATGAAACTGGAAGAGAACGTAAGGGTCGGGAAGAAGTATTACCAGAAGGTTCTGCGAAGAGCTGTGAATGCAGAGGTGAGCCGTGGCCCTGGGGGAACTGACAGGGTGGCGGGAGGTCTCTGCTCTGTGTTGAGTCCCGTGCGAGGCACAACAGCCCTGCTGGAAAGCGTGTCCCCCACGACACTGCCTCCCGGAACAGCCCGTCTTCCTCGCCTGTAGCTCTTTCGTTGTTTGCCCTTGTGCTTACGTTGTGTGACGTGGCTGTGCTTGGTGTGCACCGGGTTTGGCGACCTGCCTTCCTCATTTAGCATTAGAACTCAGTCGTTGTTCATGCTCTCCATGTCGAGTAGGTGGCTTCGCTGTATTTAATGAAGAAGGCTATGCCATGAAATAGCCAACTGTAAAACATATTTGTTAATACTGGAAAAGGAACCTGGAAGTCATGGACTTACTCCGAACATACTTCTCCCCTTCCACCCCCTACTCCCCAAAGAGTACACAGCCGTGTCAGTGTGCTGCGTGAGAAAGGGAGGCAGAAATCAAGATAATGGCCCCTGGCTGTGTACTGTTTAGTTCCTGAACCGTGCTTGTCATTTGTCTGATTAAGTAAATGTTATTTATTGGTATATGTGCCTGTGGTTATTCTGGGAAAATAAAAAGAGGCTTGGCTTATACAGTCTGCAAACGTAAGACTTCAGTTAAATGCTGGCTGTGCAGCTATTTCTATGGAAAGGAAAGGAACAGCAGAGTACCTGCCGTTTGTGGGTCCCGCACTCATGTCTGTGCCCCAGAGCTCGTTCGGCTCTCACTCACCACCACCTGGCAAGCAGTTCTGTCAGGGTCACTGTCAGGGTCCTGTCACTGACATCCGGACTGAAGCAGGCAGCCCTTCGTTTCCCGCAGAGGGCCCCCCACACGTGGCCAGCTGGCTCGTGGGGAGGCAGGAGTGCACAGTCATGGATGCCCGTGTGGAGAACAGGTTCTTGGTGGCCTCTGGAACCAGTGGGGTGCAGCCTTGGGTGGTTCTGCGGGCCCTGGCCCTCTGCTCACCACGGACAGGATGGCGGGCAGGACCGCAGGTCACGCGCACCAGGGGCGTACATACCTCAGTCTGGGCTTCAGCAGTGAAGACATGTGGGCAGTTTCACATCTGAGAAAAGCATCACTTAAGGGACCATGTTTTGCTGTGTGTAAATGCACGCCCATGTGTAATGTGCACCTACGTTTTTGTGCATATATACACAGAATTATGTAATCATTGTATCTGTGTATAAGGTGCATCCTTATTTTCCCTCAAAAATGTGGGTCAAAAAGTATGCAGTATACATAGCAAAATATAGTATATCATTTACTGTCGTTTTGTTATTCTGGTTTCAGGTCCCAGAAGTTGTAATTCATGTTCACCTGAGTGAAATGACAACATAATCAAGTTCTGGTGATTTTTGTCGTTGTATCTTATTTAGGAAGAAACTTTAAAATAGTTTCAGCCCTGACTGGCGTGGCTCAGTAGATTGAGTGCTGGCCTGCAAACCAAAGTGTCCCTGGTTCAATTCCCAGTCAGGACACATGCCTGGGTTGCAGGTCAGGTCCTCAGTAGGGGACCCGCAAGAGACAACCGCACCTAGATGTTTCCCTCTCTTGCTCCCTCCCTTCCGTTCTCTCCAAAAATAAATAAATAAAATGCTTTAAAAAATACATAAGTGAGTTTCTGTTTTTTTCAGTTTTGAAGTACTTAAACATTCTGATCTAATTGTAGCTGTTTGTGCTTGAAACTTCGAGGAAGACGCAACTTCACAAGTTATGGATCTTAGAATACCAAGCAGCTCGATACCTGAACACCCTGAAGAACTTGGACAGGTACCGCTGGGCACCGTGGGTGTGTTTCTCAGTATGTCGTTTAGTCAGGAAAAGTTACAGGGGGTTCGAGAGGAGAAATTATAGGCCGGGCCATTTTATTGTTTGATAGTTTTACAATGAATATGTGTTCAGTTGTAGGAAAATCAGAATTTTAAAACAAAAATGATAGAAACTATTCATAATTCTAAATTGAGGTATAGTTCATATTTTGGAATAAGTTTACTATTTAAAAAAAAGACAACTTGCATTTTTTCCACCAAGTACAGGGAACGCCCTGCTTTCCCATCGGTGACCAGTGTTCCCCAGCCTGGTGTTGGAAGGTTGCCAAGGCCTCCAGCAGACACGCTCCGATGGCTCCAGCGGCCCTGGCCTGGGGGGGCACTGTTGGCGAGTGTCGATAAACGCCGAATGGCAGCAACCATCCTTGCAGCTAAATTTTTATGCACGTTGTCAATCACTTCCGTGCGATAAATCTCTGGGGTGAAGATCAAACTTCTCAAGGCTTTCTGAACATGTTGCCAGATCGCCTTCCCTAAGCACAGTGATGTAGTGGTCCTGAGGGCAGAGACGGAATGCACTTCAGAGGAGGTCCGGGGATGCACGCTTTTCCAGATCTCCATGATTTTTACCTGTTTTGGTTTGTTTCTCTTTGTTTTTAGAATAAGCTTTACCTGAGATCCCTTAAAGGGTCTCCTGCAATCTGGCACTTAGTACTTTTCTGCGTGGATTTTCACACACGGGATCACTTTTTCTCTGTTGTTGTTGTTTTTACTACTGTGTTCCGCACACAGGTTTTGACTTTTCAATCCCAGGTGATTCATCCTTCCTAGTGCCTTTCGATTTGATCACAAACCCTCCACACTAACGCAGAGTTTCTGTGAGTCTTGGAAAAGATGTCTAGTTCATTATTTCTGCATTTCTGTAAAAGATTTTATTTATTTTTTTAGAGAGCGGGGAAGGGAGGGAAAGAGAGGGAAAGAAACATCCATGTGTTATTGCCTCTGGAGTGCCCTCTACTGGGGACCTGGCCTGCAACCCAGGCACGTGCCCAGACTGGGAATCAAACTGGCGATCCTTTGATTCGTAGGCTGGCGCTCAGTCCACTGAGCTAGTGGACTGAGCTAGTTCACACTGGCCAGAGCTAGTTCTTCATTTTTAAGACTTAGTTTCTTTTCACATGTGCAGACCTTTCTGATTAAAGGTGAACTGATACGCTGATTGAGATAGCAGGAGTGCACAGCTGTGGCAGATGCCCTGGGGTGTTGAGGGCCGTGCCTTGTGGGCATGTGGAAAACCTCCTTCCTCACAGTGTCCGCTTCCATAGTAAACCTCATGCTTATCCTTAAGCTAGTGTAGTAAACACCAGCTTATCCTTAGGAGGCCACGCTAACTCTGCCCATTGCACCAAAGAACAGGAAAAGGCAAAAGGCATCAAAGGGATGTTCTGGGTTTTCCTTAAAGTGTGCCGTGAGAACTGGCACAGTCATGGGTTGATAGCGTCTCTGATTTTCTCAGTGACGAGAGGGGGCAGGAACTTTCCGTAGACCAGGTGTAGGGGGCGCTGAGATCATCCATCTGTCGTGGACAGCAGGCCTACCCTTTACTTTACAGTAAAGTAGGAATTGGGGTTTCTAGCAAAGTTGTAAATGTTCTAGGGTGCCTTTTTAAAAATTTCACAGACAGCCTTTAATATTAAACATGGATGTCTGCTCTGGCTGGTGTGGTTCAGTGGATTGAGTGCTGGCCTATGAACCAAAGGGTCACTGGTTTAATTCCCAGTCAGGGCACATGTCTGGGTTGCAGGCCAGGTCCCCACTAGGGGGCGCACGAGAGGCAACCACATACTGATGTTTCTCTCCCTCTCTTTCTCCCTCCCTTCCTGTCTCTAAAAGCAAATAAATAAAATCTTTAAAAAAATCCAAACCATTGATGTCAAAATGAAGTATGGCCAAATATTCAAATTTGGGAAAAGAAATGAGAATTCTGGAGTCTATTTGCTCTCTGCACACCAGTTTTGGGGCTGGGGTTAGATCAGTTATTAAAATTTCCTGAAGTGTCTCTAGTGTTTTTAAGATAAGCAATTGTTTAAAAATAGTTGTTTATTTTGTGTGTGTGAATATGTGAAATGTATCTTCCATGTTTAAAGGTTTATTTCATTTGTACTTCAGTGCTTTCAGTATATTTTTATTTATTTTTGTTTTAAAGATTTTATTCATTAATTTTCAACAGAGGGGAAAGGAGGAGGAAGAGAAGGAGAGCAACATCAATGTATGGTTGCCTCTTGCACTCCCCCCACTGGGGACCTGATCTGGCCCACAATCTAGGCATGTGCCGTGACTGGGAATCGAACCAGTGACCCTTTAGTTCACAGGCTGGCACTCAGTCCACTGAGCCACAGCAGCCAGGGCTAGTGCTTTCAATTTTAAAAACTATTTTAAAGTAGATACTAAGCGTTTTCATGTTTTTCTGCTTTTTCAGAGAAGCTGCGGTGTATATTAATCTGGATCCTTACATGGAAACGTGGGAATCATTCATTTCTGACGTAAAAGAACAAATGGAGAGTGTGGAGGTAAGTTATAAAATAGTCTGGAACTCTGTCCAAATCCATATGGTGGTTATAATTCTTTTTTTGATCTGGTAAAGGTGATGTGTGTTTTTTGTTTAAATTTTGAGAAGAATTTTTCATGAAAGTAATGACATTTCCTTAACTGTCTTAAACTCTGTCCTCGTGGACGAAGTCGAGGTCAGCAATGTTTGGTCAGACTGTAGAGCACTCTAATTAATGAGGCCTTATTCTGAATTCTTGCCTTACGAGAAATAATCACTTTAATACCTTTTGTTTCCGTTGTGTTCTTGGAAAATTGCTGACTGTGTTTAATGTACACTAAGAAAAAGAGATCGTGGTTTCTCCCTTGGAATGTTTTAGAAAAGCTGAAGCACTTTCCTTCCGCCTACAGTCTCAGTTTGACGAACGCATCGAGGCCGTGAAGGATGGTGCTTGGCTCTGCGAACTCCCGCCGGTGCAGATCGTGCGGCTCTCGTTCCCGCCCTACGACCCGGTACGTCCAGTGTCTTCTTTTGAAGGGGAGAAGATGCGCGCTGAGCCCCGGGTTCTTTCTTCGCTGTCCCGCGTGGTCGGTGCTTGTGGACTGGGATGGGATAACACTTGCCTTAGTGTTTTTATCGTTGGTGCTACTGGTTAACCTTGTAAGCATTATAATAAGCATTCTTATACAAATGGAAGACATTCTTTCTACATTGGGGTCTGAGGAGAGGACTGGGGTGAACACAGTGCTGACACAACTCCCCTTTCTTTTTTGGACGCTGGGGCGTGTGTGTGTGTGTGTGTTCCTGCATTTGAGAAAAGACTCTCCGTGCTTGCTGCCTCTGCTTCAGATACAGTTTATTCCTCAATGCTTGGAGGGGTGAGACCACAGTCTGGAAATTGAGATTTGTTTTCTCATTAAATATGGAATCAAAACTGCTACATGGGAGACACACGGGTTTTGTTGGTCTGGCATGTTATATCTTACTGCCGGTTTGAGGTGTGTGCTACATCTTCTGAATAACAGTGATTGTCAGACTGTGTGGGGTTTTTTTTCATTTTTAAATAATGCAACATAGTAAAGAAAAGCATTAATTTTACTTTGTGGACTTTAAAATATGGCTTCACCTAGTATCACTTTGTTTTATTCTAGTATATATATTATTTGGACACAGCAGATGTTCAGTAAACACTAAATCCAAAGGAATTACTTCTCAGGGAGATCAGACCGTAAGAATTTAAAGAAGGGCACTGGCCAGTGTGCTCAGGTGGTTGGGCATTGTCTCACAAACCAAAAGATCGTGGGTTCAATTCCTGGTGAGGGCACATGCCTGGGTGGTGGGTTCAATCTTGATCTTGATGTGTATGAGAGGCAACCAACCGGTCGATGTTTCTCTCCCTCACATCAATGTTTCTCTCCCTTTCTCCCTTTCTTCCCTTCTCTGTCTGCAATCAATAAGCATGTCCTCAGGCGAGGATAAAAAAGAAAAAAAGGGTTTAAGGAGGGACTCCAGTTACGAGTTGAGATGGTTTCAGAGCGTTTTGGCACAACGTTGAACTCTTCTGAAGTAGTCTGTGAGGCGACTCTACCCCGAGCTTCATTGGTACCTGGGCCTGGTTGTTCCCCAGCCTGGGTGCACACCAGCCTCACCCCCCGCATCCTCCCTCCCCGAAGCCTGGGCGGGGGTGCCCTCGTTTGCCCCTACCTCATGACCTGTCATTCCATTCTGCCTGTCACCTTACCTTAGGTGACAGGTGCCCTGCAGTCAGGAGGCTGATCCTGAATGTCTTTTTCTTATCCGAACATTGCACATTAAGCATTGACACTTATGTATTCAATGGCAAAAGATGTTGAAGTGTTAAAAAGTTTAGCCACCATGAACTATATGAGTAAAATATTCTACTGAGGTCCGAAGTATTTTCTCCACAGAAGAGTTTTCTCTCCATTGAAATGAGTAAGAAGTGGAGTTTTATTTAGAAGTAAATGAAAGATCCCTCACCATTTACAGGTTATCCAAGTTCTTATAGAAGATATGGAGGGTGGGGGGAAGGGTAGATCTCAGTAGAATATTTTACTATTAAATTTTAATTCTAGTTCATAGGTTTTATAAATACTGAAAAGAACCGTAATAGCCAAACTCCTGGGAACTCTCAGTGTTCCGGGAGCTTGAATAATGAGCACCCTGAAAAATCATTTCCTCTGTGTCATTTGTCCCTGGTCACCGTCGGGTGTTGAGCAGTGTTGAAGGCGGGGTGTGGTCTGTGCCCGCAGAGCGCGCAGGGTGTGGGAAACGAGGCGCTAGGCCCACAGTCACAGTCGGAGCAGGCCAAGGCTGTCCGCAGGCGTGCAGGGTGCTGCAGCAGCATAAACCAGGGGCCCTGACCCGCGCCAGAGGCCTGGGCCTCGGCAGAAGCTGCCCTGTTGGGCGCCTCAGGGAGCCAGAGTCCTGGGACAGGAATTGCCCAGGGAAGGTGAGGGGCTGGGGGGTGTGAGGCGGGCTGGATGGCACGGTATCTGGAAGGCCAGACGGACCCCACTGGAAGAAACCAGGTATTTGGAGGCTGGGAAAAAAGAGAACATGGGGAGGCAAAAGTGAGAGAGATTGCCCTGTACACCCAGGGTCAGCAGTTTGGACTTGTCCTCAGGTCACGAGGGAGCCCACAGAGGTTTTAAGTAAGGGGACAACACCAGCTTTGCGCCTTGTGGTGATCAGCTGGACCACAGCGTAAGGAAGCGGGAGGGGCTGGAGGGGTTTCCAGGTGACCAGGCACCAGCACTGCCAGGCCCCAGGTGGGGTGGGGGGCCGGTGAGTGGGCAGAGAACAGGCCCTAGAGAAGGTGCAGTTGAGAAAGCTGTGCCGTGGGTGAGATTAGGGCTCAGGGTGTGCGCCTGGGACGGGGGGTGGGGGACACTGTGCGGGGCCCAGTGTTGCGGGAGTTGAGTTGGAGCGGCCCACCAGCAACCTGAGTGGGTCTGCCCACCAAGAACTTTGGGCATGCAGAGTTGGGGCTCAGGAAAGTGGGTTTTGAAAGGGGTGTGTTCTCGGCAGCAAGCCCTTAGTCACTGAGGCACGAGAGACTATGAAATGGCCTCGGGCGGGGGGGGGGGGGGCACGTGGCAGAGACCCAGGCCCTGGACGATCGCATCCTAAGGAGCTTCAACACTTAAGGCCCAGCCAGGCCTGCAGGGAGCTGAGAAGGGGAGGCGGGGGAGGGGGAGAATGTGCCCAGCAACATGCAGGTGTCCATGGGGTTGGTGATGGGCACTGTTGGTGGCCTTGGCAAGGGCAGTTTTAGGAGTGTTGGGACAGCTCTTGATTCGATAGCCACCAAATGCAGCTGGGGAGGGAGTCGGCGCCTGGGGGAGGTGAGGGGGCAGCGTTTCCAGTTTCACCGAGAAAATAAGGAACTTCAAAGAGCGTCATTTAGGAGTCGGAGTCCGACCCTTGTCTAGCAGTGAACAGGTCATGTGGCGATCAGTAATTTCTTTTTTTAACAGAAACCGGTAATTAATCGTATGCAAGTTTCCTGGGCCCCTGAGCCCCTGCTGTTGGCCTCTGTACGTGGGTGTTTCTCTGAGCCCTGCTGTGCTCACTCGTCCTCACAGATGAGCCTCGGGTCGCCTCCGGAGTCTCCAGGGTACGACTACCCGGGTCCCTCGACTTCTGCCAGTCACGGGCCCGGAAACGGAACGGCGGTTCCCGAAGACTCAAGTCCGGTCTCTGCCAGTGAGCAGCCCGCGGGGGCTCCCTCGCCACCGCAGCCAGCCTCGCCCTCCGATCAGCAGGAAGCCGGCGGTCAGCAGGAAGCCGCTGGTCAGCAGGAAGCCGCAGGGCCACCGGCGGGCGCGGGCACCGTCCAGGCAGCTCAGCCCAAGCACAGGCCGGTGGCCGACCAGAAGCCGCCTGTCCCTGCAGTGCGCGCCGCCCGGCAGAGCCACTCTCCGAAAAAGCCGTTCAACACCATCATCGAGCATCTGTTGGTGGCCTTCCCCGGCTACAGCAGGTGTGAATGTGGGGTGGGGTGGCTCTGTCACCGACTCACGTGGCCTGGGGTTTCCCGATCAGATGTGCTTCCAGCCGGTTAGGGGCTGAGAGGGAAGGGAGTGCATAGTTGTTTTACTCAGAAAGAGAAGTGCTGTATTTTCTTTTTGTAAGCAACAAAGGTGAGCATTTTCAAATACGTTTTTTAGTGTGCCCATCTGGGTTGAGACCTGTGAACGCTCATGAGAACCTATGACTGTTTCCTAAGATGTGGACGGGGTCAGTAACATGCTCCAACACTAGCTATGGAGTCACTCGGTGAGCTGTGACACGGGTTTTATATCATTCTGGGAGACACACGCCTTACGCAGGGAGCAAGACGGCAGCGGCACCTTGCACCGGGGTGGCTGCCCCTCCGACTCTCGGAGGAGTGAGGTCGGAAAGACCGGGTGTAAGGGCGGAGGAACTGGACGGAGGGCATCCCCGTGTAGCCGGTGCTGCTTTTACCCGTCAGCCCCTCAATCCACTCGTCCGTAGGGCTGCTCCTCAACCTTGGCCTTGCTCTCCGGGCTGGGGTGGAGGGCAGAGGTGCTCCTGGTCTCCAGTGAGGTGGAGGGAACGTGTCCGACTGCAGGGAGGAAGAGAGGATTCCACATCCTGGCTCGGTTCCGCCCCACTAACCCATGTCCACTGGAGCTTGTGAACCCCTGGGGCTGTGAACAACTTGCTGCAGGCCAGGTTTTTAAGGGAGGAAGTCAGCTAACTAGGTTCCTCTTGGAGATTTCACTGGTTTCAAGTCAGAACCAGTGGCGCCTGGCCGTCGGTGATGTTGTGTAAATGGCTGTACAAAGGTCGGTGTCTGCTGTCCCGGGTGGGTCCAGAGGATGTACTGGACGGGTGTGAGTGTGAGTATACACACATATGTGTACATACACACCTGCACGTACACACGCATGTATAGAATGTGAAATTCTGTTGGGGTGAGAACTTAGAAACAATAGAGGAATTTTCATAACTAGTAGGAAAGAGTGATTCTGCTATTTTATATACAGTTACTATCGTTGTCTGCAAATTAATTTTTTGTGTGTATTTGTTTCTTCTAGTTGTTGGGTTGATACTTTTTGCACATGACACTTCTCAGCAGTGGAAAACTTTTGACTTTTCGCTGTCGTTTCTCCCCACTCAGCACCGAGCTTGCGGGTTTTGTTAAAAAAGTGCGAAGCAAAAGCAAGAACTCGCTCGCCGGCCTGAGCGTTGACGACATTGTCCAGAGAGTGACGCAGCACATCCTAGATGAAGCGAGGAACCGGAAGGTCAGTGCCCTCCTGCAGGCGCAGTGGGTGTCCCCTCCACCCATACAGGGCTGTGAAACGTGAGAATCGGAAAAAAAGAAAAGCGGCTCACCTCCCAAACGTGGAGAGCCGTTTTCTAAAGACGGGAGGTGGCCAGGCTTCTGGACAGTAGCTGCACGCCCTTCCTCATGCGCATTCTCTCCACAGCCACCTCCAGGGCAGGACGGGAGGCCTGGGGAGCCCCGCTCCGCTGCGTCTGTGACGGGACCACCGCCTGGAACGCAGGGGCACAGGCCTGACAGCGTCCCCGTGAGTGTCGTGTGTGTGTGTGACTGCAGAGTCAGGGGCCGTTTTGTGTGTTTTTAAGAACAAGAAGGAAACGCGTGATCTAGCTCCTTTCTGCTCATCTCTAGGCCGATTCACTGTCCCCGTAGAGCAGTCGGAGAACGGGGGGGGGGGGGGTGTCGCCGTCTCTGCTTCTCTGGGTGCCCCGGGGCCCCTCGGAGAGAAGCCCCGGTATGTGACAGGAAGGGCTGCCCCCGACACGCTGCAGGAGCTGGGTCCGCAGGCAGGCAGTCACACACGTCACTGTCACATCAAGTGGGGTGTCTTGAATGGTTGGGAAGAATGATTTGGGGGTAACTTTCTTCTGTGAGACCAGGGCTTTGGAATCCTGCAGACTCGGTTCCATCACTTGAAAGCACCGAGCTGGGACCCCACCTGCTGTTCAGGTGTCGACAGGGTGAAGCTGCTGCCTGCTGACCGGGAACCCTGGTGGCAGCCCGGGTGCTCACGCCCCAGACCCCGCCTTGGCCCCACGCCTGACCTCAGCCCCACTGAGAGTTTGTGGGCTTTGGTTCAGGGCCACCTTGCCAGCCGCTAAGCACACCAGGAAATCTATTAACCGTATCAAACGTTTCTTTTCTGAGAAAATTAGAATTTTAAAAGTATAGCTTTCTTTTTGTACTTTTATATTTTTTCCTAAGAAGTGCTATTTAAAAATAAGTCGTTTCTTTAGTCTGCTTAGCTGTAATTGGGAATAATTTGCCGCTCCCGCGGCGCAGGTGTCCGAAGGCCCCCTGCAGGCGGGTTCTCTGTAGTACAGAGGAGTTTGCGCGGAGCTCACTGTGCGGCTGCGTGTTTCCACAGGCGCCGGGTGCGCATCACTGTGAAGTGTGCCACGAGGTGATCAAGCCCAAAAACCTGCGTGTGCTGAACTGTGGGCACAAGTGCCACAAAGGGGTAAGCGTCCTCGGTGGTGGTCCTCGCGTCATGCCTGCAGACTGGGAAGCATTTTGAAAACAAAAGGGACTTTTTCCCCAGGTCCCCACTGTGTTTTCAAAGCACATCCCCTCTAGTCCCCTGTGGATGTCACTGTCTCTGTGTCCAAGTAGCGGTGCCCTGAGAGGGGACTGGGCACTGCCCTGGCCCCCACCTGGCGCTGGTCACCGTGAGTTCCACCGGCAAGGCCGGTGCTGGGCCCTCGACAGGTGGTTTCTTACACACCTGCCGTAAGACACGTGTGGAGCCAGACACGACGCTGGTCCGTTTAGTGCTCGAGGTGAGCTCAGTGGTGCGGAGCAGAGACACTCGCCTCACTGGTCCATTGTGCCCAACCCCGACAGGTCGGGGATCGGGGGTCGCTCTTCTGGCGTTTGTCCTGCACCCCAGTGCTGGGCTAGGAGAGACCAGGTCTCTGCCGTGTGAGCACGTGAGTCCCTGAGAAACAGGGACGAACACAACGCACTCACCAGGGGTGTCCGGGCGGCTGGCCTGCCCGGGCCCTCGGACCTCACACACACCCAGCTCTGGCAGCAGCAGGCCAGCCCCTGGGGACCGCAGTGGGTAGACAGGCTGCGCATGCGGACTGGCGGGGGTGGGCGGCGACTGAGGTCAGGTAGGTGGGATGAGCTGGGTGAGTGCGTCCAAGGACCAAGAAAACGATTCTAAAAGTCAGGGCGTGACGCAGAGCTGGGGTCAGGTGGCAGGGGAAGGGGGAGGCCAGAGGGACCCCCCCTGCCCTGTTTAGGTTGGAAGCCCAGAGTTCTTGGCACGTTCGAGGCGGGAGCCTTTCCTGTGGCTTGGCTTGGTCCGTACTCCTGGCCTGAGCGGGCCGCAGTGCCCCTGGGGGGTGGGCAGCACCCGCTCCTGTGAGGTGAAGGTTACAGCATCTGCCGAGGAGCCCCACGGGCTCCCGGAGACACAGAGTGTTTCCTTCTCTCCTTCCAGTGCTTACAGAAGAGCGCGAGAGGCCAGGGCACCTGCCCGGCCTGCCTTTCGCCAGGAGAGCAGCCTGCACCCGCTGGGGGGGACCGCCTGCTGTCCTAGGCGGTCCCGGTGTCCCCAGGGCGAGCTGCTGACTGTCAGCTGGGAAGAGTGGCATGACGCAGCCTTTGGTGTCGAAGGCAAGCATCTCTTTGCCCCATGTTACGTAGCGGACAGTGACTTCCGCACTCGGACCAGACACGGCGATGACAGCCAGGTGCTACTAGAACTGGTGTGACCGCCTCCTCCCGCCCGGCTGACAGCGGCTCCTTCTGGGAAGCACCTGCGCGCCTCCCAGCCGCACCGGGACCCTGCACCTGCCAGAGGGCCGGTCACAGTTTTCACAGGAGTCACTGCTCCTGAAAACGCGCCAACATTCTTCCTCAAAGATTCTGCATTTTAAAAACGGGCTTAAGCAAACCACATTTTCATCATTTGTAGTTGATGTTAAAATATCGGCCGAATCAGACCTAGATTCAAACCCGTTCCTGTGAAACACTGTGTGATTCTGATTGTTCGTTTTATTTCCTAGACTAGGTTTGTAAAGTGCTTATTTGTCTGTCGTCTCGTAAAGGTAGAATCTGACCTCTGAAACTCGGTTACAGACCACTTCCTCGTGTCCGCCCAGACTTTTCGCCCCGGAGGTCAAGGCTCCGGACGCGAACCCCAGCCCCACACTCGAGCCTGTTTTCCGACCCCCTCGCTGTCATCTCAAGTGGCATTTGTGCTGCTTCGTGACTGCACAACAGTGTTTGCGCATCGGTAGCTCCCAGCAGGCGCCGCGGGGGTGCTCACCACCAGGCCCCCCTTCTCCCGCCACCCGAAACGGGCTGTCCTGTGACCGGCAGTCCCGAGGTGTCCCTGCCCCGTGCGCCCCGTGTCCCACGTTTGTGTGCAGTGACGCATGCACTTGTACTGTGGCCTTCTGACGACGTTAGAAACTTAACAAAAATCGTTCTCTCTAGTGACTTATACTCAGTGGTAAGTGCAGAAGCACAAATTCTGGACGCATTCCATTCCTCCCAAACAGGAAGGATCAGTAAACGTTCCCCGTTGTTCTCTGTGCCCCGGATGCTCCCAGCCAGCCCCCAGTTGGGGGGCCGACCTTGCCTCCTTCCTCCACCTTGTTCCTGTGGGTTTGGTGTCCTGGTGACCTAGTCCGTAGCCACTTAGTCCCCGCTTTGCAGCACACTCTCCACGCGGGTCCCTAAGCATCGTCTGCACGTTCCCGGTGTCGGAGAAGCGAAGGGTGAAGAGCCGTGGGGACCAGCTCGCAGCAGCGAGCGCAGAGGGAGCGCAGAGCAGCTGGGGTGCGAGGGAACGTGTGCTGTACATAACTTCAGGCCTGTGAACATGCCTTACACATGTCCTGTGCGTGTCAGAATAAAGAGTATTTTTAAATAACATCAGTCCACTGGCGTGCTTGCCCGTTCTTTCTGAAATAACGTTGAAAAGGATCCTCCTGGAAATTCGTGGCACCCGTGTCGGGCTTGCATTTTTAAAAGTGACTTCGTCAGGAATGAAGGGTCTCATTCCGTGGCGGGGGGGGGCCTCCCCATAGGTGTGAGGACATTTTCGAGTCTGGGTCAGAGTGTTCCTCTGTGTCCCCAAGGTCGGTCCTTTATGAATGGGAGACTTACACAGAGAGACAGTTAACCGTTTTCGGCAAAAGGAACAGGTTTTTCATGTGAATACATAAAATAATGCTGAAATTAATTAAATGACATTGATTTTTTTTTTTGAGGCTCTTGTGGATTCGTGGACTACGGGGGCAATCAGGGCGGTTTCCCATTTTCAGGGCCTCAGGATCTCCTGCGTATGCTGAGCACTTAAGATGATAAAAAAAAAACCAGTATTGCTGTATGATTTTAATCTGATAGTTTGTAATTCAAAATAACGTATAATTTAAAGCAATGTCTGTTTTTAAGAGTTCAGATTATTTTGCCTTCGAGACAGCTTAATCTATGCTATACATAATGGATAATCCAATGTAAAATGACATTGCGCCCTAGCAGTGCAAAATGTGACTACATTTTTAAGGTCATTTTGAAGCCCGTGGAGTGGAGGCAGGTGGGCAAAGTGATCGGCCCACTGACGGCCAGTGCATCACTGGCGCTGGAACTGGCCTAGGTGGCGTTTCGATCAGGCGGCCCTCTCTGGAGGAAGAGGTTGGAGAGAGAAGAGACAGGAACAGCCTGAAATCCCTCGTCAGCAGGAGACACTTGCTGATGAGGAGCGGACCGCGAAGTGGGCGGCTTGTCGGGGCCGGGACCGAAGCGTCCCCGGCAGCACCTCCTGTATTTTCTCCTCGTCACGCTGCCTCAATCTGCTCAGAGGGGGTGTCTGCCCTCACGTCTAAATGTCTTAAGTGCCGTGCTCAGAATGATGGGCGAGGCCTGGAAACCAGTGAAAACCAACGTGCGTGGAGCACCTATTATGTGTACTCTCTGGGTGTTTCGATACAGATACAGCAGCAGTGAGTGAGAGACAAGGACCCAGTGGAACTTGTCTTCCTGTTGAGCAGACAATAAACACAACTTGAGGGGGTGAGAACAGCTCTGAAGAAGCAGCGAGGGAGGGAGGGAGGGCAACAGTAAGATTCTTGTCTAGCAGAGCACCTGGCACACCAACCCCTGATAACGGGGGCAGGGGGGGTAGGTAATGATAGGTGTCAAGGTCGAGCCCTGGAAGCGGCCCAGGGAGGGGTTGGGTGGCCCTGAAGCGGGAGGTGGGATTAGATTAAGAAGCAGATGTCTTACTGTCAAGCCTGGGCCAGAGTGTGATGAAGTGGAGGGAAGGCAGGAAGAAGTCAAATGTCAGTCATTCTGCAGAATCCCAGTTCAGTTAGTTTCTGGAATTTGACCGGGGGACGCTGTGACCCTACAGCAAGGGACAATGTCCCCTGTGGCTTTCGCAGATGACCTGGATGAGCAGTCGGAAGCAGCCTTTCCAGCCCGTGAGGGTCGGGACCAGAGCCGTGTGGGCAGCTCTCGGGAGACCTGCACTCGGTGCCCTGTGGAGAAGGCGTGTGAACCTGGCTCTCCAGTTTGGGGTGAGAACTGTTCTCAGTCACCGCGTCCTTGCCTCCAGGTTATGCTGTCTCTGCCCAGCTCCCCTTTACAAGTGACAGTAAAGGGAGAAAAGTGTTATTTGGCAAAAATGCAGAAATTGAATCGCACTAGTAAACTATGAAATCCTAATGAGACAGCCATTAATAGTCTGGAAAAAGAGTTTTTAACTGCACTAAGAAGAATAGTTTGGGATATACAAATGCAAAAAAAATGAACCACAACCTCGTGTCCTACATAAACATGAACTGCACATGGACCGTGGTCCCAAGCATGAAAAGTAATAAGCTTCCACAGAAGACAGACAGTCTTGGCCTTGGACTAGCCTAAGGTTTATTAGAATGCAGAAAGCACTAACCGTAAGGGTAAAAATCCAACAAGTTGATTATCGTTACAATTAAGAACTAAATCAAGTTACTGTTGAGAGTGCAAAGTCAAGCCATGCAGAAGAAAAAATCTAGCAAAGAATTTAGGAAACGACTGTTAAACAGCTACGAGAAAAAGGTAATAATACATTCAGAAGTGAGAAGATTTGAATAGGTGCATCACAGGTGTCCAGCTGGTTTATTGGCATATGACAGCCAAGTTAGTTCAGCTTCTATCATCAGGGAAATGTGACCTAAAACCGCAGTGAGATGCCACTAGATGTCCACCTGGGAGGCTGAACCGCCGGCAGGTTGTCAGTCTCCGGGTGAGGACACGGAGTGAGCAGACTGCTCCTGCACCTGGGTGGCGGTGGGCATTGGCACAACCTTGCAAAGAGCCTTTACTGAAGCTGCTGTGGGTGCCTGTGACGTAGCCTCGCCGCCACGCACATGCTCCGCAGACCTGTGCACAGTTGTGCAGGGGTCTTCGTGCCAGCTTCCTTCCAAGCAGCCTCCCACTAGAGACGAGCCAAATGCCTGCCCACAGTGGGGTGGGCAGGTTGTGGCCGCGCTGTCTGTGCCACGGGACTTCCACACGGCGCAGTTGGTGCTCAAATGTGAAAATGGGCTGAAGCAGGCCAGGCAACACCAAAGCCTATTTACGTGAATGTCAAGACAGGAAGCTGGTGGTGGGGGCCGGGGGAATGCTCGGGGTCAGGGTTGCCTCTGAGCTGATGCTGCAGACCAGGAGGGGCTCAAGGTTGCCCACCAGGCTCTGGAAATGTTCTGTCCTCAGCGGAGCGATGCTCTGCTGAATGCACCATTTGGAAAAGTCACAGAGCCGTACATGTAAAGTGTGTGCTCTTCTTTGTACTTAACTGTTTTCATTAAACAACAAACAGAGAAAAGGAAACAGTGAGAAACCTGGGTCCAGGAGACGCAGGGTCCCTGTGGCCCCCAGGCGGGTCTGGAAGGCTTGTCCGGCACCTTCTGGCACGAGCCTCGGCCAGGCAGTGCCTCTTCAGGAAGCTGCTCTGTAGAGCAGTGAAAAATGTGAGCCTGGTGCCAAACGCTGGTGCTGCCAAACCCAGAGAAAACAGCCAAGATCCTGGTGGTGTGTGTGGTGGGGTGACGCAGGTTGTCCCCGAGTTGCCTGGTTCTGGGAAGTGGGGCCCTCTACTCTGCAAGGACCACTCGGTGGTCGCCCTGGGCCAGGTGGGGTCTGCGGTGCTGGAGGAGCTCCCTCTGCCCCAGGAACAAGGGCCCATTATTCAACTGTCAGGGATTTTGCCAGCTCAACACAGTTATTGAAAAATGAATAATATAAACTTACGGTTGAACTATATAAAAAGCAAAGGCAGTTGCTCCCTGTTACAGTTTATTATTGTCTGTGCTTTGGGGGTGACCTGAGTTGTGGAAATAGCACATAACGGGACCCCCTGCGTCTCCTCCCGCCTCTGAGCAGTGGTGCAAGTCTTTACACCACGGAAATGGGCAGATGCTACCTGTCCCGGCTGCCCCCACCCCCAGAGAAACAGCTCCGCCAGATGGCGCTGAAGGGCCCTCCGTGCCTTTCTCATTCCACGTGTGACATGGTGGGTAGAGGACTTCAGAGGTGACTTCCCGCTGCTCTGTTTGGTGAGGCTCTTACTCTTGCTGCCATGGGTGCCCTCTGCCCCCCTCGGCTTGGGCCTGGAGCCCATCCTGCTCTGTTTCTCTGCCCCCTGGAAGACACTGCACTCACTTCACTGCCTGGAGCATCTGCCTCATAGTAGTTCCTGCTCAGCCCCTCCCCGCAGAAGCCTTGTCCCCTATCACAGCTGGTGCCGCTGCAGGTGCTCTGCTGAAAACCCTGGAAGGCACATTTCCCACCCCTGTGGAGGCCCCGCCCCAGCAGCATGCAGGGAAGCCCAGCACAGGTGAGCTGCAAGGGTGCCAAACCAGAAGCAGACCTGAGGACACCACCACGCCGGAGGCCCCTCCTTTTGCCTCTGGGGGGGGGGGGGGGGGGACCAGGGCTGGAGGCTGGGCCAGCCTGACACTGCCAGGAGCCTTCACAGCGTGGGGTGGTAGTCACTGCTCTGCTTCTGTGGCCTGCACTTCAAAGAGAAGGCTCGCGCCCTCTAACCTGTGCCTTGGTGTCGAACAGAGGCGCCGTTGTTTTCAGCAGGTACCTTGGGACTTGAGAGAATAAATACCATTCTGTTTTCAGACTTTCTTCCCCTCCATTTTTCAGAAGTTATGTATAAAGGCACATTGCCTAATTCCTCCAGCACTCTCTTTCTGCTTCTATTTATTTGGTGTGATCGAAAGGTCTTAATTTAGCTCTCCCTGCTACCGGTTCCAAGAAATCTGCCACCAGCTCCAAGCTCCATGTCCTGAAGTGCCACCCCATTCCAGCGGGGTGAGCCAGCAGCCTCCAAAAAAAGAAAGCAAGTGAACAGACGGACATTGTGCGTCCAGCCGCTGGCCGCTGCCCCAGCGCGGCTCCGCTTTCACTGGGGCCTTGCTAGAGGCCACGTTGCTTCTGCCTCCCGTTGCAAAAGCCAGACCTTTATGAGCTGTGGCTCAGCACTTGCTCCAGCCCTTCCCTGTGACAGACCTGGCCATCAGGCCCGGTTCCCTGGGCCTTTCAGAGGCCGTCGAGCCTATATCACCTCCTTGTCCTCCCTGGGGCAGAGTGGCCTTGCCCCCTCCACCTTCACACCCCGCAAGGGAGCCTCATTGACCCCAGCTGTGCTCTCTGGGAATGAGCCACGTGGCCCTAGTCATTGGATGGGCCGTTGAACTCCAGCATGTCCGCTGCTCATTGGTTCATTCAGCCATCCGCCAAGTCCCCATTAACATCCCGCCTTTGCGGGCCCAGTTCTGGGGGTGGAGGACCACGTGGGACGGGAGAGATGGAAGGCCCATCTCACGTCTTCAGTTTTCCGTGGGGGAAAACAGCCATCAACTACGATGGTCAGATACATGGTA